AGGTTGACCCTGAGCGAGGGCCGGGTAAATGACCTTGGAGGGCCGCATCGGCCCCTGGGCTAACTTAGTTTGAGGACCCCTGGTCTAAAAGGACCTCATCCTTGTCCAAAGTAGGACTTGATTCAATGTATTGTCGAAGGCTTTCAGGGCTGGAATCACTAGGTTCTTGTGGGTTTTTTTGGGTTATAGAGCCATGTTCTAGAGGCATTTCTCCTGACGTTTCGCCTGCATCTATGGCAAGCATCCTCAGAGGTAGTGAGGTCTCAGAGGTAGTGAGGACCTCACTAACTCTGAGGATGCTTGCCATAGATGCAGGCGAAACGTCAGGAGAAATGCCTCTAGCACATGGCTCTATAGCCCGAAAAAACCCACAAGAACCTAGGACTTGATTCCTCCACTGTGACCTACAAAATGGTTCATTTGCCTTTGTGATTCTGAAACCTGAAACTGTTTCAAGGTTGAAATCAGTTTGTCAAACCCCCCACGTAAAAAGCTGGGATCCTTTTGCCCACTGCCTGTGCGTTTGAAGACAACTGAAATTAATGGACAAACGCATAATGCCCGCGAAAGATTTCACACCCTTTTTTAATGACAGTCTGCTTGAGACCTCTGAAGAACGGGAGGTTTGCCAGCATATAAATTGATGCGAAAATGGCATATGCAGGTACTTGATAAAACATTCTCGTCCCTGAGCATCATGATTGGCCATCTATTAATAGCTTCTTTCACTGAGTCATTGGGAAATGCAGCTCTTCAATTGCCACGGAAAGCGGCTTCTTAAAATAGCATCTGCGTAATCTTTCCTAATGCTCCAGTGTCAGAGCAGATCACACATAGCTCTGTGCTCAGGTATCTCTCTGGCTATTGTTAAGTGGAAGCAATGCTGAAATTAAATTGGAAGAGAAGTAGAACACTCTTCGTGCCACCCAGGCAAGTTCTTTTGGATGTTTTGCACTTCCTAAGAGGTGTGTGTTTTTTTTCATGCCTTTAAACTGAATACAAATAGACATTTGAGAGATTGGCCAAAACTAACAAAATGAAGTTCAACAGTGACAAATGCAAGATACTCCACTTAGGCAGGAAAAACGAAATGCAAAGATACAGAATGAGGGACGCCTGGCTCGAGAGCAGTAGGTGAAAAAGATCTTGGAGTCCTTGTGGACAACAAGTTAAACATGAGCCAACAATGTGATGCTATGGCAAAAAAAGCCAATGGGATTTTGGCCTGCATCAATAGGAGCATAGTGTCTAGATCTAGGGAAGTCATGCTACCCGTCTATTCCGCTTTGTTTAGACCACACCTGGAATATTGTGTCCAATTCTGGGCACCACAATTCAAGAGAGATATTGACAAGCTGGAATGTGTCCAGAGGAGGGCGACAAAAATGATCAAGAGTCTGGAGAACAAGCCCTATGAGGAGCGGCTTAAGGAGCTGGGCATGTTTAACCTGAAGAAGAGAAGGCTGAGAGGAGATATGATAGCCATGTATAAATATGTGAGAGGAAGCCACAGGGAGGAGGGAGCAAGCTTGTTTTCTGCTTCCTTGGAGACTAGGACGTGGAACAATGGCCTTAAACTACAAGAGAGGAGATTCCATCTGAACATGAGGAAGAACTTCCTGTGAGAGCCGTTCAGCAGTGGAACTCCCTGCCCCGAAGTGTGGTGGAGGCTCCTTCTTTGGAAGCTTTTAAACAGAGGCTGGATGGCCATCTGTCAGGGGTGATTTGAATGCAATATTCCTGCTTCTTGGCAGGGGGTTGGACTGGATAGCCCATGAGGTCTCTTCCAACTCTTTGATTCTATGATTTCCCAACTGGTGGAGGCAGCAACAATCAAATTCCATTCAAAGTCATGCTTAATGATGTCTATTATAGAAGATAGCAGGAGGCTGGGAGGTGACCTTCACAATTCCTTTTTCCGCAGGATCCCAACACTTTCAGATAGTCAGGATTGATTTTTTTTAGTATTTTGGTAAATGGCCAGCAATGAAAACAAACAATGTAAGGTAAACAAAACATAGGTTGGGTCATTAAAATATAATTTTAAAACAGGGTTAAGAAACAATGTTGAATAAAAAAAAGTTAAAATTAGTGCTAAATATTTATTTTAGTGAGAAAAAATGCAGGAGCAGAATTCAAAACGATCTTAACAGAGTAGAGAGAAGGGGCAAAACTAACAAAATGAAGTTCAACAGTGACAAATGAAAGATACTCCACTTAAGCAGAAAAAAAGGAAATGCAAAGATACAGAATGGGGGGTAATGCCTGGCTCAAGATCAATACATGTGAAAAAGGTCTTGGAGTCTTCGTGGACAACAAGTTAAACATGAGCCAACAATGTGATGTGATGGCAAAAAAAGCCAATGGGATTTTGGCCTGCATCAATAGGAGCATAGTGTCTAGAGTTAGAGCAGTAATGCTACCCCTCTATACCGCTTTGGTTACACCACACCTGGAATATTGTGTCCAATTCTGGGCACCACAATTGAAGAGAGATATTGACAAGCTGGAATGTGTCCAGAGGAGGGCGACTAAAATGATCAAGGATCTGGAGAACACGCCCTATGAGGAGCAGCTTAAAGAGCTGGGCATGTTTAGCCTGATGAAGAGAAGGCTGAGAGGAAACATGATAGCCATGTATAAATATGTGAGAGGAAGTCATAGGCAGGAGGGAGCAAGCTTGTTTTCTGCTTCCCTGGAGACTAGGACGCAGAATAATGGCTTCAAACTACAAGAAAGGAGATTCCATCTGAACATAAGGAAGAACTTCCTGACTGTGAGAGCTGTTTAACAGTGGAACTCTCTGCCCCGGAGTGTGGTAGAGGCTCCTTCTTTGGAAGCTTTTAAACAGAGGCTGGATGGCCATCTGTCGGGGGTGCTTTGAATGCAATTTTCCTGCTTCTTGGCAGGGGATAGTACTCTTTATTCTCATTTTCTGGAGAAAGGACATACACCTACCAGCTGTAAGTTTTGCATCATAGAAAAAATTCAAACTAAGCCACAAATGGATACTAAGAATTATCTTTTGCAAAGGGAAGCATTTTGGATTTTTAAGTTAAACACAGTTTTTCCTACCGGTCTTAACGACAGGCTGGACCTCAGCTGCTTTCTGTAATAAGCCCTATTATCCACCTTATCTACTTGTAATTTACATTCCAGTTGACTGTTTGTAATTAGTCTTGCCTTTAAATTCTTGCTTCTGTGTAACTGTATTGCTCACTACTGAAGACCTAACTGTAGGGCCAGCTCGTCTCATGTATAACGTGAGTAATAATGTGTGTATAGTCTATCTCATTGGAATGCATGTCATTATCACTGAATGTTTTTGGTTTGGGTGCCTTTTTTGGCATATCTATTATGTTGTTGTTTATTACCTATTTAGGGATATATGGTGAACCACCCACTTTCATAAAGAAGACAAATCCTGAAGAAGGGGAAATCCCCCGAAACAAGGCAACCTCAACTCGGGGATCCTTGTCGTAGTAGAATTTGGATTATATTTTGAACTGGATACCATTTGGACTTAATTTGGACAGTATTTGAAGATATCTTACTTTCTCAAGGACTACGAGATAACTGTATTAGAATTTGGATTATATTTTGAACTGGATACCATGATGTACCGTACCTCGCGAAGGCTGATCTGGCCGGGGTGGTCCATGCCTTGGTCACCTCCAGATTGGACTACTGCAATGCGCTCTACGTGGGGCTGCCCTTGAAAACGGCTCGGAAGATCCAACTGGTTCAACGGGCAGTGGCCAGGATGTTAACTGGAGCCCCTTACAGAGAGAGGTCAGCCCTCCTGTTCAAGGAGCTCCACTGGCTGCCGTTTATTTTCCGAGCCCAATTTAAGGTGCAGGTGCTTACGTACAAAGCCCTGAACGGTTTGGGACCATCCTACCTGCGTGACCGCATCTCCATCTATGAACCCACGCGTTCACTTCGGTCATCTGGAGAGGCCCTGCTCGTGCGTCGCAAGCGCGTTTGGTGGGGACACGAGACAGGGCCTTTTCTGTGGTGCCCCCCCCCCCCGAATCTGGAACACCCTCCCCAAAGATCTTAGACAGGCCCCTACATTGGCAGTCTTCAGAAAGAACTTGAAGACCTGGCTGTTCCGATGTGCCTTCCCAGATTAGGAAATCTCCAATATCAAGTCCCATAAGCACTTTACTAGAACTAAGATTGCTGCACACTGCACACTGCACTTGCCCTATAATGCCTTATATACCTCCTGTCACATCAGCACTTTTAATCCTGTACCCATTACTCTGGCCCGGCCCAGTTTTATAGTGTCTTAGTGTATTGTTTATTGCTTGTTGTTTATATTGTTTAATTTTTTTTAATTTGCTTTAGGTTTTCTATTGTTATGTTGTGTGTTGAGGCCTTGGCCTTTGTAAGCTGCATCGAGTCCTTCGGGAGATGCTAGCGGGGTACAAATAAAGTTTAATAATAATAATAAAAAATACCATTTGGATTTAATTTGGACAGTATTTGAAGATATCTTACTTTCTCAAGGACTACGTGATAACCTAGTAGCATTCAGTCTTGTTATTTTTTCGTGGTTCATATGCAGTGTATTTACACGCTTTATGTTAACACAGTTCTGTTTTGATAACGCTTTGCAACTTGTATTTTGACCCTGAGTGAGGGCCAGGTAAATGACCATGGAGGGCCGTATCCGGCCCCCGGGCCATAGTTTGAGGACCCCTGCCCTAGACAAAGGCAGAGGGGAAAATGGATGGAAAACTAAGACACAAGGTACTAAGTGGAAGTTAACAGTATTGTGAGAACGTCTTTCCTGAACAGTGAGTGGAAGATTGACCATCATTTTGGCACATCCTCACAACAGCAAACACAGAACTGACACATACTTTTTGAAGGAAGCATATATGTTTGATGCCTTGATACTGGATTAAGTATGCATGAAGTTGGGAGACACAACTAACTCGGTAACAAACAAACTCGAAGAGTGTCTGCCATCCTTAATAGACAAATCTGCATTGTATTCTGACCAGAATATTTACATGTTTTATTAAATCTTTACAATCAGTAATTATAATCAAGTACACAATTTTATATACAAAGATTATGTACATTTTGAGCTCAGACTTTTACATCACAGTACACAGTTGCCCTTAGGAATTTTGTACACACCTTAAATCACCAGACATTAAAAACCCCACAACAGTAGTGTTACAGCACCCCTTTAGACTTTTCATAAATTACATCATAAGAAAATATATGGCTGTAAATTGGGCTGGTAAAAAGTCTTAAAAAATCTGGATGTACGGTATGCATTCACAGAATGACCCCTCAACTGTCCTGGCGGCAGGGGATCCCGGGATCTCTATGCATCTGCTCTAAGGAACCCCATCAAAAGAGGCACCCAAGGCATGCAGGTGCAGAAAAATCCAAGATGGACCCATGATTACGCCAGGTCCTGGATTACGTTCTCCTTGGGGGTGGAGGTGTGCCAGAGCCTAAGACTTACACGCCTCACCTAACAGGTGCAAGGCAACGCCTGTCCAAAAAGGGTTTCTGCTGTGATATGAAGACATTGATTCATAATTACATAATCTCCTTCCTAAACACCATTTTCAAATCTAATTGATGACATGTAAACCTTTCGTTATTGTGAAACAAGCTTATGGCTGTGATGAAGAACTAAGGTATCAAAACAAGGGCAACCTATATCTGAGGTAGACTACCACCTTCCGGATGCTCCTTTCGAATGGCAAGGGAGTCTTTCAACAATCCCTGAAATCAATTACAAAAACTTAAAACCACTTGCACATGCTCAATCCCCGACAACCGAAACTCCCACCTTGTGGACTATGTACAAGTAGTAGCAAGTAGTGCAAACTCTTAATAAATTATTGGTAGGAAGGAATGGAAATTTAGTGGTGGTTGTATCAAGCCAGGATAGTTCTGCCTAAAATGTTTTGTGAAGATATTTAGAGAATCACTTTTACTAGAAAACACCAAATGAGCATTTTTTCCCCTCAAGGCCTAAAGAAAATAAGTTGATTGACAAGTTAGGCTACATCAGAGTAAATATTTTTTAAGAAAGCTTGAGTGGCACTAGTACTCGCAACATGCAGAACTACTGATTTGCAATTTTTACAAGACTAACGTAAATGTAGTGCGTTACATATGCTTGGCCCCAAACTGTTGGAGCTTTTGTGAGGACACGGAAACAAACATTCTCTCGATCTGGGCCTGAGCTACTAAAGGACACTTCAGAGAAACCCTTGTTCAAATCCCATGGAGGAATATTGCAACCTCTACAAACCGAGCCCGAAGACCAAATACAACTCAACTCAGAGTCCCTCAACAAAGATCTAAGATTTATAACATGTGCAAATAAAAAAAAATGTGAAAAAAGTCAGAAGGACACTTATCTGTTAAAGATTCATCACTGTTTTCAGCTCACTTTCTGCACAAGAGCCTGACTAGCATGATCTCAGAAAGATGCCAATGCCAATGTATATTTTCACCCATTTTAACTCATGATAGAGAACCAAGAAAGAATCGGGAACATCTGAGGAAAAGAACTAGCATTGCACTTCAGCTTCTGATTTAACAGGATTTGGCTGATACAGAAGTGGCATCATACATATATTACTTCACTTTGTGTCATATGCAGTCAATGGTTATCATTCACTTCTATGGGAAAGTAAAGTGCTACATCAGAGGGTCCAAAAACCTGGAAAGACAAGGGTCCTAAAGAGGGACACAACAATCCATCCCCAAAACATTCTTGCTTCCCTTCCTTACGTGGCACATCCTGTTACTCCTTCGCTAAAACCAGTTGTACATAAAGTGCCTGAACGAGGCAAAGCACACAACGTTGCCATGTGAAATTTCCTAATGCAAACAGCAGGAACAAAAAACGATAAAAAATGAAACTAATTAATGACTGGATATAAATAAGCAAAGTCTGGAAGTCTTGCTTTAGCCACCACTATTTTTTTAATCAATCTTTCTGCTACATTTGAGTTTTTCAAAAGGATCCTCATTTTAAACTTAAGACATTATTCGACATGATTGCTAGAACTCCTACTACAAGTTAGAAAGAATCTACATGTGATACCAGTTTTTCTTTGACTTCACACTACGCTAGGGACACATTATTTTTAGGTAACAAAGAGACTGGCCCTTTTGTCCAAAGGGGAGACACAAGAAATGTTGTGTGCAGTAATAAGGATGGTACTGATATAAGGCTTTGAAATAAAACTAGTCCAATCTCCACACAGAACGCTTTGCTACCTTTCCAGAAACTGCTAGGATGCTAGTTTTGACTGAATGCTGAAATTTCAAATTGACGGGAGTGTAAAAAAAAGAGGTCCACCCCCAATACCTAGATCCGTGATGGTGAACCTATGACACGCGTTTCAGCACTGACACGCATGGCTATTTTTGATGACACTCTTTTATGCGGCCACATACAGAGAAATACACCTTCTAAGAGCCAATCTAATTCCATCCTTAAATTTGTAAAAGGCTCTGCAAGTTTAACATCTGCACGCTTGAGCATAACTCAACATGGATTATACATTTTTCTTATTTAAACTATAAATATTGCAAATTTATGTTTTTTTTCTCGAAGTGACACTCTACCCAAGTTATGCTCAGGCTTTTGGAAAATTTTGACACACCAAGCTCAAAAGATTGCCCATCACTGACCTAGATTCAAGTTTTTAAAATTATATTTTTAGAGACATTACCTTTGGTTTACAAACTATTTTGACTTGAATTAGGAACCTAAAAGGGGGGGGGGGGGGAATCCATGTTGTTTTAGTCATTCTTCAAAGCAATAAATGGAAGAAGTGATAAGGAGATACAGCACACTTCCGATTATTAAGTGGCACCGGACAAATCACAGTTGCCTGTTGTTCTGCCCTCATTGTAAAGGCACAACAGCCTGAAGTACCTTCCACCATGTCTTCGTAAAGGCTTTTGCGATACAGTATAGGCCCTCGAAACAGTGCCGATGCCACAGCTGGCCTGGAGCCTTCACGCGCCGAGACGACATGCCACTATTCACCACAGAGACTCTGTGAGGCTAAGGCAAGCAATCTCACAACAATCCGGACATGGGAGGAAAGAAGCTCCTTCCCCAAACGGATGTCCTGCGTTACGGAACCATGCAAAGGAACCCTGCCAATGGATCAATTGCACTTTCCCATTTTTTAAAAAACAGGGAAATCAAACAAAAAAAAATTACAACACATGCTGGCTTGTGCCGATCGAACCTGGCTAGCTGTCACAACACCGAACAATTCCATTTAATTTTCAGGGCCTCACGATCCTCCACAAAGTTCGCCACTTCGTAGTCCGGTGTGCACATTATTTCAAATTATAGTTCATCCTTTTCCATCATTTCAAATGCTTCTATGTCTTCATTCCAATCAGCTAATATTGAGTCCATAGACTGGCCCTTATTATCCCAGCTATTGCTGGGATTGGAATCTGTCTCAATATTGGATTGTTCCTCAATTGGATTATCCAATTCTGACACTGGATTGTTACTACTAGTTTCTTGTAGTTTGGGGATACAAGAATCCTCATCCGGAAGAGGAACACGGCTGCTGTCCAACTCTGCGTGTGAACTCAAGCCACCTTCTTCTTCGGGATCTTGAGGCACCAAGTTCAAATCTGTTGAGATTTCTTCCGACCTCTCATTATGAGAGTCGTTGTCTGATGACTTCTGATCCATACTTTCCATTTCCAAATCTAAAGGGAATGGGGAAGGATGGGGGAGTGACAAAAGAAAAACAGAATTTTCAAAATCTATATAAATAAAAATGTAATGTTCGTTTGTGGTATTCACAGAACTCAAAAACCACTGGGGGAATTGACACCAAATTTGGACACGATACACCTAACAACCCAATGTATGTCCTTCACTCAAAAAAATTGATTTTGTCATTTGGGAGTTGTAGTTGCTGGAATTTATAGTTCACCTACAATCAAAGAGCATTCTGAACTCCACCAACGATGAAATTAAACCAAACTTGGCACACAGTTCTCCCATGACTAACAGAAAATACTGGAAGGGTTTGGTGGGCAGTGTCCTTTGGTTTTGGAATTGTAGTTCACCTACATCCAGAGATCACTGTGGACTCAAACAATGATGGATCTGGACCAAACTCTACACAGAGATTCAATATGCCCAAATGTGAACACTGGTGGAGTTTGGGGAAAATAGAATCTTGACATTTGGGAGTTGTAGTTGCTGGGATTTATAGTTCACCTACAATCACAGAGTATTCTGAATCCCACCAACAATAGAATTGGGCCAAACTTCCCACACAGAACCCCCATGTGGGCCACAGAAATGCACTGATATATTTTTTCACTTCAGTTATTTCCACCCTGAAGCACAATTTGACTCTGGGATATCAACCCCTTCCTTAGTTTTTCCTCAAATAATACTATTAGGTCATGTAAACTTTGGTATTCAAAGTCATTGGCCTTGATACTTTTGTACATAATATAATTGAATGTTTACCAATTTTATCTTTTATGTTTGGAAGCCGCCCTGAATCCCTTCGGGAAGAGAGGACGTCTTAAAAATAAGTTGTTCTTGTTGTTGTTGTTGTTGTTATAAATAGACAAGCAACTAGAACATTAACTTAATATGTCATTTACATTTGTCAAGCAGCAGCCACTCCTAATATAGATGACATTACTAAAAATAACAAAAAAAAATAGAACGTATAAGTTTTCGTTTTGTTACTAAAAACACTGAGCTGCCTGACTGAGAAAAACCGGTTCAAAGAGAGCTTTAAAGCAGGAGGCAAAATTCTAATCATTTTGCTAAATTTATCTGATGCTTTGCTCTTTGTTTTCCGGCAGCTAAAGGAAATTTAGCAACCTGCATAGCAGTAAAAATTCTGCTCCTTTTTAGGGAGATTTGGTTGCCAAAGAATAAAGGATATACTGGGTTGTTGTAGGTTTTTTCGGGTTATATGGCCATGTTCAAGAGGCATTCTCTCCTGACATTTCACCTGCATCTATGACAAGCATCCTCAGAGGTAGTGAGGTCTCACCTCACTACCTCTGAGGATGCTTGCCATAGATGCAGGCGAAATGTCAGGAGAGAATGCCTCTCGAACATGGCCATATAGCCCGAAAAAACCTACAACAACCCAGTGATTCCGGCCATGAAAGCCTTCGACGATACAATAAAGATAGTGTGAGGTTGTATACCTACACACACAACACCCATTTGCAATGTTGTATAAGCAAAGGTGTTGTGCTACATCATTGCATATAGTGAAAACCTTTGGTATCACTGTACCACACAAAACCCCAGTGATTGTGGCCAGGACAGCCTTCGACAACATGACAAACAGCTGAAGCAAGTGTCAGAGAGAGCCTGAGGATGTCTGAAATGGCAGGAGGCTAGGAAACCTCAGCATGGTGTTCAACTTGCAGCAAAATCAAAGTTTACTTTTTGGATTTTTTAAAAAAATAGGTTGAATTTGTGGGTGGAAAAGGTGTGGATATAGCAAACATTGTGAAGGATAGTTCTAAACAAAATGTTAGTTTAGAACCACAATTACAGACCAGGAAGTTTTCATGATTGAAATTCACTGTTTTGAGCAATTATTGGAATAAAGGCAAGCTTTTAAACTAGGGTGGAAGAGAAGATTGGAAGCACATCAATACAGGCTGAGCATCTTATCCAGAATTTCAAAACTGTCCACATGAGTGGCTCAAATAGTGACATCTTTGTTTTCTGATGTTCACAATCTTTGTTTCATACACAAAATTGGTTAAAATAATATTACCTTCAGTCTATGTGTATAAGGTATATATGCAACAAACTATTTTTATGTTTAGACGTGGATCCCATCCCCAAGGTAAGTTATTATGTACTTATATGCTAATTCAGGTATTTCAAAATCCCAAACACTTCTGACCCTAAGCATTTCAAATAAGAATACTCAACTTGTATTAATTCCATATGCTTTACATCTAATACTGAGGAAATATTGCAAGCCACACTATTGTTGTAAAGTAGTGATGATGTAAAATAGTGTGATGATGTAAAAATGTAAGAGGAAAGAGGACAAGAGGCATCCCTCTCATACTCCTCCATTCATGGATAAACTTTCTAACAATAGTCAATTTGCCCCAAGCCTGACTCTAAGAAAAGCATTAGAGTGAATTACAGTGTTCCCTCGCTACTTCATGGTTCACTTACTGCAGACTCGCTATTTTGCAGGGAGATATATTTTACGTAGTGAGGGAACATTGTAGCAAGGAGGAAAGAAGAGCCACTTCCTTGCCTCTATACCTTCCTCTTCCTCCTCCTCCTTGTCGCCGCCTGGGCATCTTGCTGCTGCTTGGGCCTCTGCAGCAAGAGGCCCCAGCAGTGACGAGGAAGAGGAAGGTAAAGATGGCGAGGGGTGGCTCTTCTTCCCTCATCGCCCTTTTTACCTTCCTCTTCCTCCTCACCACCACCGAGGTCCCACAACACCTCTGCCGCCTCCTCAATCGCAGGTCCCGCAACACCTCTGCCGCCTCCCCAAGCGGCGACAAGAGGCCCAGATGGCGACTAAGAGAAGGAAGAGGAAGGTAAAGAGCGCAAAGAGGGAAGGGGAGGGGTGTCCCTACTTTATTTATTTATTTAATATTCGAACTTATATGCCGCCACTCCCCTGGGACTCGGAGCGGCTTACAAGAACAGGCTAAAATCCAACACAATTTAAAAACAATTTAAAAACAGCAATATTAAAAGTCAAAGGCCTGTCAAAACATATATGTCTTACATGCCCTGCGGAAAGCTGATAAGTCCCGCAAGGCATGGACTTCAGGTGGCAGAGTATTCCAGAGTGATGGTGCCACTGCTGTAAAGGCTCTGCGTCTGGTTGCTGTTAGACACAAGATCTTGACATTGGAAATTTCCAACAAACCTTGGTCCTCGGAATGGAGAGATCTCTGGGGTTGGTAGGGGGTGAGGCGGTCCCTCAGGTACAGCGACCCCAGACCATGCAAGGCCTTAAAGGTGAGAACCATCACTTTGAAAGTGATCCGGTGCTCAATTGGTAACCAATGCAGCTGCCGTAAGATTGGTGTTATGTGGCATCTCATTGGAATTCCCGCAAGAAGCTGAGCAGCTGCATTTTGTACCAACTTGGGCTTCCGGATCACCGACAGAGGAAGGCCAATGTAGAGGGCGTTATAGTAGTCCAGTCTTGAGATGACCGTAGCCTGGATCACCGTAGCTAGGTCGTCCCTAGGCCAGCCGTCTAGCCTGCTGCAGATGAAAAAAGGCAGTTCTGCTAACGGCGGAGACTTGGGCCTCCATCGTCTATATGGGGTCCAAAAGGACTCCCAGACTCTTTACCAATGATGACGGGCGTAGTGCCTCGCCATCCAGGGTAGGCTGCTGGATGTCCCCACTGCCCGGAAGACCCAACCATAGGATCTCAGTCTTTGCTGGATTCACCCTCAACCTGCTGGCACGCAGCCATCCAGTAACGGCCTCAAGGCACTGATGGAAATAATCGGGTACAGAGTCCAGTCGGCCTTCCATCTTCAGCACCAGCTGAGTGTCATCGGCATACTGATAACACTCAAGTCCAAAACCTCGAACCAGCTGAGCAAGTGGTTGCATATAAATGTTAAACAACAGAGGATTTTCACTTATTGCGGGTGGTCCTTGAACGTAACCTCCGTGATAAGTGCAGTGATAAGTAACTGCAAATACAGGACTGGGTACCAATAAATTATTGTTGTTGTTGTTATTAAGTTACTGTTGATAATATATTGTTTTTGTTGACCCTCCTTTTCCACTTACAGAGCTTGTTAACTGTTTTTCTTTGAAATATGGTAAATATTCAGAAACATTTAACCTACGGATGCATCAATGAATGTAATTTTATTGGTATCTATTTTTATTTTGAAATTTACCAGTAGCAGCTGCATTTCCCACCCTCGGCTTATACTCGAGTCAGTAAGTTTTCCCAGTTTTTTGTGGTAAAATTAGATGCCTCAGCTTATATTCGGGTAGGCTTTTACCCAAATATAAGCCTATATACAGTATATCTGGTTAAAACCTAGTTAAGAAGCTTTACATACTACAAACCAGAATCAGTGAGAACAAAATGTGATCTGGCTTGCTGTGATCTTTAATTTATGTCTGTCCTTTTGGAAACATCCCACAGTGATGTGCAGTGTAATGAACGGATGTGGCTTGTAAGGATCTAGTGATTGCTCCCACTCATTGTGAGTGCACCCATGGTGTGTTGTATCTTATGGAAGAGTGATAAGATCACGTTGAGCAAGGTTTTTTGAGATGTTCTCCAGACATAACTGAGCTTCTCAATGAGGTTCCTACGCACACTCTGAACACAAATGGGGGCTATTGATCAAACACTCCCTCAGGTGAACACTGATGATATTCTGATTAAATTTTACCAGAGGAAACATATTAAAGAATTAAGTTTAAAGAACTATCAGCCAAAGTCTACAGATATGTTTGATACTTACTGCTATCAATAATGTAGTTTGGAATCATTTTATCTTTAAATATAGTTGCTGATATTCCAAGGATAGCAGAGGAAAAAGGGGAAAAAGCACATATGCATTTTAAATCCATAAACACATGAAATTTCAAATGTGATTCGTTCATAGATTTAGTAGCTTATTTGAGAGAACCACACAATATTATCAAATATGACAGGATTCAAAATATTATCAAATACAACAGGATTCATAAATTTGCTGTCTAAATACATATAGTTTAGGAGGAGAATTCTGGCCCCATGGTGATTTCCTCCCTCCCGTTTTAATTTACTGCAAATTGTGCAAACAATACTGTGTGGCGTGCCAAAGGAATGGTTCTGTGCTTCACTAGCAGAACAGCAGAATCCAGTAGAAGCAGGAGGGGACTGTTCAGTGCAGCTCCCGGAGTCCTCCCCAAAACTCCTCCAAGGAATTAGGAAATCCCTTGCTCCAGAGCCCACCTTCAGGCAGCTCAAAAAACAAGGGATGGGGATGGAAGGCCATTCCCTTACATTGCTGCATGGAGGCTATGGTTTTCACAGAGAGGAAATGGAGCCATAGTGTATAAGGAGTCAGAAAGGATCCATTGTGTACAAGGAGGCAGAAAGTGAGAGACGTTTGCAGTGATCAAAAGGGAATAGAATTACACTCCCCCTGAAGGCACAGGTTCGCAGCTTGGGAGTGATCCTGAACTCATTGCTGAGCCTGGAATCCCAAGTCTCGGCGGTGGCCGGGAGAGCTTTTGTACAATTAAAACTTGTGCGCCAGCTGCGCCCGTACCTTGGAAAGTCGGATCTGGCCACAGTGGTCCACGCTCTTGTTACATCCCGATTAGATTACTGCAACGCATTCTACGTGGGGTTGCCTTTGAAGACTGTTCGGAAACTTCAATTAGTCCAGCGGGAGGCAGCCAGAGTAATCACCGGAGCGTCATACAGGGAGCATACCACCCCTCTGCTATGTCAGCTCCACTGGCTGCCAATCCAATTCCGAGCACAATTCAAAGTGCTGTTTTTGACCTACAAAACCCTATACGGTTCCGGCCCAGTGTAGCTGTCCGAACGGATCTACCTCTACGTCCCACCTCGGAGGTTAAGATCTTCCGGGGAGGCCCTGCTCTCGTCCCCGCCTCTATCACAAGTGAGATTGGCGGGGACGAGGAGCAGGACCTTCTCGGTGGTGGCCCCTCACCTATGGAATTCGCTCCCTGGGGAAATTAGATCAGCGACATCCCTCCTTTCCTTTAGAAGGAAATTAAAAACATGGATTTGGGACCAGGCATTTGGGCAATCTGGCAGATAAACAAAGGACTACGACGACCGATAAGAGTAGACAATGTGGAATGAAGCGAACGCTGAATATGAGATTGGTTTATTGACTGTGATATATAATGATTGATTTTAACTGTTATAACTGGTTTAATTACTGTCTTATATGTTATCTGTATTATTGTGTAGGCATCGAATTGTGCCTTTTGTAAGCCGCCCTGAGTCCCCCCTTGGGGGCTGAGAAGGGCGGGGTAGAAGTACACGAAATAAATAAATAATAAATGTGAATGAACACAGAATATCATATAGATAACACAGATTGAGTATCACTTATCTCAAAAGCTTCAGAACAATATTGCTTTGGGTTTCTTTGTTTTCTCTTTATTTGGATTTAGAAACATTTGTATGTGTTTTGCACATATGTATGCAATGAGATTATCTTGGAGATGGGACTAGAGATGGGAAGTCCTGGTAAAAAACAGGAAAACTTGGGGGGGGGGGGGACAGAAAAAAATAGGGGGAAACCAGAAAAAATTGAGAAAAATGGGAAAAAAAACAGAAAAAATGTTTTTTCTCCAGTTTTTCAGGGGGTTTTCCAGGCCCTCCCATCTCTAGATGGGACACAATCCTTTATTTATTTATTTATTATTTGAACTTACATGCCGTCACTCCCCTGGGGCTCGGAGCGGCTTACAAGAAAAGGCTAAAATCTAACACAATTTAAAAACAATTTAAAAACAGCAATATCAAAAATCAATGGCCTATGTTTCATAAGCAGTGGACCCTTAGGTTCTACTGGAGTTTGCTTCCAGGAATCCTGTGGATACTACTGTAGTGAATTCCCTACCAGTTAGGCTGAGAGAGGCCTTGGAAAATAGTAGGCTCAAGGAGTTTGGCAGCCATCACAGGAAAGGGTGCCAGGGGAATCCATTTTGGTCACTCATTTCCTGGAGGGGGCGTGTTTAGTAAGAGCAGCCTTTTGGAGGGAAATGAGAAAGAAATGTGATTGGCTAAGTTAGAGTGGGAGGAGCCTAACTTGGCAAAAGAAAAAAATGTCTTGAAAGAGAGGTTTTTAAATCCCTGTCAGGAGAGTGAACTTGGGTGTTGAAGGGAGAGGGTGTTTGGAGATTGGAGTGGCGTAGAGGGTTAGGAGAAAGGCCTGAGATTGGCCAGAGTTGCTAGCAGGGAGAGCTAGTGAGGAGTTTACAGCTATTAGGAAGGTAGCTGGGTAACAGAGAGATAGATCCAGGTTAGGACTATCTGTGGTGGTGGAGAATTACTGACAAGAGAAACTATCCTGTCAGGATTCTTGTTTGGAGGGAGAAAGAAGAGTTTCCTGTGTGACAAAGTCAGAACTGTTTATGTAACTACACACTTTGTAGACAAATCTCTGTAACAGCCAAGCTTAGTACCTGCATTGTTCCTGTAAATAAACTTTCTTGTTTATTGTTCATCACATCTGACTCACGTGTGCCTCTGTGCTTAAAGGTTTTAAAAGCAGCTTTAAGCAGAAATCAAGAACTTAAGGGTGGAAGTGTATGTTTTATAGAACTATCTTTAAAAGGTATCTCAGAAACTCAAGCCTAAGGGTTAACACTATCACACTGTTTCACAAGTTACCTCCAGTAAGCCAAGGGCTTATCAGCACTTCTATGTGGGTGGGTGCCAGTGCGTTTTCAAAAAAGGTTTTTTCAGCCAGGAAGAAAGTGACAGCTTTCTATCACAGCCTTTTGGGTTTTGGGGCTTGTAAATGCAGAAGCTTCATTTCCAATAAAGTGTTCAGTTTTGGGATTAAATATCCCCCCCCCCCCCCCAAATATTCCTCTGTCTTCTTTATAATTGGTGGCAAGCGCTGGGATTTAAAAAAATAAAATAAATCCGTCTCTTTATAACTACCATCTATAAATGGTCAATCCTTTAATATACAATAGTGTATAATGGTGCCCCTAGCATAAATAGCAAAATCCAGATTAGCCTTTCGGAATTAAAATTAAAAAAATTCAAATTATGGATAGTCAAATCCATAGATACTGAATCCTGACTGTACCCATTATACACATAGCCTGAAGGTAATTCAATACAGTATTTTCATAATTTTTAATCCACATCTTCTGCCATTACACAGATCCTTGGGTCTCTCTCCAGCCTGGTGTCTCATTCATTCATTTTCTGTGGTGTGTATGAGATGCAATGCTGGAGAGAGACTTGGTGGGAATCCAAGTGTTGTGTTCAGTATGGATCCGTGTCTTCTGCTATATCATAGATCCTGGCCTCTCTTTCTAACATCCCTCCTCCTGGGAGCCCACCAACCACCTGCTTTCATCTTGTGAATGACCAAGCAGAAGCACAATTGACACCTTGAAGGCTGAAGTGGATGGCTGGCAGCAAAAAGTTTTGGATTTTGGAGTATTTCAAAATTCTGTGTATGAGATGCTCAACTTACATAACATTAAACAAAACTCCAACCCATTCCTTCTTGATATGACTCCCTATTGTTTTTAAGAAATGACAGAAAAAATATTAGTTTTCTAACCTGCATGTTTCAAATTCTTCAAAAGACTGAGGAAAATTGAGGAAATAGAAAAGGATTCTTTGCTATATGATAACAGTAGCAACAATAATGAAAAGATATGGAAATATCAAAATGGACTAATTGGATAATAAAAATACAAGAATATGCAGGAATTGATAGTATTGATCTAAGAGAAATTTATACATAAGTTTAAAGAAGAATGGAATTTAGTGATGGACCTTATGAGGTTTAAATGAGGGGCAGAATCAACTCTAGGTTACGGCTAAAAGTAGTGCATAATTAAAAGTTGAAATAATGGCGAATAGAGAAATTAAAATGTCAGGTACTAGTAACAATGGTAAAGTGGCAAACTGAGGGTCAATTTGTGATTGGTGTTAATTTAGTTTGGTTTATTTTTTTAATTTGTGAGAGTGTTTCACTATTTAGTAAAGGATGTTAAAGGGGTAGGGGCACCTTTTTATTATTTTGGCATTCCCAATATGTTGCTTTATGATGTCAAATTATAGTAATAAATTAAAATATTTTATATAAAAATAAATGCAATTCCCTTCAACTTGTTGTGAGACTCCACCCCTTCTACACTGTCATATAAAATCCAGATTATCTGCTTTGAACTGGATTATATGGCAGTATAGAAGGGGCCTCCCTTCTCCCTAATTTAGCCTTCTGACTTGTTTCAGAGTTGCTCAATATTCTAAAGGCACCAAATCCACTCCGATCTTGGAATATCAGCAGGGTCCGTCCTGGTTAGGGCTTGGATGCCAACAAATACCAACTAGTGTAGGCTATATTTCTGAGAAATGAACTGGCAAAACCACCTCTGTGTATTCCTTGCCTAAGAAAACACTATGAAATTCATGGGATCGCCATAATTCAAAATTCAAAAGGTGGAAAGGTCCACAGTTTTCCAGTTCAGATGAAAAACCCTACAATAAATGGAAGACTTCCAGTTTTGCTTTCTGTGTGTGATCACAAGGTACATATTCCTATCTCGGCATACTATGAAAAGTCATTTGTATCTGAACTATTTTTTTTCCTGCTATAAGTAAAAAAGGGTTCACTTCAAGGAATTCAGATGTCACTTTTGTGAAAGAAGCTAGAATGAATATTTCTCGGTAATCTTTGGGAAGCAATGTTTCTTACATTCTTTTGCTCTTACCTCTGTCTTTTGCTTTATCGGAAAGCAACACTTCTACTGCTTCGTATTCCTGGATGGCATCAAGAATAATACTGCCTTCTTTATTAAAGAGGAACAACATGGGGATGGTGATGTCATCTGTATTCTTGCCATCACCTGCCATTTGGAAGAGGGGAGCCGTGTCGCTGCTGCTGCCTTCATTGTCATCTAGTTAGTCAGAATAAACAGTATTTTAATGAACATATCAATCTAAACCACTGAAGAATCAGTGAGCATGTTATATTTCCTGTGTGTAGTGAACATGGAAAATAGCATTTTATGACACTGACCATACAACGTTGAGTATCCATTTTCCAAAATGCTGAGAACCAGAGTATTTTGGATTTTTTTTCAGATTTTGAAATACCTGCATTAGCATATACATGTACATAATCAGATATCTTGGAGATATCTACTTGCTGAGAGATGGCAGATAAACAGTCACCACTTAGAATGATAATAGCTTCATTTGATCTTGTTAAAGGGAATGAATGTTTGGAAATTTGTATATTTAGACAACTATGTACAATGTATTCTCGAAGGCTTTCATGGCCGGAATCACTGAGTTGTTCTAGGTTTTTTCGGGCTATATAGCCATGTTCTAGAGGCATTCTCTTCTGACGTTTCCCGGCATCTATGGTAAGCATCCTCACTACCTCTAAGAATGCTTGCCATAGATGCAGGCGAAACGTCAGGAGAGAATGCCTCTAGAACATGGCCATATAGCCCAAAAAAACCTACAACAACCCAACTATGTACAATTTAAAAAGATGTGAGAGGAAGCCACAGGGAGGAGGGAGCAAGCTTGTTTTCTGCTTCCTTGGAGACTAGGATGCGGAACAATGGCTTCAAACTACAAGAGAGGAGATTCCATCTGAACATGAGGAAGAACTCCCTGACTGTGAGAGCCGTTCAGCAGCGGAACTCTCTGCCCTGGAGTGTGGTGGAGGCTCCTTCTTTGGAAGCTTTTAAACAGAGGCTGGATGGCCATCTGTCAGGGGTGATTTGAATGCAATATTACTGCTTCTTGGCAGGGGGTTGGACTGGATGGCCCATGAGGTCTCTTCCAACTCTTTGATTCTATGATTCTAAGAACTCTCAACTCACTTCAGTTTGGTTTAGCAGCCATTAAACAAGTTTCATAACTGTCAACTGCTAATTTTCAAACATGCGACAAATGCCCAAGAGAACTGCAATGCTATGTGTGTTTGCTTGGGAGTAGGCCCAAGTGAACTCAGTAGAATTTACTTTCTTTTTCTTTATTAAATTTATTTTTACCCCACAATTGCACTGCAGTTACATATTCTGATCAAGATATAATGCAATACAATGGTACACTTGCCTCCTATCACCCTGCTCCCCCTTGGCCTTCTCTGTTGACGTTCTGACTATTTTTACTAGGACTACAAAATGAACAAGCGACATCAATAAACACAAAAACATTTGTTGTTGATCATTCGTTCAGTCTTTCCGACTCTTCGTGACCTCATGGACCAGCCCACACCAGAGCGCCCTGTCAGCCATCATCTCCCCCAGCTCCTTCAGAGTCAAGCCAGTCACTTCAAGGATGTATTACAACATATGATAATTGGGGTGAGAATGTTACATGCACAAAATTGGAAAAATACATGAATTCCAACAGCAGAAGAGTGGGGTACAAGTTTTTTAATCTGACAGGATTAACTTTCTATTCTACTGGGCTAGCTATGTATGGATAGCTGAGGGTGGGTGGTTGGGTGACAAAGAGGATATGGAAAATGCACACGACGATCAGATAAGATTTAAAAGTTACCATACTCACACTGATTGATAAATCAATCCAGAATTTTTTGGTTTGATTTTTTTACTAAAATTTCTAACCAAAAAATTCTGGATTGATGTAACAATCAGTGTGAGTATGGTAACTTTTAAATCTTATCTGATCATTATGTGCATTTTCCATATCCTCTTTGTCACCCAACCACCCACCCTCAGCTATATATTTGTATTCTATTTTAATAGGACCAGATGTATGTTGTATGTTGTGTTTGCACTGTCTGTTTTTGATAAGGTCAACTGGCTAATCAATAAAAATTGTTGTTGTTGTTTACTAAAATTTCTAGACTTATACACTAGTTAATTCAAATACCACACAATTGACATCAGTATTTCTATATAGCACTAGCTGTCCCCTCCTTTTTTCCTCCCTTCCTTCCTTCCTTCCTTCCTTCCCTCTTTTTCTTTCCCTTCTTCTTTCTTCCTTCTCTGTTTCTTTTCTCGCTTCCTTTGCTCTTTGGTTCCATCCTTCCTTGTCTCTTTCCTTCCTTCATTTCTTCTCTCTTTCGTTCCTTCTCTCCTTCCTTCCCTCTTTCACTTTTTTATTTCCTTCTCTCCTTCCTTCCTTCCTTGTCTCTTTCCTTCCTTCATTCCCTTTCTCTCTTTCGTTCGTTCTCTCCTTCCTTCCCTCTTTCACTTTTTTATTTCCTTCCGTCCTTCCTTCCTTCCTTCCCCCTTTCTGTGTATATGTTTTTTGTGTGTATATCTGTGTATATATTTCTGTATATATATGTGTGTATATATGTATATATATGTGTGTATATATGTGTATTTGTGTACATATGTAGTTTTGAGCATGCGTTGTAATGTAATTTTTGTTTTTTTGCTTTTTAAGTCCCTTCTGCTGTGTTTTTCAGTGTTTTAATGAGTGATGGTCACTCGTTGGCCTGATAGGTGCATTGTGTCCAAATTTGGTGTCAATTCCCCCAGTGATTTTTGAGTTATGTTAATCCCACAAACAAACATTACATTTTTATTTATATAGATGTTTTACTTACCAATAACTATGCCACCTATGGCCCCTGCTTTTTGGATGTTGCGTGCTTTTTCCGCAAACATGCACTGCCCTCTTTGCATCAAAGCAATTTTATTCTTCAGTGAGTCAGGATTGGTGATCTCAGAGCATCCATTATATGGTTTACTGACTGCAACAAATCCTCTTGTCTGTAGAAGACAAGAATTTTTAACATGTAATACTCAAGTCTGTAGAAATTCTGCATTTTCTCCAGTGAACCATCTGAGCAACATGACAGGAAGCATACGAAAGAAAATCCTGCCCTCCACTGACTGTACTTAAGACTTATTAAAACCACAAACTTTAATCTTAATAGTTATATTATTTATCCTCTTTCTTGTTGTTAGACATAAGTCTAATGCCATTTTGAAGTTATTTTATGAAATCTACCTAAATTCAGGTGTTAGTTCCAACTCAACTTGGCACACAGAAGTAATAACATTCGTTGGGAACTAACATTTATAGGAACTAACAATGGGATTTAAATTACTGTTTTCCAGCAACTTACACTATAGGCTGGTTTTAATAACTGAGGATGGTTTGTTTATTCGCGGTATTTGGAGGCCACTCTTTAACAAAATAGGACTCTTAAAGTAGCTTGCAAATTGTGAATTTGTTAGTTCCCTGTCTTAATGCTAACAACCGAATTATAGTCTTATTGATCTATTGGCCCAATATTATTAATACCCTAGTAGTCCTGAATCTCTTGGAATCCTTAATTACCATATGGGGTGTAACTAGGCACCTTGTCAAGTCAAACATGCCTTCCAGATCATTAGTTGTCCTAACTCCCATCAATTCAGGGTTGGGTTAGTTAGACTATATTAGTCTTGTTTATTGTTTATTTATTTTTATTTATTTACAGCATTTTTATCCCACCCTTCTCAACCCCCGAGGGGTAGACTCAGAGCGGCTAACAAAGGCAGCAATTCAATGCCACAATCAATAACACAGTATAAAACTATAAATACATACAGAGTTAAAACAATAGCAATTAATTATAACCAATTATCATAACAGTCATTAAAACAATACTCAGTCCACAAACCCACTGATAGAACCATAAAATCGTATCCTCATATATATCGTCTTGCCAATCAATTTCCAGTCAAAGTGCTGCGTTATGTTTATTGTCCGAAAGCCTGGTCCCAAAACTAAGATTTTAATTTCTTCCTGAATGTTAAGAGGGATGGGGTCGATCGTATTTCATTTGGAAGCGTGTTCCACAGGCGGGGGGCTACAGCCAAGAAGGCCCTGTCTCTCGTCCCCACCAGCCATGTTTGCAATGTTGGCGGGAGCAAGAGCAGGGCCTCCCTGGATGATCTTAAGTTACAAGGTGGGACGTAGAGGCAGATGCGTTCGGACAAGTAAGCTGGGCCAGAACCGTATAGAACTGTATTGTGGCTAATGGACTTCTCTTGGAAGAAAACAAAGTATACTTGCTCTCCTAGAAATCTGACCACTCCCACATTTCTGAGCATGTATTCTTCTAGACTGCCTCTGGGAGTTTGAATTCTTAATATTGTACTGCAGTGGCTTATTTATTTTATTACATTTATTTGTCACTTTTTTCAACCTCCTTCCCCCACCAAAAAAACAGACATGTGAAAGCAAATGAAAAGAACATTTTAAAATAACTGAAGGTCATCTGGCTTCATTCCTGCCTTCCATATGCAAGTACTGTCCGCTGAATATTTTTAGGCTGTTTTCTTCCAAATTAACCGAGAGTTTTCAAACCTAGTTACACTCAGTTGCTTTCCCGTCTTTGGGGTGTTTGTAGGAGAACTCCCTTAGATTACAAAGCACCCATGAACACAGTTTTTAAAAAACAGCAACAGTAAGAGCAAAGTATTGACGTGCTCCAAAGTAAATACGCACCCCTGATTTGTGTTTGGACAGGTCCATCCCAAACTGTGCAGGCCCGGCTGTCAGGACTACTCTGCCAAAAAATGGATGGGAAACTATCTGAACGGCACGAGGAGGTAGTTGCTGCTCTTTCTGTTGTTGACTGGATAGCTCAATCATTTCTTGCATGAATCGTAAACCATCTTCAGCATCAAGGGAACTTGCTGCCTAAGGAAAAGAGTCAAACAAGCAAGTTCTGGCATCAGCTGGCATTTTCTAAAAACATTTTTCTTTTAGTGCATCCTTGAGAACCAAAAAGATGGGGCAGACTGCCAGTACTTTAGAATCAATAGCAGGGTATGACTATGTATTTACCAATCAAGGATGTTAATCAGAGATAAGCAAAATTTCCAAAATTTTGTATAATTGTGTATTTTTTTCATGGGTAAATCTTCACATCATATACACACCTATGTTTTTCCATAATTGTCTGCACTGCAAAGTGTTAGATGAGCTAAATATAGGATGTTAACTTCTAGTTAGTCTAGGGAGAGACATTCTGAAGAACCCTAGTGTGCAGAGGACTAGATTAACAAATGAATGAACAGCTAACCTTGTTTCTATTTTGCCAAATATCTTCCTCCTCGGTCACAAGTACAAGAAATAAAGATACAAAATGTTAGGTTCTCTATGCCCACAAACCAACTCTGTACTTGAGTAGAACAGAATGTTCTGTTAATTGCACGGAAACATTTTTTCTAACTTGAAAGGAATTAGTAAGTAGTGCAAAGGGTGAGTGAAGATGGCACATTCTAAAGTTATATCTCAGCAACACAAAGTTAAACTACTACTGTAAAATATATATCAGCAACAGCTCTGGTTTGCCAGATATGTGTAATCATACATATGCGATTTTCTTTATATTGTTACAAATATCCCAATAAAACAATTTCCACATAAAGATTTGATATGTGTTTGACTATAATAAAGCAAACAGGGTAAATTAGATAACATTATTACAGCAACAGAAATTTCTCTGGAAAATGTTCTAGTTTTACTTTTCCAGAAAATCCACACCAAGGGCATTAATATCCCACAGTCTAAAGCAGGGGTCCTCAAACTTTTTAAACAGAGGGCCAGGTCACAGTCCCTCAAACTGTTGGAGGACCGGATTATAATTTGAAAAAAAACCATGAATGAATTCCTATGCACATAGCACATATCTTATTTGTAGTGCAAAAAACACTTAAAAACAATACAATAATTAAAATGAAGAACAATTTCAACAAATATAAAATTATTAATATTTCAATGGAAAGTGTGGGCCTATTTTTGGCTGATGAGATAGGATTGTTGTTGTTGTGTGCTTTCAAGTCGTTGCAGACTTAGGTTGACCCTGAGCGAGGGCCGGGTAAATGACCTTGGAGGGCCGCATCCGGCCCCCAGGCCATAGTTTGAGGACCCCTGGTATAAAGGTATATAATCGACATGATCAATATATAAAAGAAATAAGCAGGACAAGATAAGTATTTCTAGGAAATTACTTCAGGGGACATGGAATGACTTCTGAAATGAAAACTGACATGAAGCCACCAAAAAAGAGAAATGCACTACCATTGGAGACACATATTTCAATGAGTTTGTGTTACTCCTAAAAAGGCAAAACCATTTCATGTCGGGCCTCAAAACTGAAATACACTTAATTCAACTTCACAAAAGATGCGGTTAAAGCAACTTTAAAAACCTGTCAGATGCCCTGAAACATGATGGATTACACCAGGGATCCTCAAACCAAGTCCTGGAGGCCAGATACGGCCCCTCCAAGGCCATTTACCCAGCCCTTGCTCAGAGTCAACATAAGTCTGAAACAACTTGAAAGCCCACAACAACAACAACAACAACAACAATCCTATCTCTTCAGCCAAAAACAGGTCCACACTTCCCATTGAAATACTAATAAGTTTATATTTGTTAAAACTGTTCTTCATTTTAATTATTGTATTGTTTTTAAGTGTTTTTGCACTACAAATAAGATATGTGCAGTGTGCATAATAATTCATTCATGTTGTTTTCACATTATAATCCAGCCCTCCAACAGTTTGAGGGACTGTGACCTGGCCCTCTGTTTAAAAAGTTTGAGGACCCCTGGATTACACAGTGATACCTTGATTACAGTATATATGACTCTGTGACCGAGCTCTGAACTCAAAACACTCTTGACCTCCAATTGAATTTACCCACTGAGATTCATTTGTTCCAGCCCCCCCCCCCATTTTTGTTACACATTTTAAATAAGAAAATGTACTTTATAAATAAGAAATAATGTATAAATGTACATTAACATGGAACAATAAAAAAGAAAAATCAACTTTAAAATGGTAGAAGCACAAATTGTGGCAAGGAAGCACAAAGCACAAAGCGAAGAGGCAGAAGCATCCTTTTCTTCATACTGTACTCATTCCCTCTCATGCTCTCTCTCTTCATGAAATCAAACATACTGGAATAAAAACCATACAAGATCAACTAACCCAAAGTTCCTCAAAGCAGACAAGAACAAAGCGAAAAGCAATCTCCAAAGCAGGCAAGAGTGTGAGGCACGTAGGCTGCTCCCTCAAAGCCCTAAAGCCCTGTACTTTGTCCCTTTGGCGCTAACTCTTAACTCAAAATGCTATTCTTCTGTCAAAGTGAAACTCAGGCTGAATGGCAGCTCTTAACTCAAAACATTCTAAAGTTGGGACACTTTTAAGTCAAAATTCCACTTTAGTACCACTATCAAAAAAATAAATTATATTATCCCAATGCTTTAACCATGTTGTACCCCGCCTCAAGAGGCTGGAAATAAATAATAATACTTATTATTATTATTATTATTATTATTATTCACAAAAATCTGGGGAAACATTGGAAAAACACTTTTTTGTGCACAGACTCAGGAGTGCCCAAAAGAGATCTCATTACCTACACTAGACCAATGTTAGGTCAAGATGTAAACTGAGCTAGAAGAAAAAAACTTGCCTGGATCGCATGTTGCACCAACTGGACTCTTCCGTCTTTGAGATGAATCAAGCTGACTCCCATTTTCTTCAATATTTCTAAGTGCTCAGGATTGCTGGCCATGAAATCCCTGGCTCTCAGTGGGGGCTTGGGTCCATTACTCAAACTTTCTTCCCTGTGACAGAAAAGAAAGTCCAGGAAACTTTAAAGAACAGAACGCACTGTCAGAACAGTGTACCTAATAAATGAGCCATAGCATACACGGCCACCTTTATGCTTGCCCTTTCTACTTTAATGTTACTGAGCTTTTTTGTGTAAGGATCTCATGACTGTAACATGACAAAGAAACATATACCGAGGAAGTACTTCTATGAGGCTAAACCAAGATTAATCTGATCTTGCTCAGGAATACACACATCTCTTAAAAGAAATGGGCAAATTAACAATGTTGTTGGTCATGGGATATATTCTTAGATGAATGGAAACCATTTTATCCATATACATCTGAGACTTTATGTACAGATTTAGAGAAATAAAATGTTGGGATATTAACTTGTACATGTTAAAATAAACAAAAGTAAATTTGCTGGATATAAAGAGGAAGAAAAAATGTTATATTTATAGAGAAATCAACAAAAGAGAAACTGGAAATCCAATTTCACGTTGGTAGTTTGGTACACGTTGGTAGTTTTAGAGCGTTAGATAGAGTAGAGATGTATGTTTGTGAAGTATGTCTATGTTTACGTATGTATAAGTATTGTTATTATTGTGTAAGTTTTTATTATTCAAAAAATAATTAAAATATATTGTGAAGTGGGGGGATATAAACAAACACAGACAAATGGGCCAGTTCAACTAAAATCTTTTCCCACTGGCTATTTTTAAAATAAAGTCAAAGGAACATCAGGGGGTATTAGTTACAACCCAGTCTTACACTCTTGAGACACTTCTGGGACAGCTCTTGTCCACCACATTTTTTAGAGGTTCCCTGATACTCTGCGCATACATAGGATCATTGGGAAATAGGATTTGGGTGTTAGGGCAGGTCCAGTCAAAGTTACTATCATCCAGCTCTGTGTATTCTGTTGTCTGTAAAGGAAAAACATAAGAACACATTTGCTCTACGATTTAGAATCATAAGCCACATTGCTTTGTGAACCATCTCAACAAAAAAGTCAAAGAAAGAAACTCCTTGTAATTTGACCACAAAGTCATTTAATAGCTCATAACACATTAAATTTGACTCCAGCAAAGTTCTCTTTGTGTAGAACAATGTAAAAGAAAATTTATTACAACAGAGGAATTCTGGTCAACACTGAAACTGGTTGAGCTTTAAACACTCACAATATTTTTCCTAGGTGCGGTTTGGTTTGTAGTAGACAGCCAAAGAGGTAGTAAGTGAGCCTCTGTAGTAAAGATATAATCTTCTATATCAAAAGTCAGGTCTTCCTTTTCAGTAAAGAGCAAATATAAATATTTGAACATTTCAGCTAAGAAAAAAGAATCCATCCTAGGAAAAAAGACAAAAATATTATCTGAGCATCATATCACATCACTTGTTGTGCCTTTTTTCTGTATGCTGCTTTATCTGGTGCTCCTATGAAGCACAGAGGCATTTTCCGCAGGAGTGGATAAACTATGATTAATCCACTAACCCCATGTAGCCCTCTTATTACGGAAAAGGGGAAAGGCTGCCCACCCAGCACCAGAGGAACACTGCTCAAGAGCCTTGTGTGAAAAGAGATGCCCCAAAGCCATCACCAGAATTCTTTATCATTACTTTAATAACTTCCTAAAAGAGTTGGGAGTTCTCGCAGTGAGTTTTTTTCCTCCTTTGTAGATAACAAAGGAGGAAAGGTGGTTGCTGGAAAGGCCCAGGTGTACTTAATCTTCTCTGTTCTGAGTCTGTCTGTGACGACCTTGAAGAAAGCTCTTTCTTCTCTAGTAGATTTTGCCAAGTCCTGAAAGACTATCACCTTGTTTCCATTATATTTTAAGTCCTGCACTTTCCTCAGGGATTTGTAGACTTTTAAACAAGTGGATTCTCTGGCAAAGGCAATTATCACTGTCCTTGGTCTTCATTTTTGCTGGTTTTTATCTTTTTTTACATATGACGGTATTCTGTGTGCACATTCAATGTCATCAGGCGAAGCTAGTATTCCAAATTCATCCCACCATTCAGTCAATGCTTTAACCATGTTGTACCCGGCCTCAAGAGGCTGGTAATAAATAATAATATTATTATAATTATTATTCACAAAAATCTGGGGGAAACATTAGAAAATAAATGAAACCCAATGATTAAACAGTAAATTTTAGAACAAACATGAACTCATATTTCTATGTTCCAAATCTTGCTTGACTGGCAAAACCAGATTTAATTTTTTTTACGTTCAGTTTTGCAAGACACATAAGCAAGAATTACAACCTCGTAAATCCTGCATATTTATGGTTATGACACTATTTCAACAACTGCAAATGCCAGCCAAACCTACAGTCAAAGCTAGGCAATTCAACCCACCAAGATGTCCTCAGAACTACTCGGGAAGTCAACAAGTCTTTTAGTTCTTTTTTGTGTTTTTTCTTTCTTTTTCTCTTCTCTCTTTCCTTTCCTTTCTTTTTCTTCCCTCCTATCTCTTCTTTTCTTCCCTTGTTCTTTGCTTTTCCCATACCTGTTTATTATAATTATTTTTGTTTCACTTGCTATTTAGAGTCTTTTATATACATACTAGCTGTCCCCTGCCACGCGTTGCTGTGGCCCACATGGGGGTTCTGTGTGGGAGGTTTGGTCCAATTCTATTGTTGGTGGGATTCAGAATGCTCTGTGATTGTAAGTGAACTATAAATCCAAGCAACTACAATTCCCGAATGTCAAGACTCTATTTTCCCCAAACTCTACCAGTGTTCACATTTGGACATATTGAGTATTCGTGTAGAGTTTGGTCCAGATCCATCATTGTTTGAGTCCACAGTGATCTCTGGATGTAGGTGAACTACAACTCCAAAACCAAAAGACACTGCCCACCAAATCCTTCCAGTATTTTCTGTTGGTCATGGGAGAACTGTGTGCCAAGTTTGGTTAAATTCCATTGTTGGTGGGCTTCAGAATACTCTTTGATTGTAGGTGAACTATAAATCCCAGCAACTACAACTCCCAAATAACAAAAATCAATTTTTTGAGTGAAGGACATACATTGATTTGTTAGGTGTCTTGTGTCCAAATTTGGTGTCAATTCATCCAGTGGTTTTTGAGTTCTGTGAATCCCACAAACGAACATTACATTTTTATTTATATAGATTTCATATTGTTTTTAAGGAAAAATTCTCAATAAAGATTTTTTTTTTAAAAAAAAAACCTACTCATTTTGTACAGCTATCTGGAATCCTAGATGGATTTTGGGGGCCTGATCAAGAGATGGGTTCTAGCTATGCTGCAACTTTTATGGCTTTTCAAACTTTTCAGTTAGTACCTGTCTTCGTGGCTTCCAGTACGAACATCCTTCATAGCAGCAAATCCACAAGGCACACGTGCATATTTATTTAAGTTCTCAATTAGTGTTTTTCCTACTTCTAGGTAGTAGGGATCTCCAGTGGCCTATTTTAAAGGGAGATATTTCACATTAACATCCAAAGATATACCACAAACAAATATACAATATTGACTTGCTAAATATCATTTCATTTTAGGCCATTTTTTGTTAAAGTCTGATCCAAATCTGAGCATTTTAAACAATGGGTCAGGACCCCAAATGGGGTCACCATAACTATGTTGGGGTCCATTCTTTCCTGTGTGCAACCCTCTGCTTTTCCTTCTCTCCCTCACATGTCCCTCTGCTTTCTCCTCTTTCTCTCTCCCCTCTCCCCCCAACCTCCTTCATATAATTGGGATTGCATAAAACACTTTTCAGGTAAAAAGGGGTCACAAGTAAAAACAGTGTAAGAAGCTCTGACCTTAATCACGCACACTAATAAAAGCATATTAACTTGAAAGAAAAGGCAATACGTTACATGCAGTAGAATAACATTCTTAAAGAAAATTGTGGAGTGCAAAAACCCAATGTGTTCCAAGTGACATGTCCTTTAAGTTTCTACAGCTGCCGACCCAGTTCTGAGCACAATTCAAAGTGCTGGTCTTGACCTATAAAACCCTATACTGCTCCGACCCAGTGTACCTGTCCAAACGTATCTCCTTCTACATCAGTGGTTCTCAACCTGGGGTCCCCAGATGTTTTTGGCCTACAACTCCCAGAAATCCCAGCTGTTAGGATTTCTGGGAGCTGAAGGCCAAAAACATCTGGGGACCCCAGGTTGAGAACCACTGTTCTACATCTTGCCTAGGAATTTAAGATCTTCTGGAGAGGCCCTGCTCTCGGCCCCACCCTTGTCACAAACGAGACTGGTGAGGACGAGGGACAGGGCCTTCTCGGTGGTGGCCCCCACATGTGGAATTCACTCCCCAGAGAAATCAGATTGTCATCCCTCCTCTCTTTTAGAAGGCAATTAAAACATGGATATGGGACCAGGCCTTTGGGTAATCTGGCAGACTGACAAGGACAATGACGACAAGAGCTTTGGAAACGGATTATGATAAGCTGAATGGACTCACTAATTACAGAACTTGGCGAAACGATGGCCACAAGGCTGGCTTCTATTCTAGTAGATTTTATTGTATTAACTTAATGTTTTAATTATTTATAATTACTGTTTGTTGTGTATTTTATTGTGTTTAATTGTAGGCATTGAATATGTGCCTGCTGGAAGCTGCCCTGAGTTCCCCCTAGGGGGTTGAGAAGGGCAGGGTAAAAATACCCCAAATAAATAAATAATAAATAAATAAATAATTGTGTTCTAAGTCTCATTAAACTTTTAAAAGGCAACCTACGTTCCTCTAAAAAACAGAAAAATACACTAGGCATTTTTCTGACAATTAAATAGCAAAATTTCGGTGAGCTGTACTGGATTACGATTGTGGGATCCAGAATCTTGAACCGGTGCTTGTCTGCTGTGTCGGACTGGATGAGATTGAAATTGAAATTGAATCCAGACAAGACAGAGGTCTTATTGGTCAGTCGTAAGGCCGAACAGGGCATAGGGTTACAGCCTGTGTTAGACGGGGTTACACTCCCCCTGAAGACGCAGGTTCGCAGCTTGGGAGTGATCCTGGACTCATTGCTGAGCCTGGAACCCCAGGTCTCGGCGGTGGCCGGGAGAGCTTCTGCACAATTAAAACTTGTGCGCCAGCTGCGCCCGTACTTTGGGAAGTCGGATCTGGCCACAGTGGCCCACGCTCTTGTTACATCCCGGATAGATTACTGCAACGCACTCTACGTGGGGTTGCCTTTGAAGACTGTTCGGAAACTTCAATTAGTCCAGCGGGAGGCAGCCAGATTGCTCACCGGCTGCCGATCCAGTTCCGAGCACAATTCAAAGTGCTGTTTTTGACCTACAAAACCCTATACGGTTCCGGCCCAGCGTATCTGTCCGAACGCATCTCCCTCTACGTCCCACCTCGGAGTTTAAGATCCTCTGGGGAGGCCCTGCTCTCAGCCCCGCCTCTATCACAAGTGAAGTTGGCGGGGACGAGGAGCAGGGCCTCCTCAGTGGTGGTCCCATACCTATGGAATTCACTCCCCAGGGAAATTAGATCGGCAACATCCCTCCTTTCCTTTAGAAGGAAACTAAAAACATGGATGTGGGACCAGGCGTTTGGGCAATCTGGCAGAAAAGTAAAGGACTGCGACGACGGATAGGAATAGACAATGTGGAACGAAGTATGGACTCTGAGTTGGCGAACGCTGTGCATGAGGTTGGCTTATTGACTGTGATATATATTGTTGTTTTAATTGTTATAACTGTTTAACTGCTGTTTTTATACATTTATTGTATTATTTTGTAGGCATCGAATTGTGCCATTCTGTAAGCCGCCCTGAGTCCCCACTCGGGGGTTGAGAAGGGCGGGGTAGAAGTATACGAAATAAATCTGAGGAGTCCTTTAAGTTAGGCTACTATAATGCCCAGTAAAGCTCAGGCGCAGATAATCATGACTTACTGCTTTAATGAAGACTGATAAAAACCAGCTATTCTATCTCTAAAAGTGTAACTATCATAGTTCTGAGCCACTGTTAGGCCTTTTTCAAAGTCTTCTAAGTTAGAGCCCATGACCATCTCCTACAATAAAAAATACCACACAGCAGATCTGTTGTGTGGAGTATACTTTGCTTCATCATGAACTACAACCAATTCACTTCATACCGTAATATATAATTTGAATATCATTTCCAAGAGAAGAGACCTTTCATAGGAATGACACTACAAAACACTATGTATTTTTGTTGTCTCCTTTTCAATTTCCTGCTCCATAACATTTTTCTTGAGACAAGGCAGACTGATTAATACATAGAGTATGGCTGTGCCATTGAGTCTTATGACAGCATCAAAATACTTTGGATTTTACTTTTCATCTCTTTCTTATGACAATCTAGGATATATATGCCTGGAACATGAAGAAGATCTTACTTTGTACAAGAAATATGTACTCTCTGCAAATTCTGGCCGGAGAGGGTGCTGAGCCCAATGAACTCGAAAGTCTGTAGTGAAAGCCTGAATAAAATAAAGAGAAGAACACAAGTTTTAAATAGCTACTCTCTCCAGAGCGCTTTGGTTGCAAGTGGTTTAAGAAGAGTCAACACACATTTTGGTGCCTCAAACATTAGCCATGTTCCTGGGTATATTTGACCTGCTGTTCCAAAAATGGCATCGATTTTCTGCTGTAAGCTCAAGTTTTTGAGATACAGAATATATGCTATCTACCAGTCATTATCTGCCCTTGCACTGTGCTACTCTGCTGCTGAGTACGCATGCCCAGTGTGGAACACATCTCACCACAGTAAAACAGTCGATGTGGCTCTTAATGAGAAATGCCGCATTATCACGGGGTGTCTGCGCCCTACACCACTGGAGAAATTACACTGCTTAGCCGGTATTGCACCACCTGACATCCGCCGGGAAGTAGCAGCCAATAGTGAAAGGACCAAGGCAGTGACATCTCCAGCTCATCCCGTTTGGGTATCAGCCAGCATGTCAACGACTTAAATCAAGAAATCGTTTTCTAAGATCTACAGAGACACTCGCTGGAACACCTCAGCAAGCGAGAGTCCAAAAGTGGCAGGCTCAAACCCAGAACCTCAATCAATGGCTGATACCAAATGAGAGATTCCCCCTGGGCACACAGAAAACTGGGTGACTTGGAATGCGCTGAACAGACTGCACTCTGGTACCATGAGATGCAGAGCCAACCTTCAGAAATGGGGCTACAAAGTGGAATCTTCGATATGCAACTGTGGAGAGGAGCAAACCACTGACCACCCTCTGCAATGCAACCTGAGCCCTGCCACATGCACAATGGAGGATCTTCTTGCAGCAACACCAGAAGCACTCCAAGTGGCCAGATACTGGTCAAAGGACATTTAATCAACTACCAAACTCACAAATTTTGTATTTTGTCTGTTTGTTTGCTTTGTTCTGTTAGAAATGTAATATAATTTGACTGGTTGTCCTGACACGACAAATAAATACCAGTCATTATCTGCCTGTCCATAGAAAAACATGATAGCCATATCTACGGAACTTTTTTTCCCTGTGTATGGAGAGACTTGAGTAACTGCAAGTTGCTTCTGGTGTGAGAGAACTGGCAGTCTGCAAGAACATTGCCCAGGGGACGCTCGGATGTTTTGATGTTTTACCATCCTTGAGGGAGGCTTCTCTCATATCCTCGCAGAGGGAGCTCATCTGAACTCTCCCCAAATTCGAACCTATGACCTTCGAACCTTCAGACATGCCGGCACAAGGGCTTAACCCACTGTGCCACCGGGGGCACCATCTAAGAAACTAGAGCTAATGCAGTCTATCCAATCCAATTTCCTAATTCAGTGCCCCAAATAACCTCAGGAACAAACCTAAAAACCAAGACGCTAAGAAAAGAAATGTTGTTGCTGTTGGGCGATGTTATTCTTCCTCATTATAAATTTGAAGGCTATGGTCTAAATCCCAGTTCTAGTTCCATCTAGAATTGGTTCAGTTAACAGTCTGGTTCTACTTTAATTGGGACTTTTGACTGGACTTAGAGAAGCGTAGAATGTATGATTCATTCAGGGCAAAACTGCAGTGGTCTCTGGCTATACCACACTCTCCCCAGTTTTAGTCCCAACACTCCCTGGATCAAAACCTTACTGGAGTTAACATTTTGTCTTTTAAGCACTGTTTTATTATAGGTGTTTGTTGTTGAATACTTGGGTACTTTTCCAAGTGAAAAGTGAAATATACCTGTTGGAAATGAAACAATAATAAAATATCTCTTCAGCATACAACCAAGCATGGAAGAAGATGAAGAGTAGTATGCTATATAATTTGAACAATCTGAATCTGAATCGTTCTGACACAGATATTTTCTTGAATGACATTAGGAAATTTATCATGCTTATTTTAATTTACCTTGTGCCTTTGCTGTAAGATTCAAAGAGTAAAACTTTAATATATTCTACCCTGAACTCCATGAGAAAAAAAAAAAACAAATACAGAATTCTAAGACACAATCAGAAGCAAAATATTCAGAACTAGCCATCTCCTGCCACGCATTGCTGTGGCCCAGTCTATGTGTATGTGTTTTGCATGTGTATATATGTGGTTTTGCACACGCGTTGTAATGTAATTTTTGTTTTTTGGCTTTTAAGTCCCTTCTGCTGTGCTTTTCGGTGCTTTTAGGGGTGATGGACATTCGTTGGCCTGACAGGTGTATTGTGTCCAAATTTGGTGTCAATTCATCCAGTGATTTTTGAGTTATGTTAATCCCACAAACGAACATTACATTTTTATTTATATAGATATGGGTCACCAGGCAGAAAATAGGCTGACATACTGATACCTACACAATGATTCGGTGATTGTGGCGGGGGGGGGGGGGCATAAACTTCTATTTATTCTAATTACAATATATGTCAGCACAAGGTGGTTTCTGCTGTGACAACAAACTTCATAGGAGGATTACCAAGATGAAATGCATGGTGCAAAAACCCATGAACTGAATTGTCCTTATTCACAATTTATATGAACAATCCATGAATTCAGGGAAAGCTACTGACATGTGAAAAGGCAGTCATACACAAATACAAAGGACTATGCTAGCCTTCAATTCTCATAACTATTGGAAGGAAACAAAGCATAGTTTAAATATTCAAAGTAAGGCTGGCACAAGAGTCCTCTAGATCCAGGAAAGTCATGCTACCCATCTATTCTGCCTTGGTCAGACCACACCTGGAATACTGTGTCCAATTCTGGGCAGCACAATTGAAGGAAGATGTTGACAAGCTGAAATGTGTCCAGAGGAGGGAGACTAAAATTATCAAGGGTCTGGAGAACAAGTCCTATGAGGAGTGGCTTAAAGAACTGGTCATGTTTAGCCTGCAGAAGAGAAGGCGGAAAAGAGACTTGATGGCCAATATGGGAGGGGAAGTCATAGGGAGGAGGGTGCAAGCTTGTTTTCTACTGCCCTGGAGATTAGGACGTGGAACAATGGCTTCAAACTACAGGAGATTCCATCTGGACATGAGGAAGAACTTCCTAACTGTGAGAGCTGTTCAGCAGTGGAACTCTCTGCCCCAGAGTGAGGTGGAATGCAATTGTCCTGCTTCTTGGCAGGGGTTGGACTGGATGGCCCAAGAGGTCTCTTCCAATTCTATTATTATTATTATTATTATTATTATTATTATTATTTATTAACTTTATTTGTACCCCGCTAGCATCTCCCGAAGGACTCGATGCGGCTTACAAAGGCCAAGGCCTCAAAACACAACATAACAATACAAAACCTAAAGCAAATTAAAAACAATTAAAGCAATATTAAACAAGCAATAAACAATACAATTCTATGATTCTAAGCTGTGCTCAATTTGAAATAGTTTTGCTTCAGCCCTATATTAATTTTTCTTAAATAACTAGCATATTTACCAGGTGTTATCCAGTTGTCAGAGGAGCTGCTCCCCCCCGCCCCCCCCTTCATCCTTTCTTCCTCTTTCCCTCCCTTCTTACCTTTTCTAAACTTACTTACTAAAATGATCAATGGTTTGGAGAACAAGCCCTATGAGGAGCGGCTTAGGGAACTGGGCATGTTTAGCCTGAAGAAGAGAAGGCTGAGAGGAGATATGATAGCCATGTATAAATATGAGGAAGCCACAGGGAGGAGGGAGCAAGCTTGTTTTCTGCTTCCTTGGAGACTAGGACGCGGAACAATGGCTTCAAACTACAAGAGAGGAGATTCCATCTGAACATTAGGAAGAACTTCCTGACTGTGAGAGCCGTTCAGCAGTGGAACTCTCTGCCCCGGAGTGTGGTGGAGGCTCCTTCTTTGGAAGCTTTTAAGCAGAGGCTGGATGGCCATTTGTCAGGGGTGATTTGAATGCAATATTCCTGCTTCTTGGCAGGGGGTTGGACTGGATGGCCCATGAGGTCTCTTCCAACTCTTTGATTCTATGATTCTCCTTTCCTTTCTCTCTCATTCTTACCTCCTTTTTCTTTCTTTCTGTCTCACTTCCTTCCCTCTCCCTCCCTCCTCCCTTCCCTTCCTTTCCTCTTTCTCCCTCCTCCATCTCTGAGAAGGCCTACCCCACAATGTCTCCATGGCTCTCTTTGTGGTGCTTTCCTTCCTTCCTTCCTTGCTTCTGCTCACACACATAAACCTTTCACAGTGATATCATAAAGAGCCACTTGACCCTGCAACAGCCAATCTAGTGACATCACAAGGCTTGTCATCTAGCATCAGTCTTTATGGTACAGACAGGCATACTTGGACTGTATATAGATAATAATAATAATTTACTTGTAATACATGCATATTGTTTTACCTCTGGAAGAAAGTTATGCTTCTTTATCACCTGATACAGCATTTCATGAGTCTCTATAGCTGGTCTAATATCACCTTTCAGCACCTAAAATCAAGACGGAAATGGTAATAGTGAATTATAAATATGTACATGTAAACCATTACATATGAAACTTCTCATCATAAAAGCTCACAAAATAGTTAATGCTTCTTTTTGCCACAAACACCAGAGCACAAGAAACCCGAGAATGTAAAATAACTAAGATGCTAAGTCTCCACATCCACTAAAAATCACTGTGCTTATAATTTAACTGCATCAGACATTTATAGCCTTAATAACATTTTTTTGCAATCAGAAAATGGTTTCCTAAAAACTTTTAAGTACCAAATCAGATCCTGCAAAAACAATAAAATACATATTGAAATGTTAATTTATATTTTATTTTTAATAGCCATACAGTTATAAAGAGCAATTATTTTTCAAAGCATAATTATTTAAATTATATATCAACAAGATGCTAAATCAAAAGGGATCTTCTTATTATTCATTAGCCGTCCCCATTAGCCGTCCCCTGCTCACTCTGGTAGTCATGGGGTTCTGTGTGGGCGGTTTGGCCCAATTCTATCATTGGTGGGTTTCAGAATGTTCTGTGATTGTAGGTGAACTATAAATCCCAGCAACTACAACTCCCAAATGTCAAGATTCTATTTTCCCCAAACTCCACCAGTGTTCACATTTGGGCATATTGAGTATTCATGTAGAGTTTGGTCCAGATCCATCATTGTTTGAGTCCACAGTGATCTCTGGATGTAGGTGAACTATAATTCCAAACCAAAGGACACTGCCCACCAAACCCTTCCAGTATTTTCTGCTGGTCATGGGAGAACTGTGTGCCAGGTTTGGTTCAGTTCCATCACTGGTGGGGTTCAGAATGCTCTTTGATTGTAAGTGAACTATAAATCCCAGCAATTACTACTCCCAAATGACAAAATCATTTTTTTTTAAGTGACGGACATACATTGGGTTGTTAGGTGTCTTGTGCCCAAATTTGTTGTCAATTCGTCCAGTGGTTTTTGAGTTCTGTTAATCCCACAAACAAACATTCAATTTTTATTGATAGATTTGCTTTTAATTTCAGGTATGCTACTAAATTGTGGAGGTTGTAACCATTTATGAAATAATAAAAATCAGTCAACAGATTAAGACCAAATATTCAAATAACATAATAATGGCAGCCAATAATATTCAGTTTTCCAATTAACTATTGGAAAACTAAGGCATATTATCTGTCTGGTTTAAGACAAAGAACCAACAGTTTACAACAATACTTTATTACGGTCCATGGACTCACAACTGTTAGGTAGATAATATAAAGGAGTTAACAGATCCCTTGTTAATAAAAGTTATAACAAGAAGGAAAAAGGTTTAATTATAACAAAATAGCAAAAATCCTTGAACAGTGGTGTCAAGGCATGACTTTGGGTCTTCCGCAACTATGTCAACAACATGATGGGCCTTATAATACAGTAAGTGGGAGAGAAAAATTGATTATACTCCAAAGCAGTTGGCTTTAAGAATATCTAGTTTCCAAAACTTGGAAAGGATTTGCAGGATGCTGTTTAAGTGTTAATGACATGGTGCTGATACTACCATTGGAGCAAGCAGTCACCAAAGATTATTATTTTTTTTTTTAAATATTCTTTATTGAAATTTTCATACAGAGATATGGTTGATTCACAAGAAAATGGGGGAAGGGCAAAGTGAGGGAGGGAAAGGAAAAAGACTAAAGGTATAAAAAAGTGAAGAAGAGGAAAAAAAGAAAAAAAAACTAACAGAGAAATAAATAAAGAAAAACAAAAAAAAAGACAAAGAACAAAAATAAAACAAAACAATAATAAATACTAAAAAGAAAGAAATCTGACCCCCTGGTATCTTTGTGGGATCTTTCCAGTCCATTCAATTTTGTGTGTGTTTCTTCCGAAGTTCATCTTTCCCTCTTTTTGTCGTACTTCAGTCTTTATTTGTCGTTCTCAAATTACTATTTCTTTATTCTTATTTTTTAAGTATTCTGTAACTTCACTCCAGTCCGTTTCTTTCCTATTAATTTCCTTGTTCTTCAGCAGTAGAAAGGTGAGTTTGTCTAAGTTCCTAATATCTAGCATTTTCGTTACCCATTCATTTTCTCCCGGAGTTTCTTCTTGTCTCCACATTCTTGCGGCTGTTAATGTCAGGAACAGGATTTTGTCTTTATCTTTATCTAGATTTCTTTCATACATCCCCAATAAGAATATCTCCGGTTTCAAGGGTAACTGTATTTTTAACATTTTTTGAGTTTCCTTATGTATCTTTCTCCAGAACTCTCTTGCTTTTTCACACGTCCACCATAAGTGGAAGAAAGATCCTTCTTTACTTCTGCATTTCCAACACACGGTGCTTGAGTTGTTATAGATTTTTCCCAGTTTTTTGGGGGTCAAGTACCATCTTTGAGATATTTTGACCCAATTTTCTCTAAGTTCTATTGCATACGTAAACTTTAATCTCTTCTTCCAAATTTCCTTCCATTCGTCTCTTCTAATATTTCTGTGTATGTTTTCATTCCATCTTCTCATGTAGTTTTTCTCTTCCTCCTTTTCCAGGTACCAATCTAGTAGTTTTTTGTAAATCTTGGTAATTAACTTCTTGTCCGTTTCCATTATACTGTCCCAGAATTCGTTACCTTGCGCAAAACCTAATTTTTTTATCTAATTTAAATTTCTCTTTAATCTGCCAGTAATGAAACCATGTTATGTTTTTATCCATTAATATTAACTCCTGTTGTTCTTTCATTTCTTTCTCCCCTTGTTTATCTTTTAAAATTTCTTTATATACGGGCCAGTCAGTCCATCCTAGGCATCTCCTTTGAGTCGCTTCGAGCGGTGAGACCCAGAGAGGTGTTTTGCTATACATTTTTAATTTATATTTGTCCCAGACTTTTAAAATTGCAGATCTTGTAAAGTGTTTCCCAAAGTTTTTTTCTTTTTCTTTCCCCTTATACCAAATATATTGGTGCCACCCTGCCCTAAGATCTATCCCCTCCAGAGTTAGTAATTTCTTTTTCTTTAACATGGTCCAGTCTCTGGCCCATGTTAGGGCACATGCTTTGAAGTATGTTTTTAAATCAGGGGTTACCAATCCACCTTTTTCTTTTTGTTCTATTAGATTTTTATAATGTATTCTTGGTTTCTTATTGTTCCAAATGTATTTCGTGATATCTCTATTCCAGCTTTTTATCAATTCCATGTTCCTAATTATAGGTAGATTTTGAAATAAAAATATCATTTTTGGTAGGATTTTCATTTTAATAGATGCGATCCTTCCTAGTAATGACAAATTTGTTTTTCTCCAATTGTCTACGTCTTTTTTAATTTTTTTCCATTTGTTTATATAATTATTTTGTAAAAGTTGTAGGTTTTTTGCAGTTATCTGGATCCCTAAGTATTTTATTTTTGGGACAATTTGGATCTTCCATTTATTATATATTTCCTCTTTTTCCCTTTCTCCTATATTTTTAATTATTGCTTTTGTTTTTTCCAAATTTATTCTAAAGCCTGCTACTTCTCCATAATTTTTTATTTCTTCCAGCCAAATTCCTGTCTTTTCCTTCGGATTCTCTATGATACAAATTATGTCGTCTGCGAAGGCTTTGTATTTATAATCCAAACCTTGTATTCTGGCTCCCTCTATACTCCTTTCTTCTCTAATCCTTTTAAGAAGCACTTCTAGTGATAAGACAAATATTAGGGGTGATAAGGGGCATCCCTGTCTAGATTATTTTTCTTTAACAAACCTGACTAGCATGACATTCAAAACCTTATATTTATTATTTATTATTTATTTTATTTAAAACTTTTCTATCCCGATCTTCTCTACCTCCGTAGAGGGACTCAGACCGGCTAACAGCAAGAATTCAATGCTAAACAGTAAAAATCTAAAACAACATATAACAACAGTAAATTAACAATACATATAAAATAAATACACAAAAGCCGTTCGCCAAGATAAAAACACGTCCAACTCAGTCCGTATATTCAGTCCATGTATTCTGGTCAATACTTTGGTTGATTATCGGTCTCACTCATCATTCTGCAAAGGCCTCATTCCACAGCCAAGTTTTCACTAGCTTCCAAAAGGTCAGGACGGAGGGGGCAGATCTGATTTCCTTCAGGAGGGAATTCCATAGCCGAGGGGCTACCACAGAAAAGGCCCTGTCTCATCCCCACCAGACGCGACTGCGAAGGTGGCAGGACCAAGAGCAGGGCCTCTCTATACAATCTTAACGTTCTTGATGGTTCATAGGGGAGAATACGTTCGGACAGGTAAACTGGGCCGGAACTGTATAGGGTTTTGTAGGTTAAAACCAGCACTTTGAATTGTGCTCGGAAGCTAACTGGCAGCCAGTGGAGCTGGCGCAACAAGGGAGTTGTGTGCTCCCTGTACCCCGCTCCCATTAGTAGCCTGGCTGCGGAGCTAATTGCAGCTTTCGAACAGTCTTCGAAGGCAACCCCACGTAGAGAGCATTGCAGTAGTCTAAACAGGATGTAACCAGAGGGTGTACCACCGTGGCCAAGTCCGACTTCCCAAGGTACGGGCACAGCTGGCGCACAAGCTGCAGATTATATCTGTCATTGTATCTGTCAGCTACAGATTATAGCTGTCATTGTTTGATATACGGATACAACATCTTGGGCGCTTGCAAACTATGTTGTCTTCAAAGACTACTGAGTTCATCTGATGAGAGGGCAGTTACGTGGTTCTTCCATCAGCAGAAAAAGACCTTAGGTGGACTACTGGCTAATGACCAGTAAGGAAGGGGGTTTAAACAGAGGATATGTTTACACTGTTAACTGATCATCCATTTGTGATGTACATAAATAAATATCATGGGATGTAAGGCTGAACTGTACAAAAGTTGAGCTATTTACCTGTAAACCTGGGAAAAATGCTAGTAACGAATCCATCCACGTCCGAGCATTCAGCATTGGTTTGTGTATATGCACATCAAGCAGGAGAGGTGGCTGGCTAATGTATCTCATTATGGCATCATAATGCTGGGGAAAAAATGGAACCATGTGAGCTTACGTTCTGCTTGAATACCAAATTTGTCCACAGAGCTGGCAAACTGAATGCAGATTTAAAGGCTGTGGAAACATTTCTAGCACAGTGAGCATTACCTATCTACGCCATGCATTCATTCTATCTTCCTTCTCTTTAACTATTGTGCAAAATAGCAGAATGAACACTGAATGAATTTACAAAGGAAAAAAAATATACTTGGGCTAATATGCTTGTGCTATACTCAGCAGCACAATGGTGTTAACACCAACGTAACAATCAAGCAGAGTGAAATTCAAAGGCTGGCACAGATATAATAGGTAAGTAAGGGAAGCTGGCAACTGGGTAAATTATTTTTTTACTATATTTATACCCTATCCTTCTCGCCCTGAAGGGGACTCAGAGCAGCTTACAGTAGGTAACATTTCTATGCTGTACAAAAATACATGCAAATGAAATAAACATATACATTAAAACTCAACAAGTTAAAAACAGAGGCTGGATGGCCATCTGTCATGGGTGCTTTGAATGCAATATTCCTGCTTCTTGGCAGGGAGTTGGACTGGATGGCCCATGAGGTCTCTTCCAACACTATGATTCTATGATCTAAATTCAACAATAAAACCCATGATTAAAACCATGTTCATCCACACTTTTCCTAATAGAGTAAATTTCCTCACACACAGTTTAATTATCATGAGGGGAGAAATATAATTGGCTAAAGATACAAGAGGATTATTTTGCTTCCAGCTTCCAACAACAGTAAAATGGGGAACTTCAATGCTATTTCACCTTACCGACAGGAATTACTCACCGTGTTAAATCTTTCCAGAAAACTGTCATCACCAAGTAAGACGTATGCCTTTAATAAATATTCATAATATGAATCTATTCCTGCTCCAACTCCACTATCTGGGAACAAGAGAAAATGCTATTATGTACTCAACAAAATTGTGAACTCAAGAAAAGTAGTTCTCTGAAAGTAGAGTGGATATAGCAAAACACTTTTTAAAACATCAATATAGTCAAAAGCATGATTATTTTGTAATTTGCTTTTTATGCTTATGTTCTTCCTACATAAAACACCGCCATAAACTGTCAACGTGACTCAGGAAGCAGCAGGTTGGAGCAATTGTGACTTTTACACTTTCTACCATTTTGCAGTTTTGTAATTTTACACTTCACTCATATTTAAGAATGAGTGAAAAATCACTAATTTTTCACTCATTCCTAAATATGAGTGAAGTGTAAAATTCACTCATATTTAAGAGTGAATATTTTCATTCTTAAATATGTCATGTTGCATATTTAAGAGTGAAAAAATATGCAACATTTGTCATGTTGCAAGGCAACAGATTCCATATCGCTGGTACCTACATGGTCCTAAGGTTTTGTCCAGAACTATTAACATCCTGCTTTACGCTGATGATATGGTGATTATGGCAACATCTCCAGTGGGACTAAGAAGATCCCTGGCAAAATTCAATTTGTACTGTGAGCTAAATTCACTCATTATGAATAAGGATAAATCCAAAATTATAGTCTTTGGAAAAAACAGGAAACGGTACACGTGGTCCCTGAAAGGTGTAGGCAATATCTAGGCATTATGTTCTCTTCATCTGGTGCTTGGGCTAACCACATTACTCATAGTATACAAAGAGCAACGAAAGCAGCAGGTTCCATTTATAAGCTGTACCATCATAGATACCCAGGCACAATCAGACCTGCCCTGGAAGTCTTTAAAACAAAAATAATGCCAACACTTATATTTGGGGCTGAAATTTGGGGGCACATCAATTTGGCCAAGATCGAAGCCTTCCAAGATAAGCAGCTTCGCACCTTCCTGGGCCTTTCCAGAACAACGCTGACGGCAGCAGTAAGGGCTGAGCTAGGAATACTCCCAGTAAAAACTCAAATCTTAATGAGACAGTTTAATTACTGGTCAAAAGTAAACTCTATGGATCCCAGTAGACTTCCTCGCCTATGTCTAGAGGATCAAGTCCAGCATGACCAGAAGTCATCGTGGATGGCGGCTCTGAATAATGAGTTGGCTGGATTCAGCCTGCCTTTGCAATTTCTGGGTGTTTTGGGTCCAGGGGCAGGGCAAGTGCTCAAGCGGCGCATTCGGGATGTCTATGCACAGCTGGACCTAGAGAGCATAGGTAGGTCTTCAGTCACAAGGTTTTTAACTTCCCACAAAAGGAATACTCATTTAGAGCACTACCTAACTATTCCACTTCCTCTACCCTTAAAAAGAATATATACTAGGGCTAGGTTTGAACAACTCGGTATTATGGTGCAAACCAGGTGCTACTGTAACATCCCAAGAAGTGAGAGATTCTGCGTCTGGGGAGAACAAACAGTGGAAGACATTGAACATTTCTTAACTGACTGTCCAGCATATACTGAACTGCGAGACAGATATTTACATCCAATATTATCCAACTTCAGGTCCCCCAACAGAAATGATATTCTGACATCCCTCTTGCAAGGGTAGGAAAGATCCAGCATAATCAGAGTAAGCCTTTTTATTCTGAAAGCTATTACGAAAAGAGCAGATTTCCTGAATGAAGAACCAGGAAAATAAGATTCTGACTATAAATAGAAGGTCGGCTGCTGTCTTCACCTTGTTGCCTTGTTTTTTTTACTCATGTTCTATTTTGAAATGGTCATATGACTGATCAAATAAATATTATTATTATTATTATTATTATTATTATTATTATATCGCTGGTACCACCAAGTCAGAAGGATGGATCTTATCTACATATCCAATCATGTAGCAAGTCCACAATATATTCTGAGACTGCTTTGCAGTTTTGATTCCAGCATGCAGATATTATAACTTCATACCTTTGCGGACCCAGTCACCGGTATGAATATTGATAGTGACTCCCACTAAATTGCTGCTGCGTTGCCTTTTCTCCCAAAGAAAGTCAAGTGCTTTCCTTGCATATTCCTGTAAAAAACAAATAAGCAAACAACGTTGATAATTTTCTAGCTCAAAATAGAGTTAAGAGCAATATGTTGGTTGAGAAACTGAATCCATTTTATATATATCTAAATTTAAAGATCTAAACAGTTGCCAGAAAGACAACCTCAAAAAGAGAAAAGCGGCCATCCACCTGCAAGATAAAGTTTGTTCTGCGCTATCAATATGGTAGAAGAGGGCAACCTACATCCCTCCAGTTGTTGTTGGACTCCATCAGCCCAGTTAGCTCCTGTAATCAGTGAGTTCGGTACAGTAGATTTCGGAAGAGTACAAGTTGCCTATCTCTGTGATAAGGGATATAGCCCTGTCAATACTTGTGTCATGAGGGAATTTAGGTGTCATCTTAATTGTAATTGATTATCCTTCTAGTCTAAGTACTAGTTGTACTTCATGGCTTGAATTAACAAAGTGATGGTCACAAAACCTCTGTGTTATCCTCTACAAACCGTTATCTACTACAGATAAGGAAAATGCTAAACATCAGTTACCTAAGTACTCACATATTCAGATTGTGTCCAACCGGTTCTAAATGAAAAACAACTCCACTAGCAAAAATAAGAAGCTACAAGAGAGTAAACATCTTTGGATAGCGGAGAAGAGACATGAACTATTGATTTTGTATTCTGCTGTCTCCCTGCTATTCCATCACAGCAGTAGTCAACTGCACATTACTGGTGGTAGCACTCAATGAGTTTATTATTATTATTATTATTAATCAATTTTATATACCGCCACTCCCCGAAGGCTCGGAGCTGTTTACAATATACATATGCGATACATTAAATTTAAAATCAAAGAAAAATTTCAATCAGCAAAATTCAAATGCCAGCTTAAATAAATAAGTTTTCCAAGCTCTACAAAAAGATAGCAAGTCTCGGAGAGCAGCGTGTTTCTGCTGGCAAAGGCATTCCACAGGTAAGGAGCCACCACTGTGAATGCTCTATGCCTAGTAGACATCAGGTGAAAGGTCCTAAAATTGGGAACTTCAAGGAGATTCTGATTGTCTGAACGGAGTGATCTCGGGGGTTGGTAGGGGGTGAGGCGGTCCCTCAGGTACTCCGGCCCCAGGCCATATAAGGCCTTAAAGGTAAGAGTCAGCACTTTGAAGGTAATCCGGTGCTCAATCGGCAACCAGTGCAGTTGCTGCAAGATTGGAGTGATATGACACCTCGCTGGGACCCCTGCGAGAAGCTGGGCAGCAGCATTTTGCACTAGTTTAAGTTTCTGGATCACCGATAAAGGCAGGCCTATGTAGAGGGCGTTACAGTATTCCAACCTTGAGATGACCGTAGGCTGGATCACCGTGGCCAGGTTGTCCCTGGACAGAAAGGGAGCCAGACGCCTAGCCTGACGCAGATGGAAAAATGCGACTCTACTTGTAGCGGAGGCCTGGGCCGCCATCGTCAGCAGAGGGTCTAAAAGGACTCCCAGACTCTTTACCAAAGATGACAGGCATAATGTCACGCCATCCAGGGTAGGCAAATGGATCACTCCTCCGTCCGGGTGACCCAACCAAAGGATCTCCGTCTTCACTGGATTCACCCTCAACCTGCTGGCACGCAACCATCCAGTAATGGCATCAAGGCATTGATGGAAATTATCGGGTGTGGAGTCAGAATGAGTTGAGTGTCATCAGCATACTGATAGCACTCATGCCCAAAGCCTCTCACCAGCTGGGCAAGTGGTCGCATATAGATGTTAAACAACAGGGGGGAAAAGGATAGCTCCCTGAGGGACCCCACATTCAAGAGGGGCCCTCAGAGTTTACACCAAACAACATCACTTCAATAAAAGAGATCAAAATGTTTGTTTACTTCAGTGATGCAAATACAAAGTAAGCTGAATGCATGCAATTCATACACATACAAATTGATAGCAACAGCTTATCAAAGAGAAATGCTGATTGTAAATAACAAAGAAGGCTGCTGCTCACACCATCTGCTGGTTGAACACATAAGAATCATCTACAAATACTGGAGATAATGTAGCACACACCACAATGATGATAAACTATACAGCTGTTTTAAATATTTGTAACACAAATATACACAAGGAAGCAACTGACAAGTTTTCAGTGCAACAATTTTAGTTATCAGTTCTGAACCAGTTTACCAATCTATATAAATACAAATGTAATGTTTGTTTGTGAGATTAACATAACTCAAAAACCACTGGACGAATTGACACCAAATTTGGACACAAGCCACCTATCAGGCCAACGAGTGACCATCACTCATAAAAACATTGAAAAACACAGTGCAAGGGAATTAAAAAGCCAAAAAACAAAAATTACATTACAATGCATGCACAAAGCCACACACACATATATACGCAAACACACATATACACACACACAAAACACATATATACAGACTGGGCCACAGCAACTCGTGGCAGGGGATGGCTAGTCTATATAAATAAAATTGTAATGTTCGTTTGTGGGATTAACATAACTCAAAAACCACTGGAGAAAAGGACTCCAAATTTGGACACAATATACCTATCAGGCCACTGAGTGACCATCACTCATAAAAACACTAGAAAACACAGCAGAAGAGACATGCACAAGAACTGGAAAAAGGGAGAAATCACCAAAGAATTCAAACAAATAGCCAACAGCTGTAGGGAAAAGGTCCGCAAGGCTAAAGCACAAAACGAGCTCAGGCTTGCCAGGGACATTAAAAACAATAAAAAGGGATTCTTTTCTTATGTCAGTAGAAAAAGGAAAAACAAGGAGGCGATAGGGCCTCTTCGAGGAGAAGATGGGGCAATGCTGACAGGGGATAGGGAAAAGGCAGAACTACTAAATACCTTCTTTGCCTCAGTCTTCTCACAAAAAGAAAGTCATCTTCAACCTCAGCAAGACGGAGTGGATGAGGGATTTGAGGACATCCAACTCCAAATTGGGAAACAAGTCGTAAGGAATACCTGGCTGCTCTAAATGAGTTCAAGTCCCCAGGGCCAGATCAACTACACCCAAGAGTATTGAAGGAACTAGCGGAAGTCATTTCGGAACCATTGACAACCATCTTTGAGAGTTCTTGGAGAACGGGAGAAGTTCCAGCAGATTGGAGGAGGGCCAATGTGGTCCCAATCTTCAAGAAGGGAAAAAAGGATGACCCAAACAACTACCGTCCGGTCAGCCTCACGTCGATACCAGGCAAGATTCTGGAAAAGATTGTTAAGGAAGCGGTCTGCAAACACTTAGAAACAAAGGCAGACGAATCTGATCTCTTTTTTCGATAGAGTTACAAGCTGGGTAGATGCGGGGAATGCCGTGGATGTAGCGTACCTGGATTTCAGTAAGGCCTTCGACAAGGTCCCCCATGACCTGCTGGCAAGGAAACTAGTCCAATGTGGGCTAGGCAAAACTACGGTGAGGTGGATCTGTAATTGGTTAAATGGACGAACCCAGAGGGTGCTCACCAATGCTTCCTCTTCATCTTGGAAAGAAGTGACAAGTGGAGTGCCGCAGGGCTCCGTCCTGGGCCCGGTCCTGTTCAACATCTTTATTAATGATTTAGATGAAGGGCTAGAAGGCAGGATCATCAAGTTTGCAGACGACACCAAATTGGGAGGGATAGCCAATACTCCAGAGGACAGGAGCAGGATTCAAAATGATCTTGACAGATTAGAGAGATGAATGGCCAAAACTAACAAAATGAAGTTCAACAGTGACAAATGCAAGATACTCCACTTTGGCAGGAAAAACGAAATGCAAGGATACAAAATGGGGGATGCCTGGCTCAAGAGCAGTACGTGTGAAAAAGATCTTGGAGTCCTCGTGGACAACAAGTTAAACATGAGCCAACAATGTGATGTGGCGGCAAAAAAAGCCAATGGGATTTTGGCCTGCATCAATAGGAGCATAGTGTCTAGATCTAGGGAAGTAATGCTACCCCTCTATTCTGCTTTGGTTAGACCACACCTGGAATATTGTGTCCAATTCTGGGCACCACAATTCAAGAGAGATATTGACAAGCTGGAATGTGTCCAGAGGAGATCGACTAAAATGATCAAGGGTCTGGAGAACAAGCCCTATGAGGAGCGGCTTAAGGAGCTGGGCATGTTTAGCCTGAAGAAGAGAAGGCTAGAGGGGATATGATAGCCATGTATAAATATGTGAGAGGAAGCCACAGGAGGAGGGAGCAAGCTTGTTTTCTGCTTCCCTGGAGACTAGGACGCGGAACAATGGCTTCAAACTACAAGAGAGGAGATTCCATCTGAACATGAGGAAGAACTTCCTGACTGTGAGAGCCGTTCAGCAGTGGAACTCTCTGCCCCGGAGTGTGGTGGAGGCTCCTTCTTTGGAAGCTTTATAACAGAGGCTGGATGGCCATCTGTCAGGGGGTGATTTGAATGCAATATTCCTGCTTCTTGGCAGGTTTATTTATTTATTTGGTGCATTTGTTGACCGCCGCTCTCAGCCCTAGGGCGACTCGCGGCGGTGTACAACATATAAAAAACCATTTACAATAGAACAAAAACAGAAAATCAACATATCAATAATACACAATAATCTAAATTACACTAAATAATCCGCTCCATCACCTAATCGAATCGTAACCAGTCTCGTAATCCATTCCGTTCCGGTTGTCATTACCAATTAGTATAGCACTCAGTTAAATGCCTTCTCGAATAGCCAGGTCTTTAAGCTCTTACGGAAAGACATAAGGGAGGGCGCCTGTCTGATGTCAGCAGGGAGTGTTCCACAGCCGGGGGGCCACCACCGAGAAGGCCCTCTCTCTCGTCCCCGCCAGACGTGCCTGTGAGGCAGGCGGGATCGAGAGAAGGGCCTCCCCAGACGATCTCAAGGCCCTCGTGGGCTCATAGGCCGAGATGCGGTCCGAAAGGTATTTTGGGCCGGAACCGTTTAGGGCTTTGTAGGATAACACCAGCACCTTAAATTGGGCCCGGTAGCAGATCGGCAGCCAGTGGAGCTGGAACAACAAGGGCGTTGTGTGCTCCCTGCGTCCCGCTCCTGTTAGTAACATGGCTGCCGCGCGCTGGACTAGCTGTGAAGCTTCCGGGCCGTCTTCAAGGGCAGCCCCACGTAGAGAGCGTTGCAGTAGTCAAGGCGGGATGTGACCAGAGCGTGTACCACCGTGGCCAAGTCAGACTTCCCAAGGTACGGGCGCAGCTGGCGCACGAGCCTAAGCTGTGCAAATGCTCCCCTGGTCACCGCTGAAACCTGGGGATCCAGGCTCAATGATGAATCCAGGGTCACACCCAAGCTGCGAACCTGTGCCTTCAAGGGGAGTGCGACCCCGTCCAGCACAGGCTGTAACCCTATACCCTGTTCGGCCTTGCGACTGACCAGGAGTACCTCTGTCTTGTCTGGATTTAATTTCAATTTGTTCGCCCTCATCCAGACCATTACAGCGGCCAGGCACCGGTTCAGGACCTCGACAGCCTCCTTAGTAGCAGATGGAAAGGAGTGACAGAGTTGGACATCATCTGCGTACATATGACACCGCACCCCGAAACTCCGGATGATCTCACCCAGCGGCTTCATGTAGATATTAAACAGCATGGGGGACAGTATAGAGCCCTGTGGAACCCCACAGGTCAAAGGCTGTTGTTGAACAGGAGTCCCCCAATAACACCTTCTGGGTACGGCCCTCCAGAAATGACTGGAGCCACTGCAGAGCAGTGCCCCCAAGACCCATTTCCGCAAGGCGCCCCAGAAGGATACCGTGGTCGACGGTATCGAAGGCCGCTGAGAGGTCCAGGAGCACCAACAGGGACACACTCCCCCTGTCTAGCTCCTGGCGCAGATCATCCACTAAGGCGACCAAGACCGTCTCGGTTCCATGTCCCGGTCTGAAACCAGACTGTGCGCCGATCCAGATAATCCGTGTCTCTCAAGAATACCTGGAGTTGTGAGGCCACCACGCTTTCCATGACTTTGCCCAAAAAGGGGAGATTGGAAACAGGCCGAAAGTTGTCAAATTTAGTGGGGTCCAGTGATGGTTTCTTCAACAGCGGTTTTATAATAGCTTGTTTTAAGCTCGCTGGAACTTTGCCTTCCCGAAGGGAGGCATTAACCACCACCGTTACCCACTCAGCCAATCCCCCTCTGGCCTCCTTCAGAAGCCAGGATGGGCAGGGGTCTAGGATGGACATGGTGGGCCTCATTCCTCCAAGTATCTTGTCCACATCCTCGGGCTTCACAAACTGAAAAGAATCCATCAAAATAGGACAAGCAGGTGCTCGTGTCACATCCTCAGAGACTGCATTTAACATGGTGTCCAGCTCAGAGCGGATCAAGGCGACTTTGTCTGCAAAGAACCGAGCAAATGCTTCACAGCGCGTGGCCGAATTGTCGGGGCTCCCGCCTGAGGTGGCGGAAGTTAAAAGACCTCTGACAATCCGAAACAACTCCGCCGGACGGTTTTTTGCAGACGCAATAGTGGCCGCAAAGAAGGTTTTCTTTGCGGCTTTTATTGCCGCGGCATATGCCCTCAAAAAGGACACAAACCGTGCTCGATTTGACTCGCTTGGGTCCGAACGCCACACGCTCTCTAGTTCCCTCTTCCTTCGCTTCATCACTGCCAGCTCCTCAGTAAACCAAGGAGCTGGTTTAGCTCGGCTACTTGAGAGGGGACGTTCCGGAGTGATCACGTCAATTGCCCTGGCCATCTCCCCATTCCAGAGAGCGACCAAGGCCTCGACATGGTCACCTACCGAGGAGGCGGGAAAATCCCCAAGAGCCGTCAGGAATCCATTCGGATCCATAAGCCTCCTGGGGCGGACCATCTTAATGGGTCCTCCACCTTTGCAGAGGTTAGGGGGCGCAGTGAGCCTAAATCTGATCAGGAAGTGGTCGGTCCATGGCAACGGAGAGATGGACAACTCCTCCACACCGCCACCCTGCTCCCATCCCTGGCAGAAAACCAAGTCCAATGTATGTCCAGCACAGTGGGTGGGGCCAGATATTTGTTGGGACAGCCCCATGGTTGCCATGGCAGACATGAAGTCCTGAGCCGCTCCTGTGAGGGTCGCCTCGGCATGGATATTGAAGTCTCCCAGCACCAGTAGCCGTTGAGACTCCAACGCCGGGCTCGAGACTACCCCCGCTAGCTCAGGTAGGGAGACTGTAGTGCAGCGAGGTGGACGGTACACTAGCAGAATCCCTATTCTGTCCCGGTCACCCACCCTTAGGTGGACACATTCAAAATTTGTGGTCTGCGGGATGGGGCTCCTGGTCAGATGGATGGAATCTCTATAGACCACTGCAACCCCGCCTCCCCGTCCTCCGGATCTCGGTTGGTGCTGTACGGAGAAGCCTGGAGGACAAAGCTGGGTCAGATTCACACCCCCAGCTTCATCCAGCCAGGTCTCCGTAATGCACGCCAGATCTGCCCGCTCATCCAGGATTAAATCCTGGATAAAGGTCGTTTTTCCGTTGACAGATCTGGCGTTCAGCAGCACCACCTTCAATCCAGAGGGCCCGCTCACCTGGTTACACCAATTTACCTTAGGAGACCGTTTTGGGGTTATTAATTTAGAAAAGCGGTCCGAATTAGGCCGAATTCGGGGTCTCCTTCTCCCGCATCTCCTCCTTCCCACCACGACCTCTATGGGGGCCCCTCGGCTAGTGGAACACCTCCCCCCCTCCATGCCGCAACCAAAACCAAGGTCTTAATTTCTGTTTCGCTAGATGTTTGGTTTGTTGGCCCTTGCCAACTCCCTTGCTTCCCTTCCTCCCCCCTCCCCGCCTCATTATTGTTCACAGGCTCCAGCCCACTTCCTCCCTTGCCCCTTCCACTGGTTGGACTGGATGGCCCATGAGGTCTCTTCCAACTCTTTGATTCTATGATTCTATAAGAGACTTAAAAAGCCAAAAAATAAAAGATGCTACAATGAATGCGGAAAACCACATATATACACATATACACATACATACACAAACAAAACACATATACAGACTGGGCCACAGCAATGCATGGCAGGGGACGGCTAGTGTTAGAATAAATTCTACCAAATAATCATTCAGAGAGAAAGAGAGGGAAGAAAAATACTTCAACAAAGTTCAACAAAGTACACAAGGAATGATTAATTATATGTTATCAAACAAACCTCAAATATTGATGCCCCTGTGAAGCGGCTCAAAGCAGCAAACTCTAAGATCAAGGTACCAGCACAAGCCGTGCAGGTATCAGTTTCTGTTCCTGTCCGTGCCTCTGGACTCCTTACGCCAAATTTTAAGTTCACCTAGAATAAAAATGGCAAAGTCTCTTACTACTTATACTGCCTATGAATTCAGATTAAGCAGATTAGTGGTGCAGGTTGAACAAATTAATTTATAATAATTTTATTTTAATTTAATTGACATGTTTTTTTTAATAATCTTGCTTTCCATATCTCTTCCCATTCTTTTTCAGCTATCTTTGTGCCTACTTCCTCCTCCCATAATTCTCTTAATGTTAGTCTTTTCTTTTTTCTTGTGTCTTTAATTAGTATTTTATATATTTTACTCGTTGTTGTTTATGCTGCTGTAATTTTTGTTTGGGCTTGGCCTCATGTAAGCTGCAACAAGTCCCCATTGGGGAGATGGTGACGGGGTATAAATAAAGTTTATTATATTATATATTATTATTGTTCCTTTTAATTGTTCGCTATTTTCTCTTTTTAATCCTTTTATTATCAATTCCTCAAATTGTGTTATTTATTTTCCAGTTTTATTTTGGATCCACCAATTTTTATTCCATTTTCCTAATTGAATCCAATGGAGCCAAGAAATATTTATTTCTCTCAATTCTTCTCTCATTTTTACCTTTTCCATTTTTCATTCTATCCAATTTCCTACCCTTTTTAGTTCCCTTTTTTCTAATTTTTTATGTAAAGTTCCTTTTGGTTCCTTTGGGAAATCTTTTTCCATTATTATTGGTATTAAGACCAAATTCTTATTAATTAGTTGTCCTTTATGTTTGCTCCATATTTCCATTGTATTTCTTAACAATATATTTCCCATCTGAAATCTCCTTTAAAATATATTGTCCTTTCTCTACTCAATTGCCTTACTCCCTGCTTCCATCCATTCCAAACCTTCTCCATCCATCATCTTTTCTACTACATATCTTAATTGGTTTGCTTCATAATATTTTTGTATATTCGGTAAGCCTAAACCTTCTTTTTGGGGCTTTTACCAAAGTTGTTTGTTTAATCTGTTCTTTTTCCCACTGTCACAATATATGTTTATCCTTTGTTACCATTCCTGAATTTCTTACATAATGTTATATCCCCTTACTCCAAATATCGGGTCTCTCTCCAGCTTCATGTCTAATATACAACACAAGTAGATGTGAGACTGGAGAGAGACACAAAATGCTGAAAGGCATGGATTTATGATTCCCACAATTTCAGAGACATTTGGATTCCTACTGCTTCAGAGATATTCCAAAATCTTGGGGGGGGGGGAGGGGCGGAATCTAACATCCAAAACACTTCTGTTCCCAAATATTTTGGATAAGGAGGCTCAAACTGTATTATGGTGAAGAAATTCAAAGCATATCAGTAAAGGTTTCTCCTTGACATGAAGTCGACTCTGGGGGGTGGTGCTCATCTCCATTTCCAAGCCAAAGAGCCTGAATTGTCCATAGACATCTCCTAGGAAGATGTTCAGAATAAGTGTTTCTTCAATGATGTAACAGGGAAACATGATTTGTTTTCTTAATGTGTCAGAGACCAGTACCATATTTATGCCCACTGGTTAGAATGGTTCCTAGAATTTTTTCAAAGAGCAGTAACAGTTCATATTCATGAACTTTCAGTAGCACTGTTCTGAATACAGGGAAGTCCCCAGGTTACGAACAAGTTAGGTTCTGTAGATTTGTTCTTATATTTAATTTGTATATAAGTCAGAACAGGTGAAATTTTAAAGTGTAACTTCATCCATTTTTTAAAAAGTTTTGGGTAGCTGTGCCATTTGTTTTGCTGTCTGTGCCCCTGTTCAGATTTCACCTCACTTTTCATCCCTGTGATAACTGGAGTTTGAAATTTTTATGTTGTTGTGGAAACAAGTATTGGTGGTAAAGCTTCAGTGGAGATACCTCTTCCCCTTGATCATTCTTTCAGTATTGTATTTCCCTTCCTAGAAATATATTTTCTCTCATTTCCTGTTGTCTCACCCTCCATGTTTCTAGCTAGGATTCGGATGTAAGTCGGATGTTTGTAACTCAGGCCCTGCCTGTAGCTTCTTGCAAAGTTTGAAGCAAATAGAAATCTATTGGGTAGTTTTCTAACTCAGTATGTTAAATATTGTAAATACCTGTAATTCTAGTCTGGGTGAATTTGAATGATAACATTTCCTATCCAACACACTGTATTTGAAGTTATAGTTAAGGTTATAGAAGAAAGAGACTCATTAACCTCTACAAAACAGGAAGTCACTGTGGAGATTCCTGGGGAAAGTGACATTACACTTTATGTGGAATGTATCTCAATCAAAAAAAACAAAATTCCTAACAAAAGATTGCCCCAGGCACTTCCAGGCCACCAAATGCTAATCAAGATGGTCAGTTGAAACATTCACACCTAGCTCCAGCAGACAAGAGTTCTTTGTCCTACCCTGGTCATTCCACAGATATACGAGGGGTATTTTTTAAGTAAGGTCCATTTTGTTGTAGACACTATTAGTTTGCACGCATACCGCAACGAGCACGTGCGTCTGTGTACCGGCATGCCTCGGGAACAACTGTGCTCAGTTTCCGCTCTGTAGCTAACCTGTACGGTTCTGTTCTGTGCTTTAAAAATGTTTAAGACTATCAACTCACCCTCCGCATGTGAGGTTCTCTCAGTGATACGGTTTTTGTCAGCAAGGAACCTGCCTGCTGCAGAAATTCATCGACAGATTTGTGAAGTGTACGGTGATACTGTTATGAGTGAAAGCAAAGTGCGTAAGTGGGTACGACAATTCAAAGATGGCCGTGACAACGTCCATGATGAGGACCGCTCCGGTCGCCCTTCTTTGATTACAAGTGATCGGAGCAGGCGGCAAGTTTTTATGAAGAGGGTATTTTAAAATTGGTTCAGAGGTATGATAAGTGTTTGAACAAACTTGGCAACTATGTCGAAAAATAGAGTGAAGTATGTACTTTCTGAAAATAAATTTACTTTTTTGAAATAAACTTTCGTTGTGTACTTATGTTCAAACGGACCTTACTTAAAAAATGCCCTCATATAAACCCATTTTCCTAGTTCCAACAGATCTCACTACCTCTGAGGATGCTTGCCATAGATGCAGGCAAAACGTCAGGAGAGAATGCCTCTAGAACATGGCCATATAGCATGAAAAAAACTACAACAACCAAAAATTCCTAACATCGCCTAATAAAAAAAGATAGCAGTAGGTCATTTTATACTTACTCTTGGATATGGGAGACCACTGGTGGTGTTAAAAGCTGGAAGAAGCTTGTAGCCCAGAAGTTTTGCCATATGGAGAAGTTCCCCGTTGTACCACTGCATAACTTCACCTTTCTCTTTGAGCATAATTGCTACTGAATGCCCACCTAAAAGTCCCCTAAACACAAACAAAAGGTAATGCTATTCAGAAACTACATCAGATTCAGAAAATATTGATGTCAGTCATGGGAATGCTTAAGGATGTAGCTGTGAGAGAAACAACTAGAAGGCAGTGGTCAGTATGCCTTAACGTTGCATAAATTAGAATAATAGAGCTGGAAGAGACCACAAGGGCCATCCAGTCCAAAATAAAAGTGGTACAGGACAAGAGAAAAGGGAACAAGTATTGTGTAAATTGTTTCCAATCCTTAAACAATACTTAGCAGTTGCATCTATATCATTCATGTTAAGAAATCAAGAACAAAGGTAATGGGGAGTGGAGTGCTGCATCTGATTTCTACAGAAACCACAGAACCATGGACAGCTTCACGGCCCATAAAGTTAAACAACCCCTTTAAAAATCATCTGAAGTAAGTGACCATCACCACATTCTGAGGGATACATGATTCACTTTCAAGCTTCTAAGCTTTTAACAAAGACAGGTTTTAAGAACACGTGAGCAATCTCTAAAGACCAGAAGCCAGAGTAAAAGTGCTGAATGACGTCTTTAGCACACCCACCAAGACTTTTGCCCTTTACAATGACAAGAGAGAACAGAATTGTTACAGAAAATAAAAAGAGGCCAAAAAAAGAGAGAGATATCATGTGGGTACATGTGGCTTACGCAATTCATAAAACATGGCACTTCTTAGCACAGTCCTGAGATTTTAGCCTTTTAAATAGACAAGCCTGACTATAATTTATTGCAGTTCTTGTTCAATTTGTTAAATATATTTATGCATTATTTCAGATACCAAGCTTTTACTAAATAAATGCTTATAATAGTATGCTCATGTTTGCTGCAAACTGGACAGTTTAAGTGAAACAAAAACATGCACTATGTCAAGTGATGCAGAAACGCAACATATATACAAATAGTATATATACATATACACAATATATATACAGTATATATACATATACAGTATATATACATATATACAAATAGTAAAAATAGGTTTTCAAATTATTTTATCGGTTGAGGCTTTCTATTATTTTTAAACACTTATAGAACAACAACAACAACAACAACAACAACAATCTTTATTTATACCCCATCACCATCTCCCACAACGGGGACTCGGGGCGGCTTATATGAGGCCAAGCCCGAAAAACAGATTACAATAAAATAAGATACAAATGGTAATAAAATAAACAACATAGCATCAAAGTATAAACATATAAGCATATAAATAATATACACAAAATATAAAGAGAAAAAAAAGCTGTAAACCAAACATAATGACATATATTGAAGATCAGATTAAAATATGTGAAAAGAAATAATACATGACAGGTTGCTAACATAATATCATTCCTCCTGTCACATAAAACTTACCCAAGGACTCTGATGTTGGTTTCAAACACTGATACTACAATATCATTGTCTAAATTAACATCTCTGATCACTTTTGTAACAGCATCTTCAAACTCTTTGGTCTTATTTAACACCTGAAAAACAACGTTGAATGTAAAATAATCTGCTCACTAGCACTGAATCAGGTTTACTAGATAACAATGGTACACTATGATTAAAAAGAGAAATATATTAAAAGATAATTCAAAATAATCCAGAAAAGTATAGATATAGTCAGATGGGCATTTAAGATCCCTATTTGCATAAAACACTGGAATGTCTTTTTTGAAGTCTGGCCGCAGGATAAATTGGACTTGGGAGTTTACCTCTGGACAAATTGTCTAAGTCAGAAATTTAGAAGGAGAGATACCATTATTAAACTGGGCAAAGATTACTCTGGAAGAATGAAGATGAATGCAAATCTTATGGAATTCAATGAGGAATCTTTTTTTTAAAGACACTTAATTCTTTTACAAAGGCATATTCCTAAGTCTTGTAAAGCAGACTGGAGCAAAATTTTGTTCTTTCAGCCATGATAAGCTCTTCCAGGAGAACAGTTTATTAGGTCAGTTAATATTGTTACTCCCCAAATTGAAGATAGAGGGCTAAAGCAGATAAAATGATGGTTTACCTATAACTCAGCCTGTGGTTTGAGGCAAGATATCAACCAGGGAATTCCCATTTTATACATAGACAATATAGTAAGCCATCTCTAAATTAGAACTGGATTATATGGTCATTGTAGACTCATATAATGCAAACTGAATTGCACTGAACTGGATTCCATGCCAGTAGACTCATATAATGCAAACAGAACTGCACTGAACTGGATTCAATGCCAGTAGACTCATATAATGCAAACAGAACTGCACTGAACTGGATTCAATGCCAGTACAGACTCACATATAATGCAAACAGAACTGCACTGAACTGGATTCAATGCCAATACAGACTCATATATAATGCAAACTGAACTGCACTGAACTGGATTCAATGCCAGCAGAGACTCATATAATGCAAAAAGAACTGCACTGAACTGGATTCAATGCCAGTACAGACTCACATATAAGGCAAACTGAACTGGTTTATATGAGTCTACATTCACACATCCTGTAATCCAGTTCAATCCAGATACGCTGGATCTCAAGATACTGTCATATAATCCATTATCTAATTCCAGATTATTTGATTTGAATATGAGTCAACACTGCCAAATAATTCAGTGAAAAGCATATCATCTGGATGCAAAAACTGGGCTATATGGCATTGTAGATGGGGCCTAAATTTGCATTCTGAAACTGGATTACATGGCAGTGAAGATGGGGTCTAAGACGGGCTTTGATGGAAAGGTTTGGTAATTACTGCTTGGCACGTGGCATCTTCTCTTAGGCTCCACCTATACTGCCATATAAAATCCAGATTAACTCATTTGAACTGGATTATATTAGTCTACGCTGCCATGTGATCTGGCAATGTAGAAGGGGCCCGAGGCCAAGACAGGAATTTTGGATCTCTTGCGATTGGCCCAAATTTGTAGACTAGCAGGGAACCACCATTTTATCTGCAAAGAATAAAAGTAATAAGATACAAAAACTATCATAATGCATATTGATTAAAACAGACTACTAACTAAAGTAATAAGTGATTACTTTATCCCAGGTTAGACAACTCTCAAGGGTGTGGACAGATACCAGCTTCTTTCACACTGTCCTAAAACCTCCTGGGACTCTAGTCACCCAAGTGCTGGTCAAACAATTTGGGGGTGATTGAAAAAAGGCCTTGAGGGCCCACAACATTTGTATGTTAAAGTCAAACATTTAAAAATTTAAAACTGGAAACCTGAACAGTAAGAAACCTAAAACAACAACAAAATAAGAGAATACAACCCACCACAAGAGTGTCCAAAGTATCAATCAGCGTCAGTGAAAATCTGGGAGTAGGGGGAGAGAAAAGAATAAGAAGTTTGGACCCAGTAAATTTTAGGGAGGGGCTAAAATGAAACATTGGTAAATATTCAGTCCTGATTAGTAAATGGCACACTAGGATAAACAGCAAGCCTATAATGCAAAAAACCAGGTATGGCTGAGAGTATGTATAAGTGAGCTGCACACACAACACCAAAGTCATCTTTGTACCTGCCAAAGCTACTATATCAGGTATGGGCAAACTTTCATCTTCCAGGTGTTTTGGACTTCAACACCCACAATTCCTAACAGCCAACTAGCTGTTAAGAATTGTGGGTGTTGAAGTCCAAAACATCTGGAAGGCCAAAGTTTGCCCATGTCTGTACTGTATGTTACTCTGTGCAGTTCTGCAATTCCTATGTGCTCCCTGTATAAACTGCCCCTCCTTCAAACTGGCAATCCCAAAAGAACAATTCTGATTTCCAAGTTTGTTTTTGAAAGCTTATTATTTCTGATCAAATAAGTTAGAATTGCACAATTTTGAACCCCTCTGACCAAATGTATAATTCATGCAGGCATTGACTGACTACTATGTGCATACAAATATTCTCAGTAAATCCTACAATACATGTATGCAGTTCTTATTATCTGAGCCATTATGGAATAATGGAGGAATCAGTTCCCTTGTGTGTGTAAAAAGAAAGTGGCATTTACCCATGACTCTAGGCAAATGTGGTATGAACACCAAGAACTGGGAAGCACTGGCAAGCGCTAGTTCTAACTGTGGTCAGCTGTTACCAATGGTGCTATGTTTCATCTTGTCTCCTGGATATGCCATCAGCTGGAGACCCCTCTCCCCAGCACCAACTGTCGTTCTGGGCCAGAGTGAAGAGAGAGGGGGCCAGGGGACAGTTCCACCTTGTCTCCTGTGCTATTCTAATAATATAATATAATATAATATATTGTATATACATATAATATTTATAATATTATAATGTAATGCAATATAATAATAACAATATATTATAATTATATATTTATATTACATGTAATATTACTAATAATATTATGATATAGTGGTATGGTGTAATATAGCAATGTTTAATGCTGATATTGTACTATGCTAATAATATATTGTATGTAATATATACCTTGTAAGCTGCTCGGAGTCTCCTTTGGGGTGAGAAGGGCGGCATATAAATGTCGTAAATAAATAAATATGGATTTTGAAGAGGCACAAATAGAGAGTAAATTGAAGAAACGTGTCAAGAGGAAGGAAGGCCAACCAAACCCTTGTCGTGACCACCCGTGATGTGGAAATCTATGCCCTCAATATCAAAGACCATGTGGGTCCAGTTTTCATTTATGGATCCACCACCAAGACTCTACATTTGGAAGATAATCATACTTTGCCCATGATGATACATGACCACTTATGTGCAGTAGGAGTCAGATTAGCATAACATACCAGCTAATTAATCTTTCCAAATTACTAATGAACATAATTCAGCAACCCACTTGGCTACACACCTATGTGAGTCACTTGTAATCTAGAAGACGAACTAGATTTTGAAAAGTCCTTCTTCCGGGATGCCTACCTACATTTCTGTCTCCATAGTCAACAAAGACTTATTGTGGGCCTGCTGACAAGTCTGAGTTGAGGAAAGATTAGATATATCATTAAATGCACAAATGGAATAATCATTGTTATGTAAATAGTAGCAAGTAGGAAAGATGAAACTTTGTCTCCCACCCCAATCCTGCATGACTTTGAGGCCTGTCAGGCTTTTATTGAACTACTATTTAGACAACAATTTTTTTTTACATTCAAATCAGTAACATTAGGCATTACAAGAAAAATCTCTTCCATAGTTATTCATTCGGTATTCACATTCAGATCAATGTAGTTTCTAAGAACAGATCCACAGTATCAATTTCACATCAATATAATCATTCCAGGATACTAACTTTCCCAAGGCATCATCCACATCCCCACGACTTGGTTCTTGACCTCGAACTCTTCCACGACAAGTTAAAGGCATGAGTTCATCAGCTGGATAGGCATGTTCCTGTTCGTTGCAAGCAATGAACCAACAAATAAACAAGGAACAAGTAAATGGGAAAGCTAAAGAGGTGGGCAGATAGATATAGGTAAGTATTTTAACTAGATAAATTGCAGTAAATTGTAAGCTGCTCTGAATCCCTTTCGGGGTGAGAAGGGCAGTATATAAATGCCGTGTGTATATATATATATATTATTTTACTCTTCTTATTATTATTGGAAGGATACGTAAACACATGTAAGTATGACACAGTAATAGTGAGGCCATGTTTCAAATCCAGGCTGTTGCAAACGCAGGAACTAAGAGACACACACTTCCTACATTCATGAGAACTTGCTTCTTCTAAAAAAGGCTGCAGGCCATTTTGAGTGAAATACTATGTTCTTTCACTGGATAGGTAAGTATTTTAACTAGATAAATTGCAGTAAATGTTTTCTACATAGGAAGCCCCAGAAAACATAGAACAAGTCACAAGCTGCTTTAGTGAATTCATGATCAGCAGCAGAAGGCAGCCTTTTCTATGGTTCTTGTTTGGGCTTATTTAGTCATAGAATGCTTGCTGTTTAATATCCTGTAGCCCATTCATTTACACCGTAATGTTTTGCTTCATCATGTGTACCCTGTAACTGGAGCGATTCATAGTAAGCTGCACGACTTTCATTACAAGAAACACCTGTCCCAAAAGCAGCAAGCTGCCATCATAATGCTATTAGTTTTCACAGAAAAATATTACACTTCTGGCACTGCCTTCTGGTCAAGACATCCCGTTGCTCAAACGGTGCCAGAACAGACACAATCCGTGTGAAAATTAAAAAAGAACGGAGTATGTAAATACTGTGTCTAATTCTGGGCACCACAACTTAAGGGAGATATTAACAGGCTGGAACATGTCCAGAGGAGGGCAATGAAAATGATCAAAGGTCTCGGAACCATGCCCTAAAAAGAGCATCTTAAAGAGATGTTTAGCCTGCAGAAGAGAAGGTTGAAAGGACACATGATAGCCATGTTTATAAATATCTGAAAGAATACCATAAGGAAGAGGAAACAGGCTTGTTTTCGGTGGCCCTGAAAACTATGACTTGAAGCAATAGGTTTAAATTACAAGAAAGGAAATTCCACTTGAACATTAGGAAGAACTTCCTGATTGTGAGAGCTGTTTAGCAGAGGAACTCTCTTCCTTGGAGGGTGATGAAAGCTCCTTCTTTGGAGGCTTTTATTGTCTCATTCTATGATTCTATAAATGCATCACTTGTTTTGTTGTTTATATATACTGTATATACTCGAGTATAAGCCGACCCGAATATAAGCCGAGGCACCTAATTTTACCACTAAAAACTGGGAAAACATATTGATTCAAGTATAAGCCGAGGGTGGGAAATGCAGCAGCTACTGGTCAATTTCAAAATAAAAATAGATACCAATAAAATTATATTAATTGAAGCATCAGTAGGTTAAATGTTTATTAATATTTACATAAAACTGTAAGATAAGACTGTCCAACTCTGACAAAAACCATTATTCTAACCTTCTTCAATGTACATGTGTTTTCGTATCCTTCCAATAATAATAGAGTAAAATAATAAACGTAATAATAATAAAATAATAAAGTTAACCTATAAATGTAATAATAATAATAATAATAATAATAGAGTAAAATAATAAATAACCTTGACTCGAGTATAAGTCGAGGGGAGCTTTTTGAGCCTAAAAAAAGGGCTGAAAAACTAGGCTTATACTCGAGTATATACAGTATTCTGGTCCCTGATCAAATTAGAGCTATTCTAGTTTTTAAATCTGAACAAATATTGGCAAATGGTTGTTTAACCCAAGATTGCAAATATCTAACAGAACTATTCTGTATGTCGCTATTCAAATTAGAATAACAGAATCATAGAGTTGGAAGAGATCACATGCCCCATCTAGTCCAACTCCCTGCCCTGCAGGAAAAGCACAAAGCGCCCCTTGGGCATAAAACCTTTTACCAAGTAGGTGTAACCTACTTGGTAAAAGGTTTTATGCCCACGTAAAGGCATATTGGATTTGATGGGGAGAAACAGAGAAATGGAACCAAGGGCTTAAACAGTTCCTTGCACAGCTTCAAAGTTCCAGCTGAGCAGCCTCATCAACTTATCCAAAGAAGGTTGGAAAATCCAGCAGTACAATGTATGCTGGTTTAATACTACGAGCACTGTAATTCTTTATGCCATCTCAAAGGAACACAACTACTTTTAATACATGGAAGGAGAGCTTTCTTCCATTATTATACAGCAGAACATAAGAGAAATTGTTTTTATCTAATCATCTTTTGAAGCAGCATAGCCTCAAACCAAGCACAGCAATAAATGTCAGCACTTTGTAGCAGCCTGTTCAATACTTTACTATCTTATTATCAAGAAAAGTTTAAATTTCTGGTTTTTCTTGGCAGGTTCAACAAGTACAGAAATGCAATTGCCTTATCTAAGGTCTTAGTATACGTGGCATGTAAATATCCTTCTGACTTCAAAGCTTCCAGGATATGCCAAGTCATACTTCCTCATAATCTAAACATTTCATGGTACAAGTGTATAAAAGGCAGTAACTTTTTTCCAGTTAGTAAGATAATACTAATATGTGTGCTCTCCATGACACAGGTTCAGTCTTAAAATGTATTCAACAATGTTTTCAATCTTGTAGATACAATGAATAATGATCTAGGATCAAATGCACATTGTTTGCAGTCTGTTTCACACATTATAGTGTATTTATATTTTATCACCAAGGTCATTTTTAATGACGTTGTATCCCATCTCAAGCCGAAGGAAGAGGTGGTAATAAGATCATTGTTGTTTTTGCATCTTAACTCTCATCAAATGAAGAATTATCCCGTTTTCTGAATGGTGATAGCTGGGAGCATAGTCCATTCCAAGAGAACATAAAAGAAACACCAGTCCCTCTACTCTCTCTCCTGTAGTGATACTTCTGGCCTTTTTCAATGTCCAAGTAAGAAAATGGCAGTGGCAGTGCCTCTTTGGCGTTTCTCCTTAAAGGAGCACCAAGACAGTAGATGGGGTTGGTGCTTCTTTTAAGTTTCTCAGGGATAGACTAAGCTCTCACCACCTTACTCAGAAAAGGATAGAAAACTTTATCCGATAATAATCTACCTTACACTAGAACCACCTCCTTCTCTGAATAGAACGGAAAAGGACTTTTTGAATGTCTGGGCAGGAAACTGGGGGCATCCAGTTCTGTGCTGAACTTTCTCCTTTACATGGAACACCCCTCAATTTATCCAAGAGCCACATCAAAATTCATAATTCTGGTTCCAAAGCCTGCCCTCAACTTGAAGTTGGCTGTATATTTGGTGACTTTCCTTAACTTGTAAACTTTCTCGCAAAATCTAATAATAGTTTTTTCTGATGTAACTCCACTGAGAATGAACAGATTACAACCTTAATCAGAAGTCACCTTTCAGATTTAATTAATATTTGGCAAACATTTAATAATATTTGACAGTGCACAATGTTCACCAATACTAAATTATGATTTTTAAAAATCCCAGAATATCACTTAAAAACCAATCAAATCAGTTAAAAACTAGCTTTTTTGTTGTTGTTGTGTCTGGAGCGACTTGAGAAACTGCAAGTCGCTTCTGGTGTGAGAGAATTGGCCGTCTGCAAGGATGCTGCCCAGGGGACGCCCGGATGATTTGATGTATTTATCATCCTTGTGGGAGGCTTCTTTCATGTTCCCGCATGAGGAGCTGGAGTTGATAGAGGGAGCTCATCCGCCTCTCCCCGGATTCGAACCTGTGACCTGTCGGTCTTCAGTCCTGCCGGCACAGGGGTTTAACCCACTGCGCCACCGGGGACTCCAAAAAAGCTAGCTAAATGTTATAAATAAGTATGTGATCACTTTACTTACCATATAATTACTATAGGCATGATCAAACATTTCTATTACTTGATTCCTGCAAAGCAAGCAAAACAAAAATTAGTATATACTCTGAAAGTATATAAATCCTGAAAGGAAGATTGAGGCAAATTAGGAGACATGAGAAAATAAAGATTACCTCCCGAACAAGTACATACAATCCATAATCATTTGCACAAATGAACTAGCTAATGATAAACTACCAATAATAAATATTTGTTATCCTTGGTGCAAATGTTAAATGAAGTAGTATTATTTAATCTTTTCTGTTTTTGTTTTTTGCTGTTGATATTCTTGTTTGCCTTCAAAATATTTCTGAAATCTGGTGACCCTACAGTAAACTTACCATGAGATTTTCTTGGCTAGGTTTGTTTGAGGGCATTTGCCATTGCCTCCCTCTGTGAGAAGTGACTCACCCAAGGAGACCCAGTGGATTTCCATGGCTCAGCAAATTCATTCCCTGGTCTCCTGGAGCACACAAACTATTACATATGGTACCTCTCTAGATATAAATATGTATTAGATACATGCAAATAAACAAGGGCTGAGTCCCTGTCTACACAGACCATTAAAACTGGCACTGAATGAAGTGGTTTCGGTCAGCAGATGATTACATAGAAAATCCTGGAACCCATTTGAGGCCCAGATGGTGATTACACACACCACCAAGAATTGATGCACATTAAAGGCTTCCCAACACTTATTTCACAATGACTAGATTATGGCTTTGATTTATTCAATGCAAATCCAAGTCTGCTATATGAAAAACATGGAATTAATCTGGAGTGTTACAAATCACTGACAAAACACTATCATCCATGCAGAACAGTCCCAAATAAACCCATGTCATTCCCAGTTAGAGCTAGAAAAAATGTGTCAGACTCTATAAAGACCTGCTGTTGGTCACTGTTCACAATAGAGAGGTACATGAACCTATAGTGTGACTCAGTATAAATAGGTGATCTATGATTCATTAAGCAAACTCCATTTCAAAATCCCTCATGACAGAAATGAATGACTTCTTTGCTCTTTCCACCTGGATTGATAATCTTCATGATCAGAGGTGGTTTTGCCTTCAAGTAGTCAACATAGGATGCCACTTTGAATTTCATTGGGTTTTCTTAGGTAATGAATTCTCAGAGGTGGTTTTGCCAGTTCTTTTTACCAAAATACAGCATAAAGCACCTGGCATTTATTAATAGTCTCTCTTCCAAGTACTAACCAAAGCTGACCCTACTTAACTTCCAAGATCAGTCAAAATCTGGTGCTTTCTACAAGATTTTATCTTCCCAGAGATGGGTAGCACTGGAATCTTTAAGCATGTTTCAATTATACAGGGCCTGGTGCTGTCTCTTTCATGTCTAAAGACTAGAGTTGGATCATTCTAGCTTTAGTCTCCCTGGTGCATCTTTGAGAAGCTAAATAAAGTTATTATCTTGTTACAATAACCACAGTGTGCTAAATTAATGCATTACTTGTTCAAGACTGGATGAATGACATTCGACAACATAAGAAATCTGTAAGCTCAGCAATGTTTTGTTCTCAAAATTGTGAAGCATTTTATTAATAATTCACCATCATTATCCTAAGTTCAAATAATAAGAAGATGAAACAGTACTCTAGCAGATTTTTATTAATTTTTTTTTATCTGCCCTGGCAGTTCTTTCAGTCTCAGTCAAATACACTGATAATATTTGTGAATTATTAGTCCATTTAGAAGGTAAGCAAACTTGGATTTCAGACTCATTAACTACAACTATGAAATAAACAGGAGATCAGACATCAAATTAAGGAGAAGAACTGTCTTAACACTGGAGCACTGAGTTCAATAATTTCTTTCTAGATCTAGAACTGAGCATTGCAGACTTTTTACATAAAATAGAGTTTGTGCTTCTCTCTTGCTGGCTTTCTCTAGCAGTCTAACCTGAAGGCAATAGAAGACTGTTGTTTTTTTATCAAAAAGAAGATCCTCTGAATCTATGTGAAAGAAGCAATAAATCATATGTTTTTTAAAAAAGAACTACTGACAAGCTGGAAGGTGTCCAAAGAAGGGCGACTAAAATGTTCAAAGGTCTGGAGAACATGCCCTATGAGGAGCATCTTAAAGAACTGGATATGTTTAGCTTGCAGAAGATAAGTTTGAGAGGAGACATGATAGCCATGTATAAATATGTGAAAAGATGTCATAAGGAAGGGGGTGCAGGCTTGTTTTTCTGCTGCCATAGAAACTAGGACTCAGGAGCAACAAATTACATGAAAGGAGATTTCACCCGAACATTAGGAAGAACTTCCTCACTGTGAGAGCTGTTCAGCAGTGGAACTCTCTGCCTCGGAGTGTGATGGAGTCTTCCCCCTCCCTCAATAGGATGTCCTTCCAAATATTTATTAAGCCTGGCTATCATGGCTTCTTGCCCTTTGCTGCCAAGTGAAAGGACACTCAACACAAATCTTTACTCACAGTAGGCATGATTATCAAGTGTGGAGTGAGAACATGCCAAATGGCAGGAGAAAAGATTCCACCTAAACATCAGGAAGAAATTCCTGATGGTAAGAGCTGTTTGGCTGTGGAATGTGCTGCCTGGGAGTGTGGTGGGGTCTCCTTCTCTGGAGATGTTTAAGCAAGAGGCAGGGTGGCCATCTATCATAGAATCATAGAATAATAAGAGTTAGAAGAGACCACATGGGCCATCTAGTCTAACATCATGTCATGCAGAAAAAGCACAACGTATCCCTGACAGAGGGCAATCCAGTTTCTGTTTAAAATGTTTCCAAGGAAGGAGTTTCCACCACACTCTGAGGCAGAGTTCCACTGTTGAAGAGCTCTTACAGTCAGGAAGTTCTTCCTAATGTTCAGTTAGAATCTCTTCTACTGTAATTTAAACTCATTGCTCCTAGTTTCAAGGGCAGCAAAAAGCAAGCCTGCCACTGTTCCTTAAAACATCTTTTCACATATTTCTACACGGCTCCTTTCAACCTTCTCTTTTGCAAGCTAAAAATACCCAGCTCTTTAAGACACTCCTCAAAAGGATTCATGGTCTCCAGACCTTTGATTATTTTAGTCACCCTCCTATGGACACTCTCCAGCTTGTCAATATCACTTTGAACTGTGATGCCCAGAATTGGACACAGTATCCCAGGTGAGATCTGACCAAAGCAAAATTGAGAGGCAGCATGACTTCCCTCAATTTACACACTATACTCCTTCAACGCTGCTCAAAATCACATTGACTTTTTTAGCTGCCGCATCACACTGTCAGCTCCTGTTCAATTTGTTGTCCATGAAGATTCCAAGATCTTTCTCACATGGACTGCTGTCGAGCCAAGCATCACCCATACTATTCCTTTGCATTTCATTTTTTTCTGCTTAAGTGTAGTATCTTACATTTGTCCTTGTTTAAATTCATTTTGGTCATTTTTGGCCCACCTCTCTAATCTGGTAAAGTCTATTTGAATTCTGATCCTGTCTTCTGGAGTATTAGCTATCCATCCTAATTTGGTGTCATCTGCAAACTTGATAAGCCTGCCCTCTAAACCTTCATCCCAGTCATTAATATAGATGTTGAACAGCATTGGGTCTAGGACTGAACCCTGAGGCACTCCACCAGTCACTTCTTTCCAGATTTTTTTTGTCATGTCAGGAGCAACTTGAGAAATTGCAAGTCGCTTCTGGTGTGAGAGAATTGGCAGTCTGCAAGGACATTGCCCAGGGGATGCCCGGATGATTTGAATTTTTTTTTATCATCCTTGCGGGAGGCTTCTCTCATGTCCCCGTATGAGGAGCTGGAGCTGATAGAGGGAACTCATCTGCCTCTCCCCAGATTCAAACTTTTCCAGGATGAAGAGGAACCATTGGTGAGCACTCTTTCGGTTTGGTCGCTTAACCAATTACAGATTCACTTAACAATAGCATTACCTAAATAGGTTTACATTCTCACACTATTGCTTAGCCTCAATGTTTTGTCATTGGAGTATATGTCCCGTCCCTTGTGGGAAAGCCTGATTCCACAACGCCCACTATAATGAGTCCTCCTCTGCAAATAATCTGTCTCTCTCTTATCTCGCCTGAGTTTTAATTAGAATTATAGAATCAAAGAGACCTCATGGGCCATCCAGTCCAACCCCTTGCCAAGAAGCAGGAATATTGCATTCAAAGCACCCCTGAGAGATGGCCATCCAGCCTCTGTTTAAAAGCTTCCAAAGAAGGAGCCTCCACCACACTCCGGGGCAGAGAGTTCCACTGCTGAACGGCTCTCATAGTCAGGAAGTTTTTCCTCATGTTCAGATGGAATCTCCATTCTTGTCGTTTGAAGCCATTGTTTCGTGTCCTAGTCTCCAGTGAAGCAGAAAACAAGCTTGCTCCCTCCTCCCTGTGGCTTCCTCTCACATATTTATACATGGCTATCATATCTCCTCTCAGCCTTCTCTTCTTCAGACTAAACATGCCCAGCTCCTTAAGCCGCTCCTCATAGGGCTTGTTCTCCAGACCCTTGATCATTTTAGTCGCCCTCCTCTGGACACATTCCAGCTTGTCAATATCTCCCTTCAATTGTGGTGCCCAGAATTGGACACAATATTCCAGGTGTGGTCTAACCAAAGAGGGGTAGCATGACTTCCCTAGATCTAGACGCTATGCTCCTATTGATGCAGGCCAAAATCCTATTGGCTTTTTTTGCCACCACATCACATTGTTGGCTCAGTTTAAATCAGTCTCTCTTTTAATAATTACATGTAGCCCACCCATTGACATTGTGATTGTGCCTATTGTAATTTTATATTGCTATGTTTTCACTGCGGTGGCGCAGTGGGTTAAAGCACTGAGCTGATGAGCTTGTTGATCGAAAGGTCACAGGTTCGATTCCGGGGAGCGGCGTGAGCTTCCGCTGACAGCCCTAGCTAGTAGATCAATAGGTACCGCTCCGTCGGGAAGGTAACGGCGCTCCATGCAGTCATGCCGGCCACATGACCTTGGAGATGTCTACGGACAATGCTGGCTCTTTGACTTAGAAATGGAGATGAGCACCACACCCCAGAGTCAGACATGACTGGACTTATTGTCAGGGGACTACCTTTACCTTTACCTATGTTTTCATATGTTTGATGTAATTATGTTGTTTGTTGTTTATTGTTTGTGTTTTCGGTTTAATTTTATTGTAATTTGCTGTTTGTAAGGGTCCCCATTGGGGAGATGGTGGAGGAGTATAAATAAAGATTATTATTATTATTATTATTATTATATATCCAGGGGCGGCTCAACCCATTACGCAAAGTAAGAATTTCATAGAATCATAGAATCAAAGAGTTGGAAGAGACCTCATGGGCCATCCAGTCCAACCCCCTGCCAAGAAGCAGGAATATTGCATTCAAATCACCCCTGACAGATGGCCATCCAGCCTCTGTTTAAAAGCTTCCAAAGAAGGAGCCTCCACCACACTCCGGGGCAGAGAGTTCCACTGCTGAACAGCTCTCACAGTCAGGAAGTTCTTCCTCATGTTCAGATGGAATCTCCTCTCTTGTAGTTTGAGCATTTGCAGTATAGTTATATCCAGGGGCGCTCTTGGGGGAAAATAGACCTTGACATATGCGAGTTGTAGTTACTGGGATGTATAGTTCACCTACAATCAAAGAGCATTCTGAACTCCACCAATGATGGAATTGGACCAAATATGGCACACAGAACTCCCACGACAAACAGAAAATATATATCAATGATTGGTTGGGGGGGGGGGTACCAAAATACTGTTTGCTTACCGTTGAAAATTACCTAGGGCCTTCTCTGTATCTATCCCACCTTGTTAGTTTGCTTGCAAGAAGGTCATGGGGGACTTTCTCGAAGGCCTTATGAAATCAAGCTATGTTACATCCACAGCATTTCCTGCATTACCAAGCTTGGGACTCTATAGGAAAAGGGGGTAAGATGAGCCTGGCATGACTGTGGGGGTGCTTTGACGGGTTTTTTTTTTTTTTGTCGTGTCAGGAGCGACTTGAGAAACTGCAAGTTGCTTCTGGTGTGAGAGAATTGGCCGTCTGCAAGGACGTTGCCCAGGGGACGCCCAGATGTTTTGATGTTTTAACATCCTTGTAGCTTTGACGGTGCCTTCCCGACATGGCAGGCGGGGCTGGGTGGCCCTCGGGGTCTCCCCCCGGCCCTGCCCTGCCTTCCCTCCCTGCTTCCCTCTGTCTGCCTGGCCTTCTCCTTCCCTTACCCGAGGCGGCGCTTCTCCTCCCGGCCCATGGCCTGCCCAGCGGGCGCCGCCGCCAGCACCGAGGAAGCGGAGAGGAGGCCCAAGGCCAGCAGCCTCCAGCCGGGGCAGCGGCGGCCTGCCGGGGCGTCGCCGCTCCTTCCCTGGGCCCCGGGCACTGCTCCGGTCATGGCAGCAGCTGCCCTGCTAGGCCCCGCGCGGTCCCATCCCCTCAGGAGCTGACGCGCCGCCGCCGCCGCCGCGAGAAGGGACCGGCCCTTCGCTCCTTCAGCTGCCCCGCCCTCCGATGTAGCCAAGGAAACGGGCTGCTTCCGGGTTCTCTTCCGGTCACGTGGCGCTAAGGCCGGCGGGGAACCAATGGGAATAGAGGCGCCGCGTCACCTGACTGCGCTTGGCACGCTCCCTGAGGCAGGGAGACGTGGAAAGCACAGGCAATCCGCGCCAGCCGTGACGTGGCGCTCGCGTAGAAATAGCAAGAGTGTAGAGCGCCCCACTCACTGACGTATGGAATTTCCGGGCGCGCATTAGGCTTTTTTTGTTTTTTTTAAATCCACTTCGCACAACGACCACGATAAAACTCCCGACCCGGATAATGGAACTAGAGGCTCTGTTCTTTCGCCCCCGCCCTCTACTTCCGGAGCCCGTGCGAGCTCACTTCTCAGTGCCTGGGGCCGCGCTACACTCCTGCACCCGCCCCAAAGCGCGGGCGCGCGGGCGGAAAGGCTCAAGATAAAGTAGCAAAGGAGCGCCGCCTGGCGGAACTCGCTCGTTATAGCAGCCTGATGATGCCACATTGAACCACCCCCGTGTTTCAATGCTACTGTGGAAGAGTGGGCTTTGTAGTTTTGTGAGATTTTCCCCTCTCTCTGGGGGCCCTTCCACACAGCCATATAACCCAGAATATCAAGGCAGACATATCTGCTTTGACATATCTGCTTTGAACTGGATTATCTGAGTCCACACTGCGAGATATTCCGGTTCAAAGCAGATCATATGGATTTTGTATGTAGATGGAACCTGGGAAGAAGGTTCTGAGGGTTGGAGTCTGAAATGCTACAGTGCAAGGAGGCTTCCCAGGACAGGGGAAATGGTGCATCCAGGGAGTCTTAAATACTATTTTGTTTATTGTATGTTAACCTGTTTTTACCATTTACAATTTGTTTTTAACTGTTGTATTGCGCTTTTTAAACTTGACCAAAGTGTGGGATTGTTAGCCACCCCATAGGGAGAGAGGTCAGGTACAAATAAAGTTAATAATAATAATAATAATACCACTTTATTTGTACCCCGCTACCATCTCCCCAAGGGACTCGGTGCGGCTTACATGAGGCCGAGCCCAAACACAACAATACAGGCAATAATCATAACAATTCACACAATTAAAATAAAACATGAACATATAACATTATCAATAAGACAACAAATAGTTAAAACTGTGGGAAGGCCAAATGTAAAATTAAAATTGGAATAGTGCTGAAGCCTGGACGAAGAGGTGATAGTGACGTTTGTGGAAGACATACGAGCAGACCTAACAGTGAAAAGTGCTTTGGAGGACAAAGTGCAATGGGATCATTATTCCTGGAAGGCACACTGGAACAAGCACGTCTTCAAGCTCCTCCTGAAGACTGCCAGAGTTGTAGCCTGCTTGATGTCCTTAGGGAGTGAGTTCCAGAGTCGAGGGGCCACCACCGAAAAGGCCCTCTCCCTCGTCCCCACCAATCGTGCCTGCGAAGCTGGTGCGATCGAGAGCAGGGCCTCTCCAGATGAACAAAGAGATCGTGTGGGTTTGTATACAGAGATGCAGTCACGCAGGTAGGCGGGTCCCAAACCGTTCAGGGCTTTGAAGGTAAGAACCTGCACCTTGAATTGGTAGATGAATGGCAGCCAGTGGAGCTCCTTGAACAGGAAGGATGACCGCTCTCTGTAAGGAGCCCCAGTTAACAACCTGGCTGCCGCCCGTTAGATCATCTGAAATTTCCGGGCCGTTTTCAGGGGCAGCTCTATGTAAAGTGCATTGCAGTAGTCCAGTCTAGAGGTGACTAAGGCGTGGACCACCTTGGCCAGATCCGCTTTCTCGAGGTATGGCCGCAGTTGGCGCACGAGTCTCAATTGTGCAAAGGCCCTCCTGGCCACCACCGACGCCTGAGCCTCAAATATAAGTGACGAATCCAGGAGGACCCTCAAACTGCGGACCTGTGACTTCAGGGGGAGTGCAACCCCATCCAGCACAGGTTGCCACCCAATACCCTGGTCTGGTTTACAATCAACCAGGAGGACCTCTGTCTTGTCGGGATTAATCTTCAGCTTGTTCGTCCTCATCCAGCCAGCCACAGTGGTCGGCACTCGTCTAACACTCGAGGGGCTTCCTTGGAGTTAGGTGGGAAAGAGTAGTAGAGTTGTGTGTCATCTGCATAGAGATGGCACCCAACTCCAATACTCCGGATGACCTCTCCAAGCGGTTTCATGTAGATGTTAAAAAGCATGGGAGACAGAATGAAGCCTTGCGGGACCCCACAGGTCAAAGGCCAGGGGTCCAAGCAGGCGTCTCCCAGCTTCACCATCTGAGATCGACCCTCCAGGAAGGACCGGAGCCACGACAAAACCGTGCCCCCGAGACCCATTCCGGAGTCGTCCCAGAAGAATACCATGATCAATGGTATCAAAAGCCGCTGAGATATCCAAGAGAACCAACAGCGTCACACTCCCCCTGTTGAGCTCCCTACAGAGATCATCCACCAAGGCGGACAAAGCCGTCTCGGTGCCATTGCCAGGCCTGAAGCCAGACTGTGACCGATCCAGATAGTTGATGTCATCCAGGAAGCCCTGAAGCTGAGAGGCGACCACTCGCTCCAACACCTTGCCCAGAAAAGGGAGGTTTGAGATTGGTCTATAGTTATTCAAGACCGTGGAATCAAGGGAAGTCTTTTTCAGGAGTGGTCTGACCACAGCCTGTTTTAAACCAGATGGAAAAATTCCTTGCTCCAACGATACATTGATGATTAACATAAACCAGTCAATCAGACCATAATAATAATAATAATAATAATAATAATAATAATAATAATAATAATAATAATAATAATAAATTATATAATAATAATGTTCAACTTGTGGTTTTGTGATATGAAATCCAGCATATAGATCTCGCTTGCTGTGACATACTGTGTTTTTGTGTCAGTAAAATAATAATCATAATAATAATAATTGGCCACGTGGTGTTCCCAGTACACAGGCCAAAATCTTTCAATATCTGATTTTCCGCCGGCATTCCCATTCCTGTACTTGTTCATTCATTCAGTCGTTTCCAACTCTTCGTGACCTCATGGACCAGCCCACACCAGAGCTCCCTGTCAGTCGTCACCTCCCCCAGCTCCTTCAGAGTCAATCCAGTCACTTCAAGGATGCCATCCATCCATCTTGCCCTTGGTCGGCCCCTCTTCCTTTTTCCTTCCATTTTCCCTAGCATCACTGTCTTCTCTAAGCTTTCCTTTCTTCTCATGATGTGGCCAAAGTACTTCATCTTTGTCTCTACTATCCTTCCCTCCAGTAAGCATTTGGGCTTTATTTCCTGAAGTATGGACTGGTTGGATCTTCTTGCGGTCCAGGGCACTCTCAGAACTTTCCTCCAGCACCACAGTTCAAAAACATCTATCTTCCTTCGCTCAGCCTTCCTTATGGTCCAGCTCTCACATCCGTAGGTGCCTATGTGGAATACCATTACTTTAACTATGTGGATCTTCGTTGCCAGTGTGATGTCTCTACTCTTCCTGTACTAGCATTACGGTAATGTTACCTTTTTTAGCTGAGCATTTAGAAACATGGCACTGTTTAAGTGCAGGGGCAGGAAGAATAATAGAACAGAATTGAATGGAATGTCCTTATTGTCATTGTGCTGTTGCATAATAAAATTAAATTATTTCCCCAGCACACACTACAAAACAACACACCCATCCCTCCACACCCCAACCACCACCACACAGTCTCCTATGCCACATCAGTGTGAAACTATAGAGTTCAACATAGCCACAGCTCTGGGATAAAAGCTATATCTCAGTCTGTTTGTCCTTGTCTTTGTCATCCTGTACTGTCTTCCCAATAGTAATAATTCAAAAAATGGAATATGCTGGGTGAGATGGGTTCTTAAGAATATTCCGAGCTTTTTTAAGCCTGCAGGACTTCTTCCAAAGAGGGGAGAGGGCAACAAATGATTCTCTGTGCAGAAATGGTGACCCTTTGTAGCGCCTTCCTATCTACCACTGTGCAGTTACCAAACCATATGCAGATGCAGTAAGTTAGGATATTCTCTATAGCACAGCGGTAGAAAGTCACCAGCATAATTCAGTTGTCAGTTCCTTAGAAGTCTCAGATAGTACAATCTCTCCTGGGCCCTCTTCACCAATGCTGCCTTATGGGATGGCTCAAAGACAACCTTAAAACTCTGGCATAGACACTGAGAACTGGGAAGCCCTGGCCCTTGAGCGCTCCAGCTGGAGGTCAGCTGTGACCAGCAGTGCTGTAGAATTTGAAGAGGCATGAATGGAGGGCGAAAGAGAGAAATGTGCCAAGAAGAAGGCGCATCAAGCCAACCCCGACCGGGACCGCCTTCCGTCTGGAAACCAATGCCCTCACTGCGGGAGAACATGCAGGTCAAGAATAGGGCTCTACAGTCACCTACAGTCACCTACAGACCCACCGCCAGTACACTGATCCTGGAAGACTATCCTACTCAGACGAGGGATCGCCTAAGGCTTACAGGTGCACCAGGTCAGATCCTTCTTAACAGTTACACCCAGAAATTTAAATGCAGTCATTATCAAAGTTCTCTGGTTGTGTGCAAATCTGCAGCTCCACCGGCCAAACTGTAGCTTTGTTGCTGCAACTTGCAAAGCCTCTCCAATGGATCTGTTTTCATATTTCAGTTTGTCCTTCCTTCTCAGTCATTGTGGCACTGGGTCTCAATCTTTGCTCTACTCCATTTCCTGCCTACCCGCAGCTAGATTCTATTAAATGTTTCTTATCCCCTAAGTAAGTGAGAAGGAATAATTCCCTTATTTCAATGTGATCTGGAAACAGCTGCAATAGCTCAGGTTTTTGTCATAATTTCCCGACAGAAACATCTATGGGTATGTGTTTGAATAATAAGCTGTAAGCAACTCTGAGTGATACTTAATACATAACACATGATGACATTCCCAGTGGCTGTCCTTAAGCCTCAGGCTTTGGCGTAGAAATCTCAGGGCCTGGGACAATCTTGAAGTCGAAACCCGACTTGTAATATGTTCCCTCCAATGTTTGTCTTTGGCTATTTTTAAACTACAGCAGATTTGTGACCGATTTACAAATCTACTGGTTCTAATGACATTCCATTATTTTGCTGACAAGGGGAAACCATCTGTTTTGTCCATTAATCATAAAAACTGGAAAATATGCTCCATCTAAGGGGGGGGGGGATAAGTACAGGATGTATTGAGCATGTAAACAAGAGGCTGCCTTGTTTATGGAGGCAAGGACAGTTTCCCCTGAACAGTGGAAGACGGCAACAAATGTCTGGAGAAAATGCCTAATTTTGCAAATAAACATGTTTTCATCCATATTGTGAGCCCCCGGTGGCGCAGTGGATTAAACATCTGTGCCGGCAGGACTGAAGATCGACAGGTCGCAGGTTCGAATCCGGGGAGAGGCGGATGAGCTCCGTCTACCAACTCCAGCTCCTCATGCCTCCCACAAGGATGATAAAACATCAAATCATCCGGGCGTCCCCTGGGCAACATCCTTGCAGACGGCCAATTCTCTCACACCAGAAGTGACTTGCAGTTTCTCAAGTCTCCTGACATGACAAAAAAAATCCATATTGTGCTGTCGCGCACTGGGCTATGACAATGTCTGTTTATAGGACGTGTTTTCTGTATGCCCAATGGGACACCGGGGTGCCTCAGCTAAAGGGTCCCTTAGGTTTCCCAAAACAAAGTTCTGTAGAGGCTCAAAATAAGTCCAACAAAGTTCTTTATTAAGGCTTAAATCTTCGAACAAACGAATAAAATGCCATATAATCTTGAAAAACCGGTAGCTTTCTCGATCTGCCGACAAGGGACAGGCAACTGCTTGATAAACCGTTCCTATCTTCTGACCCCTTCTTGGGCAATATTTCTTAACCCTGCTAGCGTGAGACCCCAACTCCCGGCTCCAAGCTGCGTTATGGATAGCCCGAGTGGTCCCTTACCAGGCAATGGTTGCTGCAGATCTGCCAAGCTGGTGTCCTTTTAGTTTCTCCATGAAGGAAGTTAAACATGAGCCAACAATGTGATGTGCGGCAAAAAAAGCCAATGGGATTTTGGCCTGCATCAATAGGAGCATAGTGTCTAGATCTAGGGAATTAATGCTACCCCTCTATTCTGCTTTGGTTAGACCACACCTGGAATATTGTGTCCAATTCTGGGCACCACAATTCAAGAGAGATATTGACAAGCTGGAATGTCCAGAGGAGGGCGACTAAAATGATCAAGGGTCTGGAGAACAAGCCCTATGAGGAGCGGCTTAAGGAGCTGGGCATGTTTAGCCTGAAGAAGAGAAGGCTGAGAGGAGATATGATAGCCATGTATAAATATGTGAGAGGAAGCCACAGGAGGAGGGAGCAAGCTTGTTTTCTGCTTCCCTGGAGACTAGGACGAAACAATGGCTTCAAACTACAAGAAAGGAGATTCCATCTGAACATGAGGAAGAACTTCCTGACTGTGAGAGCCGTTCAGCAGTGGAACTCTCTGTCCTTGAGTGTGGTGGAGGCTTCTTCTTTGGAAGCTTTTAAACAGAGGCTGGATGGCCATCTGTCGGGGGTGATTTGAATGCAATATTCCTGCTTCTTGGCAGGGGGTTGGGCTGGATGGCCCATGAGATCTATTCCAACTCTTTGATTCTATGATTCTAATTCTCAGCGTTGTAGTGATGCCAAAGTAAAACACGACCCCAAATTTAAAAGTATATTGGTTTATTTCTTTGGAAAGAGATTATAAGTAACAGTAATAAAATCAAGACAGGCACAACATTTGCTTTCAGAAGATGATCACAATCCTTCTCACAGGAGAATTCGTAGTATCTGGCCCTTTAAGGAGAGAGTCAGCCCTGGAGCCGAAGTGGTATTCAGCTGCCTGCTGGCCTGCCTCTCCTTGCAGATCTCTCTCTTTTTAGATCAATGTAACAAAATACTCACTTAAATTTCAAAACACTGTAGAATAATTAAAAATGTCATCAGTGATGGTTTTGGTAATGCCATGTCAAAGAAAATATGTCAAGTTACTTATATGGCACTAGAACATACATATCAACTCTAATCCCAACTTGCAGTGTTTTAAAAACATATCCACGATTGGATCTGAAAGTAATAACCAAATATAAACTATGTTTTCAAGCAAATGATAACTTAAATGCACTTTATTACTGTCACTGGAATGAACAGCAGGACTGTAGCTGTATCTGAATGCATCAAGTCAACCCAAGAAAGATTATTCGGACACAACGTAACTGAAGTCCTAAGAATGAGAAGGTGCTATATTCCATAAACGTAAAAGCAGTTCAGTCTATAAGAATTAAAAAGGGTTGACTTTTTGTGAATCCTACCACTGGTCCAGACATACCACAAAGTCCAATTGCCTGAGAAACTTACGGTGCACATATCCAAACTGGCTCCGTGCTAAGAATTACCCTAAGTGTATTTACTGGGGACAGTGGGAACAAGAACCACTACAAAAATATGCAAAGATAGGCAGTTAACATTCTGAATCTGTCCTAGAGATACAATCACTATTATAATTATTCGGTTATTTTTTAAATATCATTTAGATAGCATTGGAGGGGAGAGAGAGTGTGCGCACAATTGTTTCTGTGGCCAAAAACTAACAATCCTTGGGGTTCATTTCGGTTGTACCTTAACTGGGATTTTAGTTTTAATGTAGGAATAGCATAATATTTTAGTTTTAATGTAGGAATAGCATTATTCCTATTATGCATAATAGCATAATAGGAATAATGTTAATTACTGTTAATTAGTTTAACTATTTTGTACCTCAATGTAATAAGTGTACCAACTTAAATATTCCCAGGATTGTATCCACAAATGGTCATCTGTAAGTGGAAAGAATAGCATGGGTTAAATGAGATGCCCTTCCCTGTTTTACTTTCCAATATGCTCTGAAAGAACTGGAGCGTTCCTCCAGAAGAATCATAAAGCATTTCTGTGTACGAACCCACACGACCTCTTCAATCATCTGGAGAGGCCCTGCTCGCTCTCCCACCTCCTTTGCAGGCACGATTGGTGGGGACAAGGGAGAGGGCCTTCTCGGTGGTGACCCCCTGACTCTGGAACTCACTTCCCAAGGACATCAGGCATGCCCCAACTTGGCAGTCTTTAGGAGGAGCCTGAAAACATGGCTGTTCCAGTGTGCCTCCCCAGAATGAGGAAAATTCTCAGCAATATGCCCTCAGAATGCACTTTATTACTGGTTTGGGATTGACTGCGTTCCCTCATCTCTCTTTGAAAACCCTATACAGTTATATCCTATCTTGTTCATGCCCAACATTTATTTCTTAATTTTTAAACTATTACATTTGGCCCGGCCATAGGTTTTTAAATCCTTGTGTGTTACTGTTTATTGGTTATTGTTCAGATGTGATTTATATTAATTGTATTGTATTTATTGTTTTTGTTTATTGATATACTGTTGGGCTTGGCTTCATGTAAGCCACTCTGAGTCCCTTGGGGAGACAGTGGCGGGGTATAAATAAAGTTTTATTATTATTACTAGCTGTCCCCTGCCACGTGTTGCTGTGGCCCACATGGGGGTTCTGTGTGGAAGGTTTGGCCCAATTCTATCGTTGGTGGGGTTCAAAATGCTCTGTGATTGTAGGTGAACTATAAATTCCAGTAATTACAACTCCCAAATGTCAAGATTCTATTTTCGTCACACTCCACCAGTGTTCACATTTGGGCATATTGAGTTTTTGTGTAGAGTTTGGTCCAGATCCATCATTGTTTGAGTACACAGTGATCTCTGGATGTAGGTGAACTACAACGCCAAAACCAAAGGACACTGCCCACCAAACCCTTCCAGTATTTTATGTTGGTCATGGGAGTCCTGTGTGCCAAGTTTGGTTCAATTCCATTGTTGGTGGGGTTCAGAATGCTCTTTGACTGTAAGTGAACTATAAATCCCAGCAACTACAACTCCCAAATGACAAAATCATTTTTTGAGTGAAGGACATACATTGGGTTGTTAGGTGTCTTGTGTCCAAATTTGGTGACAATTCATCCAGTGGTTTTTGAGTTCTGTAAATTCCACAAACGAACATTACATTTTTATTTATATAGATTTATAGAGCTGTAAGAGACCACATGGGCCATCCAGTCCAACCCTTTCCATGCAGGAAAAGCTAAATGAAAGCACCCCCGATAGATGGCCATCCAGCCACTGTTTTAAAAGCCCCAAAGGAGGCACTTACACCACACCATGGATGACATAGGGAGTACAGGAAAAGGTTTTCTTGACAAGAAGGGACTTGCCGTGACGTGCCTCAGACGCCAAGAGAGAGTGACTTGCCCAATGTTACCAGTGGCTTTCCATGGCTGAGCAGAGATTTGATGCCTGCTCTCGGAGGTTCTTGGCCAAAACACTCAAGGCGCAACACCATATTGGCTCCATCAAGCAAGGACTAGATGTAATCCTTACCAGTTCTCCTCCAAAATATTTGTGACTTTGGCATCCAGGAAAGAAGGGGTGAATAGTAGAATCTGCTCTGGGATAGTCTTACGCCCTCTCCTGAATCCTTTTTAAAAACTCATTATAGCCGAACTACATATAAAATTCCAAGATAAATGTGTAGGTAGTAACCTATTAAGAAGCAAACCCTGATTTTGGCTATCATTTTCATGGCCCAAAGAAATGGCAAAATCCACCTAATTAGCATAATGTGTACTAAAGTTTATTTATTTACTATTTATTTACTATATTTGTATGCCGCTTTTCTCAGCCCTCGAGCGACTCAATTACACAATTCTACTCAGACCCCTTCGTCACTGAAGTTTCCCCACCGGATTGTGGTTCTTCCGCAGACACAGTCTTGCTTAAGGCACTTTGGAATAAATAGATACGAATTATTGTGAATGGTTGTCATTCTCTTTGGGGACAATTTATAAAGTGCCCTGCAAAAGGTGCAAAAGGTGAGGAGGAGGGACAGAGAAACCTGCTTCAACTATTCTGGACATTTAAATATTGCAACAATTAAAAGAGGACGCCATGGTCAAATCTCTGCCGAAAGCTTTTAAATATAGAAAGAATAATCCAGCTCATTAAGTTCACAGCTATATAAGCGGTATTAAACTGTGCAAGACTTCAATAAGCAAATCACTTCACCCTATTGCTGAAGATTTTCAACTGTTTCTTATCGGCATGTTTCAGACAAGACTGATTCTCCTAAACTCTATCCGATTTAGCTTTTCATTCTAAACTCTATTCTCACTTCCTTGAAATCCTCACCCACGTGACAAACTAATTCATTACAAATAGTTACACTGAAAGTTCTCAAAAGGAATTTGAAAAGTTTAAAAGGTTGTATCAGTTTATCACTAGGATCCCCTGGTGATCTGGCAGGACTGAAGACTGATAGGTTACAGGTTCGAATCCGGGGAGAGCACAGATGAGCTCCCTCTATCAGCTCCAGCTTCTCATGCGGGGACATGAGAGGAGCCTCCCACAAGGGTGGTAAAACATCAAAACATCCAGGTGTCCCCTGGGCAATGTCCTTGCAGACGACCAATTCTCTCACACCAGAAGTGACTTGCAGTTTCTCAAGTCGCTCCTGACACAACCAAAAAAAAAGTTTATCACTGGCAGAACATATAAGTATGAACCACACTGGAGATAGTAATCAGCTTTTCATGGCCAACTTCTATGTTGTCAGAAGAAAGAGAAGAAAGATTTTTTTTCAGATTGCCAGCATTCTCGAAGACCTGAAGAATGGGAATGCGAGTGCTTTCAGATAAAGATGTTTTCATTTGAATACCTCCACTCAATTTTTTAAGGTGACTCAAGTCATATTAATCTCAGGGCTGAGGTTTTAGATTCCTCAGATAATCTTATTTTTTACTTCTCAGACTGGAACTCAAGATTGCTTCCCTTGGATATTTCCCATCCGTCTCTTTCACCTTCTGCCATATTCACATAATCTTCATTTGGTAAGGACACATCTGCCAGTTTACAATCGTCTCCTTGAATGACAGTGAAGATTTTGTCGTCTATCACTACCAGTGCTTCTAGATTACTAATCTCACTTTCTTTCAGTTCTGGAGAAACTGTCTGATCAGTTGGATCTACTGTTGGGTCTATTTCTCCTTCTGGTTTTTCCCACCTGTCTCTTTCACTTTCTGTCATATTCACATAATCTTCATCTGGTAAAGACACATCTGATTGTTTACAATCAGAAACTGTCTGATCAATTGGGTCTATTGTTAGATTTGCAATATTCAAGATGGACTCATGTGTTTCAGTGGGATAAGCTGATAATGATAGTGCATCAACTTCCGTAGACTGAGATGGAGGAGAAGAGAGTTCTGCCTCCTGAAAGTGGCCTTCAGTAGGTTGCTCTGTTTGGCAGCCTTCACCGATTGGAATAGAATGAAGTGAAGAAAATACTTCTTTAGTTTGGTTAAGTATTTCGCTTTCAGCAGACTCTTCTACTTGTGGTGCCTGATCCATGCAGACAACCTGCACAGAGGAGAGGCCTCCTTCATTCTGGCCAGATTGTCCTGTTTCCATAGGTAGCTTTGGCTGGAAGTGGCCATCAGCATTGCAGCTCTCCACATCAGTACACTGCATGACTGTCTCCAACTCTGCCTTTGGTTGGCAATCACTCAGTTCTCCAGACACTTCAGAAGGATCCTTATGTATCATAAAGTTTTCTTCCTCACAGATACTTGCTTTGTTTGTATCATTTCCTTCTGCAGGGAAAGAGAAAGACACTTTGGAAAGCTTTTGACATTCTCCATCATTCATTCTGTCCTCCTTGCCTGTTTCTTCTACAGATTCCTGTGGCTTCAACGTCTCAATTTCATGCACAGCTTGTTTTGTGTTCTTAGATGGAATATCCACTGGCAATTCAACCAGAAATGTTAGCAAGTTCCTTATTTCATCCACAGCACCAGGAACTGGGAGTTTTTCCTCTTCCACTGATGCCGAATTTTCTATCCCTGTGCTTCCATCTACGTTTGCTTCTACTACAGTTGTAGGTTGAGGGGCTCTCTGTTCTTCTGTAGCATTTTGTATCATACTGGGCAACTCCTGCTTGCCACTGAGATCTGGAATGATTACTTTCTCCTTTGCTTCTGAAGCAATGCTAGATATGTTAGAAGAGACTTCCTTTTCATCATCCAATGGCTTGCTAGTCTCATGGCATTCCTCTAGAGTGTTTTTTTCTGGTATGAAAACTTCATTATTCTGAATATCGGCATCCAAGATCTCTCTCTCACTTGAGGTTGGTTTCCTCACTGGGCTGGTTTGCGTTGATCCTGAAGGAGTTTTTAGATCACTCAGACTGGAAACACTTTCAAAAGGCAGGCCTGTTTCTTCAAAGAGGTTATGTTTCTTCAAATGTGCAGCCTCTTTTATCACTAAGCAGGAGATAGAAATACACACACTTATTCAATCATAGGTTCACAACCAAAGCATGCCACATAGAATAGGACAATTACACACAAGAGTGTTGCAAAATCCAACTGGAACATATTATGTGGTGGGATTCTAACCATGAATCCTTTACTCCTGGTATAAGCTTATCAGAGCAAAGGTGGGGTATGGGAGGGATGGCTCTCACTTGCCATTAATCAAAGGTATGGTAGGTTTGGGATGTGGGCATGATGGCATCAAGAGTTGTTTGGATGGGCAACGATGGGGCTCCCTAAACCTTGGCCATTTGTATTATCTGAAAAGATCAAAGCTTTGAGGTTCTTCAACTGTAACCTTAGTCAAAGCAGAATGTAAATAATATTCAAATATATTATTCAAATAAAATGTCATCTAAAGATTTCCAACATTTGGTGAAATGCAAAATGCCACAAACAAAATGACACAGACCAGAACAAACCAACTTTCTCAAGATTTCCAATTTCATGATCCATAAGACTGGTTGAGATGTTACCTTGTAGGGTTTCATCCAGCAAAGCCTGAAGCAAAATTTCTTCATAGACATTTTCAACTTGTATCACACTGGTATGCTCAGCAAAGATGTATTCCTCGTATTCTTGAAGCACCTGTAAAACAAGAGAATAAAAACATGTCACATATGGGACTTTGCATCACTATTCTCTAAGTATCAGCTAGGACTTATTACAGGGTTTGTTTTTTTTTTTGTGGTGTCAGGAGCGACCTGAGAAACTGCAAGTCGCTTCTGGTGTGAGAGAATTGGCTGTCTGCAAGGACGTTGCTCAGGGGACTCCCAGATGATTTGATATTTTATCATCCTTGTGGGAGGCTTCTCTCATGTCCCCACATGAGGAGCTGGAGCTGATAGAGGGAGCTCATCCGCCTCTCCCCGGATTTGTACCTGTGACTTGTCGGTCTTTAGTCCTGCCAGCACAGGGGTTTAACCCACTTCGCCACCGGGGGCTCCACTTATTACAGTGGTTAACTACTTCTTAAAATAGAAGAAGTCTAAATTCAGCTCTGCACCAAAAGAGGTTTCACGGTGAAGAACAGTTTTCAAGAGACAGCCAGGCAGTCTAGAGAAGTAGTTCATTGCAATGCAGCAAGAAGCTCAAGCACCACAGATGGAATAAAAAGTAAAGAAATAATAGGCAATATAGAAGGACATGCAGGGATCGGGAACAAGGTGATCTTGATATTAGGCCTGCAACAGTTGCAACACCTTACAGATTTCAGTGTTAAGCATGATTAACTTACATCCAAACAATATGTCTGGTCTACGTGCCCACATTAATTATTTCTTTACCCAAGAGGCCTTTAAAATAGTGCCATGAATTTTTGCTTCCCTCACACAATGATAATAAAGTTAGCTTTAGTATGTATATCCCTATTTTCCTTTTGTTTCATATGTTTCAGCATAGCAACCTACTGGTTTACAGGTGGAAGCCAGTGTCCGCTGCAGGGTGGGCAAGGTGATCTGTACCAGGGCATCCTGAAAAATCTTCTTCCGGACAGTACTGCTGTCGTAGTCATATTGCTATGAAGAAGGAGAACCAAACATGAGATCTTGAAGTGCCAACAACCCTCTTTCTACCTTCATGTATAACCCAGAAGCAATGGCAAATAATTCATCTATATAAATAAAAATGTAATGTTAGTTCGTGCTACCATCAGAACTCAAAAACCACTGGGGGAATTGACACCAAATTTGGACACAAAACAATAATAACACATCACAAACAAAAAATAGGGCACTGTGGCACAACTCGTTGAGGATGGAAGAAATTGTAATCAAATACATCTGGAGAGCACTAGAGACTCTTTTCATATCAAACAATATAATACTATATTATATATAGTATTATATCCACCTCTGAGGATGCTTGCCATAGATGCAGGCGAAACGTCAGGAGAAATGCCTCTAGAACATGGCCATATAGCCCGAAAAAACCCACAAGAACTGAGTGATTCCAGCCATGAAAGCCTTCGACAATACATAATACTATGATTTCATGTTCACTGCCATTGTAGCATCCTAAGAAATCCTGAGATTTGAAGTTTAGGGAGGGATAGTGTTCTGCCTCCACGCTATCTAACTGCTTGGAAGGTGAACAGGTTGCACAGGGAACAGATAAAGGACACTTAGACAAACAGTCAACAAGATTTAATAACTGGAAAAGGCTTCAATCCCTTTCTTCTTTCGGGTCTAACTGGCACAGTCCTCAGAAAAGAGTTAAGGTCCTTGAGAGAGGGGCTCTGAATTACTGAACTTCTCTGCTGTTTCTTCTCTTGTTGGTATTTCTCTGTCTTTGGAATAATGCTTGACTTGAACTAACTTTTACTTTAACTTGAAATGTCTCGGACTTGACTCCAACATAACTCCATCTGAACATGCTATTTTATGGACGTTCCTGGCCTTCCTCTCTCCTCACCTTCGATGTCTAAAATGGCTGGTTCTTCAAAGAACAAGAAGGAAAAGAGGCTATCTAGACTTACACCCCCCCCCCCCCCCCCACACACACACCACAAAACTGTACACAGGGGCGGCTCAACCCATTACGCAAAGTAAGCATTTGCAGTATAGATGATTTTGCCCAGGGGCACTCTTGAGGCGCTCTTGGGGGAAAATAGACCTTGACATATGCGAGTTGTAGTTACTGGGATGTATAGTTCACCTACAATCAAAGAGCATTCTGAACTCCACCAATGATGGAATTGAACCAATTATGGCACACAGAACTCCCATGATGAATGGAAAATATATATCAGTGATTGGTTGGGGGTGGGGGGTGGGTGCCAAAATACTGTTGGCTTACCGTTGAAAATTACCTAGGGCCGCCTCTGACTGTACATGGAATGCTAATTTCCTCTAACTCAAAGGCTTAAATAGGAGTAAACAGTGAGAGTCTTTATGGAAGCATGACACTTAGACTTATCTCCAAGGGAGCTCTAGTGCCTTTCCAAACTGAAAATCTCATGGCAGTTGTAGTGATATAATATGAAATATGAAAGGGCCCCAGTTTACAAACAGCTGCCCTAAGTGCTACCTGTCACAAACTGGCAAAAAAGCTACTGAAGGTCCAAAGTGAACTGTCATAGAATCATAGAGACCTCCTGTCCAACCCCCTGCCAAGAAGTAGGAAAATTGCATTCAAAGCACCCCTGACAGATGGCCATCCAGCCTCTGTTTAAAAGCCTCCAAAGAAGGAGCCTCCACCGCACTCCGAAGCAGAGAGTTCCACTGCTGAACAGCTTTCACAGTCGGGAAGTTCTTTCTAATGTTCAGATGGAATCTCCTTTCTTGTCCTCATTTGCAGCAAAGGTTTACCTCTGGCAAGACTTTTTTTTCAGAATAGAAACATTTGATTATAAGCGCACAAATAAAAGTTATCACATACTAGTTGGGGTGGACATTGGAGCCCTGGATTCCTCTTAGACAAAATGACATCAAAAATGTCACATACCTTTAAGACACGAAGTTTAACTTTTTCAATGGATGCTGCCAATTTGGGCACGTCTTTGACATGGTCCAGACCCAGCAGCTGTTCAAAGGTATACACTGCATTTTCCAGAAGCTTGAAACACATTGAAAGAAAGATGACATACTTTTACTCTGTAGTAGTCTTTCTGATCCCAGGGTAAACATATCAGTCAATATCTACTGTATGTACTTGCATACATAAAGATCTATATCAGGGATCCTCAAACTAAGGCCCGAGGGCCGGATACGGCCCTCCAAGGTCATTTACCCAGCCCTTTCTCAGGGTCAACCTAAGTCTGAAATGACTTGAAAGCACACAACAACAACAACAATCTTATCTCATCAACCAAAAGCAGGGCCACACTTCCGTTTGAAATACTAATAAGTTTATATTTGTTAAAATTGTTCTTCATTTTAATTATTGTATTGTTTTAAGTGTTTTTGCACTACAAATAAGATATGTGCAGTGTGCATAGGAATTCATTCATGTTTTTTGAAATTATAATCTGGCCCTCCAACAGTTTGAGGAACTGTGACCTGGCCCTCTGTTTAAAATGTTTGTGGACCCCTGATCTATATCCTTTTGTTGTTTTTTTCATTTTAAATTTTTTATTATACATTTATCAGACAACATGTATAAGCATACATTCTTCCCTCTTTTTACAACATCTTAGATAGAAGAATTTGTCATATTATATACAATCTAACAGTAAAAATAATCAAATACATCTTTAAGCATATTTCTTATCATTCTGTTACAACTTATACTATGTATATCTCTACCACACACCTTTTATCTACTTATACATGTTTTATTTCTTTATAATTAGTATTATACCATTTCCCACCTCTTCCCTTTACCTTTAGTTTGTGCCCCCTTCACCAGGACCAACCTACTCATGTTATTTCACAATTCCAAAATGTCATTGTTTCTGTTGCTGGCTTGTACCCCTTTCCCTCATTAAAAATATACTCAATAAATTCTTATCCTTTTGTGTTACCTCTCACAACATAGTTGGCTTTTTCAACATACAAAATGTGTTTTAGGTTTGAAGTTTTACTTTTTAAAATTACAACCTTTTAAAACTTAAAAACAATTTTATGCAAAAGGTTTTTTTTGTGTTTTATGTTTTACACAAAATAGCATTAGCACAAGAAACTATTTATAGAAACATTTTGTGTGTGTAAACAAGTTTTTGAGCCGAAAACACAATTTTTACGCAAAATTAACTGTTTTGTACAAGAAAAATATTTTCTGTATTGTACCATCTATGTGTATTTTTGTGCAGAATAATTTTCAAAAGTAGTGTACTTTATGATGCATGTATACCACACAAAAAACTGAACAAAAGTCTCCCTATCATAGAATCATAGAATCATAGAATCAAAGAGTTGGAAGAGACCTCACGGGCCATACAGTCCAACCCCCTGCCACGAAGCAGGAATATTGCATTCAAATCACCCCTGACAAATGGCCATCCAGCCTCTGCTTAAAAGCTTCCAAAGAAGGAGCCTCCACCACACTCCGGGGCAGAGAGTTCCACTGCTGAACGGCTCCCTCCTGTGCTAGTGTTCTTGACCATGGCCCCTTCCACACAGCTGAATAAAATCCAACATTATCTGCTTTGAAATGGAATATATAGCAGTGTGGACTCAGAAAACTCAGTTCAAAGCAGATATTGTGGGATCTCTGCCTTGATATTATGGGTTATATGACTGTGTGGGAGGGCCCTATGTTTTCCAAATATCATGAAATGCATTTTCAACTAGGAAAGAGCAACAGCCAATATGTTTCTCCTTCTCTACTCATTTTTTCCGACCTATTTTTCTAAACTAGTAGTGAATGATGGATCTTTCTAGATTGACTGGTGGGGTTTTCAGATCTGAAAGGCTGAGAACCACTGTTTTAAGTATTCAAAATCAAGATTGCCCCATACAAATCATCCAGAAAACTTCATGTTGAGCTAATCTCAAGAAAAGTGTGCATACCGAGACTTAAAACTGGAATGGCTGATGGTCAAAATCAATATGAATCCTACTATACCTCCTGCATTAAATTTTGGGTCCTCTGAATAATCAAATCAATGTCATGGAATTTGAAGCGGCTCTTGAGGTCCTGGAGTTGCTCTTGAAGAAGGTTGACTTTCAGATAGCAAGGCTCCATTTTTACAGAATGGTGAGGCAGGCTCATCAGTTCTATCACATTCTAGCAGAAGAAAGTGTTTGCAAAAAAAGAAGAATTAATCAATAAAAAGATGAGTATGTTGTGGAAAGTGACAAAACTGAGGGCTTGTGTTCTTGGGAAAACAGTGCTGAAAGATAAGTGCTGGCTTTAGCCTTTAAAGCCCTAAACGGTTCTGGCCCGATCTACCTGTCCGAATGCATCTCCTCCTATGAACCAGTTAGGACGTTAAGATCGTCTGGGGAGGCCCTGCTCTCGGTCCCGCCGGCTTCACAAGCACGCCTGGTGGGGACGAGAGACAGGGCCTTCTCAGTAGTGGCCCCCCGGCTGTGGAACACCCTTCCTACAGACATTAGATCGGCCCCCTCCTTATTGACATTCAGGAAGAGAGTGAAGACCTGGCTCTTCGATCAGGCTTTCAACTAAGCAGTACAATTGATTGATTATTGGAATATGGATTAATGGACAACGAGATTGGATGCTGATTCTATTGATGAGACGTGATGGATTGTTGTTTTCCTGTATTGTTGTATTGATGTTCTGATGTTAATTAATGGATATTACTGTTTTAAATTATTAATGATTTTGTATTGTATTGTTGATACTGGTTGTTAACCGCTCTGAGTCGCCTGATGGCTGAGAAGAAACAAACAAACAAACAAATAAATAAATGTGGCAGCTACTAGAAGAGCAGATGACATGATTGATTTTTCTGGAAATGGCAAAGTTGTGGCCTAGATCAGAGCTTCTTAAATTTTTTCCACTCATGACCCCTTTCTGCCCAATACATTTTTACATAAACCTGGGTATACAGGTATATAAAACGGGCATAAACACCAAATATGTATTGATAATAAATCAGCATTTGCAAGGTTTGCTAAATAGGCTGTTTTTTCCCTTTCTATGAAGTACAGCTGACGCATTTTCTGCAATCTAATAATAATAATAATAATAATAATAATAATAATAATAAACCTTTATTTATACCCTGCTAACATCTCCCGAAGTACATCAGTAAAACAACAGCATGTAAACATTGCATGCTGTTGCTAACGGATTCATGTAATATATAAACTAGCTACTAGGTGTTTACTGTTAACGATTATTTTGTGACACCCCCCCCCCCCCATTGAGCTAGGGGGACCCCATTTAGGGTCAGGACCCATAGTTTAAGAAGTAGTAGCCTTGAGCATCCATTCACATAGCTGATCCACTAGGGACTTAACCTAACCGATCAAAGGGTTAGTTGCTTTAATGTCATAGACTTGCTATAAGGAGTTGGAGGCTGAGGCGGCTTTGAAAGACATTAGAACTGTAAGGTGAATAAGCAATATATGCACGTAGATTGCAGCTTTTCGTAAAATAACTTCATACAAATGTGTAATTTCAAAATCTTTTACTAGAATGTCAAATAGGCTGTTGAAAGTTGTTTATGGAATGTAGTGTACTTGGCTTTCTAGTCCTGCTCTATGCCCTTTAGAGGGGTGCAGAGTATTTCCTTATCTCACTCATCTCTAAAACAACCCTGTGATACAGATGGTGGTTATTTTTAATATACACATGAGTACTGAGATCTTCAGATAATGACTTGCCAAAGGCTACATCACAAGTCTTCACTATGCTGGGAAATCAGGAGCTGATCCAAGATATGATTAGAATTTATTCCAGAAGAGGAGACGGATAATGATACAGTGGACACAACCCACATATATGGCAAATGACATGACTTGCTTACCTCTTTTAACTTTGTGACATCATTTGTTGCTTTAAAGGTTTCGCTAATTGTATTGACTTCTTTTTCAAAGAGAAGACGGACCTCACTGAATCCTGAGCTCACAGGGCCCATGAGCTCCTCCAGTATGGAAGCAAGAAAAGGCTGGATGCTTTCACCACAACACTTCTGGATAGACTCAGATATGCTCCCTGAAAATTCAAACCAGCCAGGAGTTAGATCAAGAGGAGAATTCATTGGCAGAGGAATCAAAATATATGGATTGTTATAACATAAATGCCATTGTATTGTCGAAGGCTTTCATGGCCGGAATCACTGGGTTGTTGTAGGTTTTTTCGGGCTTACTTACTTACTTACTTAGGCGATCCCTCGCTTTCCGAGGATGATTGTCTTCCAGTGTTCTTGTGGGTCCGTATGTGGCTGTGGAGCCCTATTCTTGCTCTGCATTTTCTTCTGCAGTGAGGCCATTGGTTTCCAGGTGGAAGGCGGTCTTGGTCGGGGTTGGTTTGACGCGCCTTCCTCTTGGCACACTTCTCCCTTTCATTCGTGCCACTTCAAATTCTGCAGCACTGCTGGTCACAGCTGACCTCCAGCAGGAGCGGTCAAGGGCCAGGGCTTCCCAGTTCTCAGTGTCTATGCCAGAGTTTTTAAGGTTGGCTTTGAGCCCATCTTTAAATCTTTTTTCCTGTCCACCAACATTCCGTTTTCCGTTCTTGAGTTCGGAGTAGAGCAACTGCTTTGGGAGACGGTGGTCAGGCATCCGGACAACATGGCCGGTCCAGCGGAGTTGATGGCGGAGGACCATCGCTTCAATGCTGGTGGTCTTTACTTCTTCCAGCACGCTGAGGTTTGTCCGCCTGTCTTCCCAAGAGATTTGCAGGATTTTCCGGAGGCAGCACTGATGGAATCGTTCCAGGAGTTGCATGTGACGTCTTTAGACAGTCCACGTCTCACAGGCATATAGCAGGGTTGGGAGGACAACCCATAAATGCCTTTAATCAATATTAGAGGCAGATATATGTGTGTGTGAGAGTGTGTGTCTGTCTGTCTGTCTATAGATTTACCCAGATCTCTATATGTTTTCATATGTGATCACACACAAGAGGTGAAGCTGTGCAGGTAAGACCTCACTCAGTTCTCAGAGCTCCAATAGTTTTTGTGGAACAAATTAAAATGCATTATGCAAAGGAATCTTGGAAGCTGTGAAAACGACTTTCTTTCTTTCCATTCGTCTCTACAGTGTTACAAGATCTCTTTGCATACTGTTATTCCAGACTGACTCAGCTATGTCTTCAAAAGTAAAAATAAATCAGAAGTACAATAGCTCTTGTAACGAAATAGCTAATTATAATGTATATTTTAAATGTGTTTATTGATGTTGGGATATGGGAAGTGCAGGCCAGCTTATGTGTCGCCTGAGCTGAGACGTTGCCATGGGAACGGAACCTGCTGTTAGAATGTATCCAAGTTAGAGAAGCCAAAGGGGCGGAGCTAACTGCCACTTGGCAGGAGCAGGCATTTTAAAAGAGTCCGTTTTCTTTTAATCAGTGGACAAAAGTGGAAGTTGGGTTCTGGTGTGTGGAGAATCTGAACCCAGGGGTTTAAGTCTTCAGCTTGTATGTTTACAGAGTCAATTGGACCTGTTTAAATTAGAAATTAGCTCGTGAGCTAAGGGGAAAAGAAACCTCAGTAGAAATCCATAATTTCAGTGGGAATAGCTGAAGGGAGAAAAAGGCAAGTCAGTGCCTTGAAGTGTCACTTAAAAAAAGAAAGATACTTTGCAGTAAAATAAGTTTAAAACCAGTCTGGTGGAAGTAAAAGCCATACTGAGAGTTATATTAGAAATTGTTTAACTAAAGTCAACTGTAACAACATTTAAAGGAATACAGAACAACCATCAAACGTTGTCCACCTGTGAATCTTTAAATAAACATTTCCTTGATCAGTTCTTTAAAATTAAGACTCATGTCCATTTATTGAGAAGATTTACCTCAGAAGAAGGCGGCTGAAGATATTGGAAGAAAGGATTCTGGCCGTTGAGGCCTACTTTTTGAGCGGATGTTCTGTGATCGCAACCCAGCGCACCTTTCGGAATCGCTTTCATTTAGCCCCATTGGCCCCTGTCCCAGACCAGAAAACAATTGTAACGTGGGTCACTACATTCAGACAAACTGCAAGTGCGACAAGACGAAGAACTGGAGTCCCTCGGCCCATTAGATCACCTGAGAACATTGAGGCAGTGAGAGCTTCAATGTTGCGATCACCACGGCGTTCTGCACGCAAACATGCGTCTGACCTTGGACTTTCCAATCGTTCTGTGAGGATAATTCTCCATGATGATCTTCATTTCCATCCTTACAAGATGGCGATTGTGCAGGAACTTTCTGAATGGGACTTCAATTCTTGGAGGAATGCGTGTAAGGTTCTTCTCGAAGTTGTTCCTGAGGACGCTATTGTTTTTTTTTAGTGATGAAGCCCATTTTCATTTGTGTGGATCCATCAACAAAGAAAACATGAGCTACTGGGCTGACAACAATCCTCGAGAATTGCATCAAAGGCCTTTGCATTCACCAAAAATCACAGTGTGGTGTGCAATTTCCTCAGCTGGAATTATTGGTCCTTGGTTCTTTGAGGAAAATGAAGTCGCAGTGACAGTAAATTCGGACCGGTATACTAAACATGTTACAGGAATTTTTTTCCCCACGGCTAGATGAGTTGGACTTAGGGGACATTTGGTTCCAACAAGATGGTGCAACTGCACACACTTTAAGAGCATCGATGGCTGTTTTGAGGGAACACTTCCCAGAGCACCTCATCTCAATTAGGGGGGATTTGGAGTGGCCAGCCACTCTCCAGATTTGGCCCCCTGTGATTTTTTTCTATGAGGTTTTTTGAAATCCCGTGTTCATGTGAACCATCCAAGGACGCTACAAGATTTAAAGACAACATCCAGGAAGAAATTGCCAACATAACGCCTGCTATGCTGGCAAGAGTCATGACAAACGCCAGAAATCTTTTTTTTTCTGATTCATACAATGGGTTTTATTAAGTTTTGAAAAAAGAAGTTATGCTGCTGCACCCTGTATAAATATGGAGGAGTTTTGACCTGTGCAAGACTTTCTCCCAGAACAGAAATTGTTACAGGCTGAGTCTTTAGCAGGAGCTTTACACACAAGAGTCTAGCGGTTGAAGCATCTTTCTCATCACTTCCTTATCTTTATTCAGTCTTACTACTATCCCTTTATGCTTCATATGCTATTTTTCTGTACTGGTTGAGGACTTCTCTCACCTAAAATATTTAACATTTTACTTACCTTTTATTTTCCCAGCTAAAAAGTTTTTGGAGGTTACAATCTGATCCATGTTTGAACGAATGGTTCCTTCGAGACCTTTGGTAACTTCTTTGCATTCGTCTTTCAGAGTATGTAATCCCTCTGAAACATGATCCTGAACCAAACGGTAAGTTTCTTCTATTATCTATAATAACAAATAAACATAAACTTAGTTAATTGCCCAGCAGCAGTGTGAAGTCTCGGCCTAATATTATTTCCCTGTTTGCCTGTTGGACTGTTCCATTTTGCCAAGTTTAGGGGAGAAGCTTAGGTTCCCCCTAGAGGCCGAGCTCGGTTGGTGCAGCCCATTCTGACTCAGAGCCAGAATGGGCTGGTGATAGAACTTCTTATGGCATTCTTTGTTGGTCATAGCTTGAAGTTAGTTAGCCAGATAGTGTCTGGTCTGGCCTAGCAATTTGAACAGGCCATCCTTATCACATATTTGCCTTATAGATAGAGAGTTCATAGATAACACATGTTTCATAGAATAGTTATATTTGCCAAAGTTTATAGATTTTAGATTAGAATATATTTGCCTCAGAGTTTATATTTCACTGTTCCAACACTATCAAATTTGTTACCTCAGATTTATACCTCTGTATACCTTGTTTTATTTCACCTGTTTATTCAGTAAACTTCATTGGTCATTTTTAGTCTTGTCTCTAGTGTTTTATTTTGAGGTATTAAAGTAATTTAGGGCATAACAATGGTCACTGGGAAAATAGCCAGACACTTTTAGTTTTCTCATTAGATCTTCCTGGTGTGCCATCATAAGCAGGCTTAATGAACTAATTATGAACGTGCAACCATAGTTAATGGCTTTTGTCTTGTTCACTTATTTAATAACCCTTGGGTACTGGCGGTTATATCACACCAATGAAATGTTTAAAAGACCATTTTGAAACCATTTTGAATTTATTCTGTGAGAGGGCAAGAGGCCTGTATTTGCAGATGCTGTCAAGAAGCATCTTTGCTAACTTCTGTTTCCAAAAGACTGGGGTTACTTCCTAGGGGTGGATCAAACTGTCAACTGTTCCTCTTCATTTTACTCTTCATTTTCCCCCTTCATTTTCTGGTGTTTTTTTAAAAAAATATCAATTTCACATTGGTTTTAGATTTTATATTATTTTAGTCTGCACAGAATTGTGGAGATTGGTTTTTTAAAAAAGTATTTTTATTAATGAGTTTTAGAAAGTTGAGAAAAAGTTTTTTTTAAACATCGAAACTGGGAGAACATTGTTGTTATAGGCAGGCATGTAGCCGGGGGGGGGGGGGGGGGTTGGGGCTTCAGCCCCCCCCCCCAAATTCTCATGGTGGTCTGCGAAAAGGCCTTACTGGTGCATTATTTAAACTGTTATGCTTATTCATATCATGATCTGATCACCATACTCAATATATCCCATATGCATGGGGGTATTGGGGTAATGATACAAAAGGTTTGCTAGGCTAGACCCTCTTTCACTCAGACTCAGCCCCCCGAAACTCACCCCCCCGCCCCCCCCCCCCCCCGAAACAAAATCCTGGCTACGGGCCTGGTTATAGGTAGTAGAATAGTAAGAAAAAAGAGATTGATTTTAAAGGGGGGAACCCAAAAGAAAACTAAGAAAAAAATACAAAAAAATAAAAACATAAAAGTATTGATGACTTCCCTCTGATCTTTGATGGTCTTTAGAGTCTTTTTTTCTACAGTGTTGATTCTTATATGTGTTTTGGATGCATACTCGGTTAGGAAAAAAATCATCACAAAATCTGGAGATAGGCGAATAGAATCATAGAATTGGAAGAGGCCTCATGGGCCATCCAGTCCAACCCCCTGCCAAGAAGCAGGAAAACAAGCTTGCTCCCTCCTCCCTGTGACTTCCTCTCACATATTTATACATGGCTATCATATCTCCTCTCAGCCTTCTCTTCTTCAGGCTAATTATGTCCAGCTTTTTAAGCCGCTCTTCATGGGGCTTGTTCCCCAGACCCTTGATCATTTTAGTTGCCCCCCTTATTGAACATTGAACAATAAGTGTTTTTCTTTTGTTATTTTACATATTGATTCAGGAAATGCAGACTGTTGAAAATTGAGTAAACCGTTGCCTCTCAGCATTCAGCTCTGAGCTCCTTCTCTGTGCGATCGCTGCAGCCTCCTTTGGACAATCTTCTTCAGATGCTTTCCTTATCCTCTGGGAAACACTGCTCTTGGTAAATTTTGCTTGAAATATCTTTCAAACTCTCATTTGAGAAGGCTTTCATGGTTGTAGCTGTGTTCACCAGAAGTATAGTAATGTATTATAATGGTAAGATCTTATTTTTTTTTCAGTAATTGTACCAAACTCATAAAAGGTTGACATTTTTTGGCCAATAAATAAATAATTATTCTGAATGACAATCCAACTCATCCTGTAAAAATAATCCCCGAAACAGGTTACCATCTAAATAACTCCAACTAATACATACCCCGAACCATGCCCTCTTTCGGTCATTCTTCTTCCCTTTCATCTTAGGAAGCAGCATGCTCTGAAGGCTAGGCAAAAGCTCCTCCATCACAAGGTTGCTGAGAATCTACAAAGGGTCCGGATAAAATAAGAATTCAGCAGGCACTTTGGGGCTGATTCAGATAATCATATCGCAACTTAATAAAGTGACATTTTCATTTTGTAATCTAGTAGAGCCAGCACAATGTATTAGTTTGACTCTGGTTCAAATCCCTACAGTTTAAATCCCTACTCAGGATACATCGATACTATAGGATTAATATAGCTCGACAAAACTTTATTTGGTTCAATGCTATGGAATACTGGCAGATATAGTCTTACAAAGGAATCTTACAAAGGAGATTCCATCTGAACATGAGGAAGAACTTCCTGACTGTGAGAGCTGTTCAGCAGTGGAACTCTCTGCCCCGGAGTGTGATGGAGGCTCCTTCTTTGGAAGCTTTTAAGCAGAGCCTGGATGGCCATCTGTTGGGGGTGCTTTGAATGCAATATTCCCGCTTCTTGGCAGGGGGTTGAACTGGATGGCCTATGAGGTCTCTTCCAACTCTATTATTCTATGATTCTAAAGCCTTTTGCCTTCTCTGCCAAAGAATACTGATATCTCGCCAGACTCCCAGGATTTCATAGCATTGATCCATAGCAGTTAAAGTGGTGTCAATCTGTATTAATTCTACAGTGAAGACCAACATCCAGGAAGAAATTGCCAACATAACGCCTGGCAAGAGTCATGACAAACGCCAGAAATTGGTTTACTCAGTGTATGGAGAATGGAGAATGGGGGACATCACCTACCTTTAGACATGCGCCTACATTATAAAAAAATAAATAAAAATTTCTGATTCATACAATGGGTTTTATTAAGTTTTGAAAAAAGGAAGTTATGCTGCCTCACCCTGTAGTTTATTTCCAATGCTGAAAATATTTCATTCATACCAGCTGAGAATCCCTTATGCTTGGAACCAGAAGGGTTCCAGATTTCATTTTTTTTTATTTTGGAATACTTGAATTTGCATATATGAAAAATCATGGAGATGTTTAAACACAACATTTATTTAACGTTTCACATACACCTTGTATGTATAGCCTGAGTGTATGTGTACAATTCTAACCATGTTGAGCATGAAATCTGTGTACACCCAACCTTCAAAAAGCAAAGATTATAGCCAACTGTGTGGACAATTATAGAATATTTTGAATTCCAGATAAAGAATGTTCAACTTATAATAGTAAACCTAAACATATCCACCAGTCAGCATTTGTAGAACAGTCCCCTTATCTTCCCCACTTTATTTACATTTTTTCCTATAATAAAGAATTGTAGAAATTGAAAATTTGGATGTGACATGTTACAAGAAATGATGTTATTGTTTGAGAGTACCAAGGCAATAAAAACAATGTTTTTGCAAAGCAATGTAATATGAAGTAATGCCATTACATTTTAAAACAGAGCAAATAACATTTTCACATAATTTCTGAAATCTTCTTTTTTGGAGTCATGGGAGAGTTTAGCTACAATCGCCTTTTAAAGTATTTTTCTAATAATTGTGTAATCACTAAAAAGATAAGATCATGATTTTGTCAGAATGTCTCCATATCCCTTTTCCCTTGTGTATTATTAAGATTATAAGTGTAGGGACACATAAGTTGTTCTGGGAGTCTTTTGGCTAAAAGATGGACTATAAATTATTCAAATAAACAAACAGCAAAGCACTTTTTAAATAATGAGCTAATGTTTCAGTCTTTCCAAAAGTAATGACTAATAGTAATAGTAATATGTTAATATTTAAAAATAATCTTCCAAGCTTTGTGGAAATTAAACTCTGCCAAAGGAATGGATCCAGACTTATTGCAGTTTAGTTTGGCTGAATTCTGTGAGATCAGTTAGCCATAAATAATAATTTTTTAAAAACCTTAAATGAAATTAAGAAATGAGCAGTGTAGTCTACATTCAACTCAAAGTCTCAGCAAATGGCTAGGCGATGATTTAATTTAGTGTGCCAAATTTGGGGTGGGCTTTCTAATCTTACATTTTTCGCACATTCCTTTCCTTATTTCTATTACAACTATCCATGCTATACAACAAATCCAAATAAGGCAAATACCTGGACTTCATTCCCAGTTATCATTTCCCATGACCCATAGTGACCCTTTTCCTGGCGGAAAAACTGGACAGCTTCTAAAAATGCTTGGGCTTCAAATGAAGACTGCTTGAAAAAATCTGAAAGAAACAATAGATAGGAACTGTTGACTGGATTATAGATACTTTTTTCTCATTACAAAATTAGTTTGAAATTAGATGCCACCCAGTATTGAGAAGCTATATGGCAACACTTGCCCATATTTGATGGGGAAGTGTCGCTGCATGTGAGGTGGGATGCCAGGATTGTTCTGCTGTCCTGTGGATTTGCCACGGAGGCTGGTGAATTGCCCCGCTGTGGCTCATCAATGTGATGAGATCCATAGCTACATCTCTCCTACTCCTGTGCTGAGTGACACTTCATTCCTCTCTCCTTACTTGAATCACCTACTGGCTTGTATGTTCAGATACGGTTACATATACTGAGAAATGCAGAGACCACTTCTACATTCCTTCAATTTCTTTCTCTTATGAATTACCCACTGACACCTGAATCCTGTTTGCAGTGGTTGCTCTCATGTCAGTAGGGCAGTGAATCTGTTCCATGCTATCACTAGTTGTGAAGGGGCTCTCCATAGAGATCTCTGGAGATCTCTGTGAAACCTAGAGTAGACATACACCCCTAGTGAGAACTCTATGAAACCTAGAGTAGATGTACAACCCCACTGACATGGGAGCCAACTCCGGTCTCTGACTGTTTTCTTATCATCAGACCTGGGAAATGTCCACTTCGTATTTATGGGACTATGGTGTACCTATGTCTTGCATTGGGATCACAGGGCAGGTAATGTTGTGGATGAAGTTCAGTGGAACTTTCGGAGGAAAGGCCAGGAGTCCAGATCATTCTAATAAGGGACTCCAAGGACTCAAACCAAGCAACTCATTCCTTTGCCTTCTCCTTGTATTTTATTTTCCACACAAGTCAAGATGGAATTAGGAAGACACAGGGAAACTCAGGCAGGTTTCAGACATACAGGATATTCATTCAGGGAGAGAAGATTTCATAGCACTCACGTTCCACCAGCAGTTGATATGAGTACAGCATTTTCTTAGGATAATAATAATAATAATAATAATAATAATGACAAAGTTTTGGAACACAATACACCAGACATCACGATTGTGGAAAAGAAAAAAGTCTGGATTATTGATGTTGCCATTCCAGGTGACAGTCGCATTGAGGAAAAACAACAGGAAAAACTCAGCCGCTATCAAGATCTCAAAATTGAGCTGCAAAGACTCTGGCATAAACCAGTACAGGTGGTCCAAGTGGTCATCGGCGCACTGGGTGCTGTGCCAAAAGATCTCAGCTGGCATTTGGAAACAATAAACATTGACAAAATCACGATCTGTCAACTGCAAAAGTCTACCTTACTTGGATCTGTGTGCATCATTAAAAAATACATCACACAGTCCTAGACGCTTGGGAAGTGTTCGACTTGTGATTTTGTGATACGAAATCCAGCATATAGATCTCATTTGCTGTGACATACTGTGGTTTTGTGTCAGTAAAATAGTAAATAATAATAATAATAATAATTATTATTATTATTATTATTTTACTGACACAAAAGCACAGTATGTCACAGCAAACTCACTGTTAATTAGCTAATTCACTTATTAACTTCTTGGGGACACCATTCCAACATGGCAGATTCAACAATGAGATACTACTCTCCCTTCTACATCACTCACTGGACTTTGTCCTGTCAAGAAGGACACTCACTGCTCCACATCAAAAGATTGTCTTAGCACCAGCAGCTGAAGCAACAGTTCAACTGTTAGACAGAGAACAGGGTGTGTGTGCGTGTTCTTGGTGCAAAACCTAGTTGGTGTCACTCAGCAATGTTGCAAAAGAATTACTAGGCAAGTCCTAGACTTAAGACTGATTTTAAATGGGATGATATTGTGTTTATTTATGTCGCACATCATATTGTCCACTTTTGTGGAAGAGAGCATTTGCAGAAATCATTTCAACCACCAGAGGGACAGTTTCTGGAAACCGCAAGATTTTGATCGCAAAAAGACCTAAAAGCTGTAATTATTACAATGGTGAGACTCTGAGTCATGTGGACTTTCATATTTAACAGCAGTGCTCATTCCCAAAACAGAAAGGACTGCCTAGCAAGCTAGGCACATGGCTCTACCAAAGGTATCATCTTGTGGTGAGGGGGAATCTCTCACAGCCGCTGGCTTTTAAACATAATAACAGAATTTGCCTCTCCTCAATATCTTGTGTCTACTATAGGAGAGAAGATAAATGATTACAGTTTTCAGTTATGTGAATGGACATTGCCAGGCATTTGGTGGCAACTGGGTTCTCCAAAATGCAAGGAAGCGACAAGCCCCTCTATTCCAGGACATTCTCTATGGATCACGGCAGCCAAATGAAACGCCCATGTTCCGGAGCAGTCCACTTCCCCATCTGTTGTTTAGCAAACTGAGGTTCTGTTTGATGTTTTTAAAGATTCTTTTTGGCCAAGATTTGGGGAGAAAGTAAAATTTTGCAAAAATAATCCTGTTGCAGTGTTTCGTTTTGTTTTTTAACATTGGTTCCAGTCCTTTGTTTAATTGGGTTGTTTTAGGTTTTTTAGGGCTGTATGGCCATGGTATAGAGGCATTCTGTCCTGACGTTTCGCCTGCATCTATGGCAAGCATCCTCAGAGGTAGTGAGGTCTGTTGGAACTAGGAAAAGGGGTTTATATATCTGTGGAATGACCAGGGTGAGACAAAGAGACTCTTGTCTGCTGGAGCTAGGTGTGAATGTTTCAACTGACCACCTTGATTAGCATACAATGGGCTGACTGTGCCTGGAGCAAACTTTTGTTGAGAGGTAATTAGATGTCCCTGCCTGCTTCCTCTCTGTTGTTGTGCTGTTGCAATTTTAGAGTTTTTTAAATACTGGTAGCCAGATTTTGTTCATTTTCATGGTTTCTCCTTTCTGTTGAAATTGTCCATGTTTGTGTATTTCATGGCTTCTCTGTGTAGTCTGACATGGTGGTTGTGAGAGTGGTCCAGCATTTCTGTGTTCTCAAATAAAATGCTGTGTCCAGTTGGTTCATCAGGTGCTCTGCTATGGTTGATTTCTCTGGTTGAAGTAATCTGTAGTGCCTTTCATGTTCCTTGATTCATGTTTGGGCAAATCACCTCTCGTTTGGTGGTCCCTATGTAGACTTGTCCACAGCTGCATGGTATACGGTAGACTCCTGCAGAGGTGAGAGGATCCCTCTTGTCCTTTGCTGAACGTAGCAGTTGTTGGATTTTCTTGGTGGGTTTGTAGATTGTTTGTATGTTGTGTTTCCTCATCAGCTTCCCTCTATGCGGTCAGTGGTTCCCTTGATGTATGGCAGGAACACTTTTCCTCTGGGTGGATCTTCATCTTTACTCTCGTGGCTTGTTCTTGGTCTTGCAGCTCTTCTGATGTCTGAGGTGGAGTCTCCATTGGCCTGTAGAGCCCAGTTGAGGTGGTTCAGTTCCTCTTGGAGGAGGTGGGGTTCACAGATTCTTTTTGCACGGTCTGCCAAGGCTTTAATGGTGCTTCTTTTTTGACTTGGGTGATGGTTGGAGTTTTTATGTAGATATCTATCTGTGTGTGTGGGTTTTCTGTAAACGGTGTGACCCAATTGTTGATCTGGTTTGCGGATGACTAGGACATCTAGAAAAGGCAGTCTTCCTTCATTTTCTTTTTCCATGGTGAACTGGGTGTTTGGGTGGGTCCACAGATATATAAACCCTTTTTCCTAGTTCCAACAGACCTCACTACCTCTGAGGATGCTTGCCATAGATACAGGCAAAATGTCAGGAGAAAATGCCTCTAGACCATGGCCATACAGCCCGAAAAAAACTACAACAACCCAGTGATTCCGGCCATGAAAGCCTTGTTTTGACTACTATGTTATACTATATTTTTTTGTTTAACAAGCTGCTTGGGGTCATTGTGTGAAATCCAATGGTCAAACAGATTTTAAATGAACCCTTATTCAATTTTGAGTTAGGACATTAGCTCTTCAAAACAACAGGGTCTTTTGAAATGGTTACATGGTGTTTTCAAGAATCAATTGTACGCTGCGGTGTGAGGATACTAGTCATTTGTCAGGACAGTATGTCAAAAACACTGAGATCATTGATTTAACCAAAGGCTGCCATCTCCCTTTTAAAAGCCATTAAAAACTCCATAATGAATTGCTTGGCCTGAAATATTATGGGCCACATAGCAACACTACACAAAATGTCTCCAATGGAAATATCAATCAGTTGGATTCATTTGATGATGTATTTTTGAGCAATTTTTAATGAATAAAACCATTCAAAATACCCATTACCACATCATGAATATTTCTGAAACATTGGAAAAAAGCGGTCAAAGCAACATTGTAATAAGTATTGGACTGACAGTATCATATGGATGATTTTTAGCAGCTACGAGTTCATCATGCTCAGATACGTCTTGAGTTGGACTCCAGTTTGATCGCAGTTCCAAGAGAGGTGACCGGGCATCTGCTTGTCCGGTTTTGTGGGATTCCTTCTGGCTTGTTCGTCCTGAGGATGTGAAGGTGGCTCTTGGGGCAGTGAGCGCTACTATATCGGCTCTGGACCCTTGCCCGTCTTGGCTAATTAAATCGGCCAAGGATGGTCTGACTGATTGGTTTATGTTAATCATCAATACATCGCTGGAGCAAGGAATTTTTCCATCTGGTTTAAAACAGGCTGTGGTCAGACCACTCCTGAAAAAGACTTTCCTTGATTCCACGGTCTTGAATAACTAGACCAATCTCAACTCTCCCTTTTCTGGGCAAGGTGTTGCAGCGGGAGGTTGCTGCTCAGCTCCAGGGCTTCCTGGATGACATCAACTATCTGGATCAGTCACAGTCTGGCTTCAGACCTGGCCATGGCACCGACACGGCTTTGGTTGCCTTGGTGGATGATCTCCGCAGGGAGCTGGACAGAAGGAGTGTGATCCTGCTGGTTCTCTTGGACATTTCAGCGGCTTTCGATACCATCGATCATGGTATCCTTCTGGGACGACTTTCCGGGATGGGCCTCAGAGGTACGGCTTTGTCGTGGCTCCGGTCATTCCTGAA